ATATTCATATATGATTATATCCACACTTAATTATAGCCTTCTTGGGGTGGGGGAAGAAAGGGGGAGAGGAAGGGAAAAAAAAGAACAAAGTCAAAAGTGCACAACAGAGAACAAAAGAAAACTTAGAAGGAAGTGAAGAAAAGATGGACAGCTCTGAACACAACGTACGGTATTTATGATACAGGCTTTCTTTCTTGAAATGGAAATTTATATATTCTGAATCCTCTCTTATGTTCTGCTACGCACATGACATGTTTCTTTTTCTTTTCTTATCGTGTATTTAAGTTTTAGTATTTAAGTCTAAAATAATAATACTACTAATAATAAAAAGACGGCTGCAAGAAAGGGGGAGATAGAAAGGCCGCATGCCAAAGTATGGCAGAGTCCTGTGGGAAGACAGGGAGAGACACTGAAGTCCAGTATGAGCTAAGGCAGAAAAGGAAAGGGGAGGCTATCCATAGGGATAGTGGGAGAGAACTAGGGGTGGACGGAGCAATTCTACTCGACAAAAGACCAAAAAAAGCAGAGGATTTGGCTTTGGCCTAGAAAGAATGGAACAAAATGGCCAAGTCAGTAAGGGGATAATAAGAACATAGCTTATTACTCCATGACGAGACCAAGTCACCAGGCCCAGGTGAACCATATGCTGGGAAGACTGAAATGCCAGCACAGGTCACAGCTCTGCGGAATGCACATCATCTACCTTTTTTAAAGGGAGGCGGCCGAGTCTTTCAACTCTAGACCAATGAGTTTGCCTTCACTTCCTGGCAAACTCCTGGAACATATTATTGAAGGGATGGCTAATGAACATTTAGAATATGCAAACCCATCACTGCAAGCCAGCATATGCCTGCTTCCACCAAGGACAGGTGACTCCAATATCTGTTGTTCCTTTTCTGACTGGGGTAACAAAGATGGCGAGTCAGGCATACCTCATACACACACACATACCACATGCACATCTCTCTCTCACACACACATACACCCCCCCACACACACACATCTTTCTCACACACACACCCACACACACACATCTTTCTCTCTCTCTCTCTCACACACACACACCCCCCATACCACAAACACGCACGACGATATACACACCCACTCCAAATACAGGGTTGTCCCAAAACCATCTTCGTGAAGTTTTAACTTATCAAAGCTTAAATCTGCACAGAGCCTTTTGGGACAATCTGCACATCTCTGGAGAATCAGTGCATGACAGACTGTGGGGGAGGCATTGCCTTTGTATAAAAGGTGGTGGGTGAGCCGGGTCTGCCAAGGTGCAGGCACAGGAGAGGGACACATTTCCGGCATGGCAGATGTCCAGGGCCAGCAAGGTCACAGAGACTGGAATCACAGTGAAAAGCATGTCGCTGCGAAAAGCTAAAAAGCTACACTGACAAGTTTACATCTTATCCTAGAGGCAACGGGGAGCCCTGGGAGCTGATAGAGCAGGGCAGTGGCCACGTCAGATGGACAACTAAAGGAAAACCCCTTGGGCAATGCTGTGTAGGACAGAGTGAGGTGCAAAGAGTCTTGAGGTTAAGGAGCCCAGGAAGAGGCCATGGCAATAACCCAAGGGAAAGCTGAGAAGGCGCAAAGGAAGGGCACAGCCTCAAGCAGAGACAAGGGCCAGCGGGGGGAGAGCGTGCCAGACCGCTAGCCTCCTTGCAGCCAGGGAAACAATGAACTAAAGGAACAGCAGAGAGCTCGGGCAGAGGGGTAGATCTAGACACACTGAGGCAGGGCTATCTGGGGCCCTCCAGCAGGCCGTCGGTGCCGCTGGACCTTAACCCTAAATGCTTACCGGAGATGCAGACACGGGAGTCACCGGCAGAGACAACAGGGTCACCATGAGAGTGCAGAGCAAAGAGGGTTGAGGACAGACCCTGGGGAAGCCCCCACAACATAGATCCTGATGCCAACAAAGAGGTGAAGGTAGAAAAAGCAGGAGGGGGAGGGTCAGGAGCAGCAGCTAAGAAGAGCTCATCAGATCTGCTCATTAAGAGGTCAGTGGGAAGTCTGCAGAGCAATTCCAGGTGTGTGATGATGGCATCACAGTAGAGGCCCCGAAGCTGGGAGTAACAGCTAAGCTGGTGGGTCCCCAAAGAGCCTCAGGTCTGGAGGAACCTCAAAGGCCACCTGTCCAACATCTTCCCTCCCCTTGGTACCGGTAAGGAAAGAAGGTCAGAGGGGTCAAGTGATTTGGCAAGGTCACACAGCTACTAAGGAGCAGAGCCAAGATTTGAACCCAGGAACTTATTCCTTAACCTTAGCCTAGTAGTTGATACCATACTGCCTTCTGCCTTAACGGATGAGAGTTGGAACAGGAATAAATGTGAGTCTTCTCCTTGGATCCACGAGTACAAGATGGAGAAGGTGGAGGTCCTGGGCTCCGTCTGAGGCCCCACTGTGTGATGGCAGCCCAGAAGGCCTCCCTACACCCGGAGAGGCCAGGATCAATGAGCCCACAGCAGCACTCACTGAAGCCTGCCTCACTCACACCACCCTGGGAGGGGCCACGGTCCTGCCTGAGGGACCGAAGGTGGGACTTTATGCAGGAGACGTTCCAGAGTGGCAGAGGACAATGCACCTCAGGCCACCAGACACAGGCAGGTGGCTAGAAGAGAGAAGGTGTGAAGGGGCTAGGGGCAGGACAGCTCCCGTCATGTACCCACGGGCTCCCAATCAGAACGGGGACTCTGTTGGCAAGAAGGAGCAGCGGGGTAGCCAGAAGGCCAGGAGGGTCCTTCCCAGACTGAGATTCTGGGATAGATGGAAGCAACCTCAGAAAAAACATCTTGTCAACTTTGATAGACTTGGCTCTTCTCAGCAATGCAAGGATCTAAGACAACTCCAAAAGACTCAGGATGGAAAATGCTATCCACATCCAGAGGAAGAACTAGGGAGTCTGAAAGCAGATTGAAGCAGACAATTTGCTCTTTTTTTGCTGTTTTTGCTTTCTCGTGGTTTTTCCTCTTTGTTCTGAGCCTTCTTTCACTACATGACTAATGTGGAAATATGTCTAATGATTGTACATGCATGGCCTATATCAGATTGCTTGCTGTCTTGGGGAGAGGGAGAATTTGGAGCTCAAAAATCTTATAAATGTGAATGTTGAAAACTAAAAATAAAATTTTTAAAAAGGTACAATGAAAATTTAAAACAAAACAAAAACAAAACAAAAAGAAAAAGCATGTTGGCAAAACCACCCTCAAAGGGCCATTCACTGTGACCCAGAGCAAGTCCTGTTCTGAAGCGCTGCTGTGCTCGTACAAGTGTTTGCAGCAGTGGTTTCTAATAACAGAGGCACCATCACCAAAATGAGGTCTCCTGTCCTGCTGGGCTCATCACTCTTGTGGCCAAATAGCTAACTCTTCCTGCAGGGGACTCTGCTGGTCAGTCCGAGAGCTTCTGGAAGAAACCTGACTCACCTTGCTCAGGACTTGGGGGAGACTAAGAAGCTCCAGGACCCTATATGTGAGCCCCAGAGAACAGCTCTGGGCAAACGTCCAATATGTTAAACAGAGGCCTTTGTGACTTGGCCTATCGCATGCACAGAAGCTCTTCAGAATGCCCCCCAGAAACATTTTTCAAATTAAGTTAAAAAATTTTTGTGCAAAAAAATCCAGTAAAGCTAAGATTAAAAGGGAAGTAATGAACTGGGGGAGGGGGGGAGCAGCAGGGGGAAACTTTGCAGCAAGTTTTTCTACAGATTTCATTTTCAAGACATATAAGGAAATGATTCAAACTTGTAAGAAAAAGAGCCATTCGCCACTGCTAAATGGTCTCAGAAGAACACACAATTCTCAAGGAAGAAACCCAGGCTCTCTCTAGACACGTGAAAACATAGCCACTAATCAGACAAATGCAAATTAAAGAAATTCTGAGATTCTACTTCCTAACCCTGACTACGAGAGAATAAAAAACCAAAAGTGGTCAAATGTTGCTGGGATGGTGGGAAAACAGGTACAGCGACACACTGTTGATGGATTAGTGAATGACTCAACCATGACAGAAAGTAATTTGGAATTAAACACAAAAAGTTATTAACCAGTGAGGGCGCTCTGACCCAGTTATATGACTTCTATGCCTATACCCAAAAGCGATAAAAGAAGGCAGAAAAGATCCTTTCTACAAAAAAATTTTTTAAAACAAACCTTTTCCTGGTGTCAACAAACTAGAAACTAATGGATGAATAAATCTGGCACACCAATGTGAAGGAGGATCATTGTGCTGAAAGAGATGAGGGAGCAAGGTGATCTCAAAGAGGTATGGGCATGGAAAGACCTGTGTGAACCGATGCAGAGGGAAGTGAGCAGAGCTGGGAGGACCAGCACACGGAGCACCGACTGCACAAGAGAGAACACTGGGGGAGGGGGAGCTCTGCTCAGCACAAAGACCATCCATGAGGTGGGAGGGCAGCCAACCCCTAGGGCATTTGTTTGGTTCAACTATGCATACATCACAAGAAATTTGGTTCTTTTTTCCCTAATGGGATGGGAGGGAGAAAAAAGAGACTTCTGTTAATTTTTTAAAAGAAGAGGTGAGGGGGTGTTACACATGTGACATGTTGAACATACTTTCTTAAGAAGTTATTACATCAGTCTTAGTCTTACTGAACTGCGGGACTCTGTCACAAGAAGCGAGTGTAGTCTGCAAAGGTTTGAGAGAGAGAGAGAGAGAGAGAGGAACGACAGTCTGGCGCCTGACCAAAGGGATGGGACTATTCTGTTACAGAAGTGATCCTAAGTAACCTAAGGCAGCAACAAATGACAAAGTCATCCACAGAAAAACAACAGGTGACTGAAAAGCACCATTCTCCTGCAACTGCCTTTTGTTTCCAAAGCAGGACAAACGCAGGGTTGAGAGGAAGGAGCCTGAGGCCCCACGTCCTACGGATCTGCCACTGAATCAAAGGACAGCGGGCAAAGAAATGTCTCCCACGTCCCTCTGGGGGCCTCGCTCATGTTCAGTGAAGGACTGTGGCTCCGACTTACTTGAGGGAGGCCTGACGTTAATTCCGATTTCAATTCCTCCAGAGTGAGCAGCAAAGATGTCACAGCCTTTTCATCTGATGATGTCCAGTCATTGACTGTTCTGTTAAAAAGAGAAGAGGACGTTAAAAAATGTAGACTTGCAAGAGCCTACCTCCCTAGAAAGGGCCTTGAAGAATTCTGTGCCCCAGAGGGAAAGAGCCCAAACAGCTACGTGACAAAACGGTCCGATTCGGCCAGCACCGTGAGTGATTTGGCTGGATCATTTTTCGTTGTTATAAATAAGAGAGGCTGTTTTAGTGAGATGATGTATTTCCAGAAATGACTTGTGATGTGAAAACAAAAGGCAACAATAAACCTACTTGAAAACTCAAAAGAAAAATTATAAAACAGAGACGCTGGATTACAAAGGCTGACTGGGAACCAGCTGCCCAGTTAGCTGTCAAAAGTGACTGCTCATTGAGGAAGGCTCAAGGACTGGACTGTCATCTCTGTCGAGGCCTCTGCCTCACCCTAATATTCCTCTTAAACACTGAAAACGGTAATGACAACAGCCTGATAAATTCCAATGCCTTCCATTCATGGGTGGAGAAATCCCCAAACCCAGGGCATCAAGCAATTAGCTTTCAGAGTCCAATGACCAATAGCCATCCGGGTTCCAGTACCCCCAGCATAGTGAGGACATCGATCACAATCACGTCAACAACGTTAGCACCCATCCGAGCACATCCTGCAGGCTGCCTGGGCACACGAACTCAGGGAAAGAGAAGCTGACCTTCAGAGAAAGACAGACAATAGAACCCAGACCCATCACAACTGAGGAGGGGCCCAGGGAAACCTGTCACTCTGGGCAACTGGCCCATTCCCCTGGGTTTGAGGGAATGATCCCAAGGTAAGGGGGGAGGCGAGGGGGCCCTATTTTCTACCACCAGTAGCTTTAGGTTCCCCAGTTTTTCTGCCTCCTAAGGGATGTCGTTACCCAGTCACAAACGGCCTACCTGTTAACGGTCTGGTTCATGAAGCTGGTCAGAAGCCCAAGCACGTGCAGCAGCTGCTGCCGGATGTGCTCCAGCTGGTCGTGATGCCCCAGCAGCTTCTCCGCGGCAGGGGGAAGGGCTGCCCCACTTCCACACTCCTGCCAGGCTCTGGGCACAAAGCCCCTGTCCTTCTCGAGCTCGGTGATCGTCTGCTGCAGCTGCTGGATTTTGTGCTCGTCTCTCTGCCGCTGCAGCTCTAACTCCCGCTGCCAGCCCTCGAAGCACAAGATGAGAAGAAGGCGCCATGTTACACACACGCTCATCAAGAGCCCCAAGCCGCCCACCCTCTCAGCAGACCCCTAGCAGGGAGGGGGCCTGTGAGAACCAGCCAGGCTGGCGCCCATCTGAGACCCAGGAGCCGTCAGGGAGAGAGGGATTCCAGGAGGAAGGAGAGTGTTCCAGGGGCAGGTGGACAGCCTGGGCAAAGGCCTGGGGGCAGAAGACGGGAGGCCAAGACCCCAGACAGGCGGAAACAAGAGCTGTGCTGAGACAGACTGATGGAAAAGGCCGAAAAGCCTGATGGTGGAGAGACTCCCCTGGCGCCTCAGACTCAAAGTCCTGAGCAAGGGAAGGCTGTGGCAAGGCCTGGGCTTCATGAAGATGACTGGCTGCGCTGGGGCGGCAGGCTCTCAACACGACACCGAGGACCTGGCACAGTCCAGTCTCTTGTCGGTTGGCTGCCTGTTGAGAGCTCATATCCCCTGGCACAACCAGGCCCTGATATCCTTAGCAGTGACAGCCCTGTGCCCCAAATGCACGCACACAGCACAGTGCAGGAGTGCAGGAGGGCTTTCTGAAGTCAAACACTGATGCTATGAAGCGCCTGCACTCACCAATGGTCTGAGACTGGCTTGGGGTGCTCTGAGGATGTGGGTCTGCAGGACATTGGCGTATACTTTTCTTAGCCAGAATTTCTTAATGATTATTCCCTCAGCATGTACCAGGATGACTGAGTGTATGGTCCTCACCTGTCTCCCAACCTGATTACGACCCACAAAAACCCACAAAAAAGACCCTGTGTCCCTCTACCCTCGATGGTCACCGGGGTTTGCTGTTCGGCTTCCACACGTGTGCTCAGGATCCCGATGAAAGGGGCCACAGGCCCCACACTAACGTCTGGTTCCACCACTGGTGGGAAGAGACTGGGTAGAACGTGCTGGCCCAGACAGCTGCCCACTGAGCAGACATTTCAGTGCGGCAGTGGAAGGAAAAAGGTCCTAGCGAGAGCAACGTGACAGGGGGGCCTACGGACGCACCAATGGCTGGGCAGGAGAGGCAGCTCCTGGACGAGAAGACATCCTGTTCTGAACATGTGGAGGAGCCACTGGTTTGTGGTTTTCCCAAAGGAAGGAACTCCATATGGGCAAAGGTGTGTTTTTGGAGGATAAGTCTGGCACAGCAACAATAGTTAAAAGGGGAAAGAAACTGAAGATGGGGAGGAGCTGGAGGCAGGAAGGAGGCTGTGAAGTCCTGCCTGGTGGCCAGGATGCTCAGAGACCGGGGAGCCCTTAGGGGAGCACGAGGAGTCAAGGATGAACCCAAGTCTGGGGAATGAAAGCTACAACCTAGAGGAGCAGGCCCAGGGGAGAGATGGGTGCCTGGAGAAGCCTGCAAGGCCCCTGCCAGTCTAAACCTAGGCCCAATGATGCCATGGAGGCTTCTCTGAGCCAAAGAGGCAGAGGGAAGTCAAGAGAAGCAGGAGACAACTGAACACAGCACACAATGAGACTGGCCCCAAAGAGGAGAGAAGCACAGGTGGGGGCCATGGGTGCAGAACGCTGCACCCGCTGCTCTCAGTCTGTTCCTCAAAGTCACTAGACATTCAAGAACCTGCCCTAGCAGATGCTGCAGGAGCTACAGGGCAGAGAAGAGGATGCGCCCGAATGCAGATGGGAGGACCAGCCGCTGGGAGGGGCTAGGGGCCCGGCTCTTTGTCTGAGACACAGTATCTGCTGTTCTCCAAAGCCCTGGAGGGCTCTCGTGGACTCCAGCAGGGAAAAGACTCAAGCTTGGGCAAATCGAGCCTCCTAGGGAAAGGCCACAGGGTGTGGGCTAATACTTGAAACCAGGCCAAGTTCACGGAGGCACATCAGTGGCTGGCTGGGGAGCACAGAATCAGAAGTGGAAGGGACTCTCAGAAGCAGGCCAGCCCCACTCTCCAATTTTACAGATAAGCAGACTGAGGTCCAGAGAAGGGGGTGCTTTGTCCAAGGTCACACAGCTAATCCCATAAGTGACAGACAGGCAGGGTCCAAAGCCAGGCCCTTGGACCATTGCCCTTCCTGTCCTCTTCCCATCTAGTGCTCACAGCACTGTGCCACACTGCCTTGGGAAATCTCGCCACACCAGCAAGTCCTTAAGGCTGGCCACGAGTCCAAGTCAAAGACGACTGATGCTAATCAACAAGTCCCAACTGATTCCGCTGGTCAGGAAGCCCTTGCTCCCACTGCCCACCTCACCTCCTCTCAAACTGCTGGCAGGGCCTACATGATCTCGGCTTGACCCAGCCCCAGCTGACTGCAAGCAAGACTGTTCTTTTCCTCCAAACCTCTCACGTCTCCCACCCCCAGTGCTGGGCCCTCTCCTATCCCCTCCCCCACCATCTCCTCCTCCTGTTTGCCCCTTCTCATCTCGGCTGCCTCCCATCTTCCGTCTCCAACAGACTGTTCCTGTAAGCTAGGACCCTGGCCCATAATTCCTGGGCTTATTTAATGATTTCATGCCTCCAAAAGGTCCACAGGGCAGCAACCAAGGAGAATTCTATTCCCTCTCTAACCGGCTTGCCACCATCCTCATAAAAATCCCAACGAGAGCACCCCATCCCCCAGTCACCACCCTCCTGCTCTCCTCCCAGCTCCCATGGTCCTGAGCCACCAGCTGCACGCAGACAGCTCCTTCATGCAGACATCGGGCCCTGTCTCTTCTGAACATTCTCCAATCCAGCGCGTCAGAACTTGTTACTTTCTCCCCCAAACCCAGCCTTTTTTGGATTTTCCTCTACTTGTGAAGGACGGACATCCCCTCATCCTCTCCACCACCCTAAATTGCTAAAGCATCAGTCGCTCTCGTCATTTCTACGTCCACGTCATTGCTTCTCTCCAGAGACAGTGCCCAAGTTCATCGCTTCTCACTGGGTTTTCCCTCATCGGTCCCCCCAATCCCATCGTTCACCTTCTACCTCCTCAATAAATCCAGGGACTCCTGACAATCTACAGGCTCCAACAGAAACATCTCTGCCATTTCAGTCTCCTTCCTTTGCCCTGGCTGTGCCCCGTCCTTGGAATCTTCCTGATGTACCTCGGCCCCCCACCTAACTGTAGTGTGCACATGTACTGGAGTCACCTTCATCTCTAGGTGGGGTACCCCCGAGAGAACAAAAGCTTGGTGTTCCTCACCCCCCAGGCAGGGAGGTGGGGCGCAGAGGGCCCCGCAGGGGCCAGCTGCCAAGCCCCCTGGGGTTCTCAGGGCAGGAGAGCCTCACCAGCCTCTCCTTGTCTTTCTTGCCCTTCTTGCCCTTGTCTTCCTCTGCTTGCGCCTCACGCCTTTTCTCCTTCTCCCTCCTGGCCTCCTTGCCGGCCTCTTCCTTCAGCCTGGTCTGTAAGTGCTCTAGTTCTGCCTGCAGCCTGCCCTGCTTGGCCCTCTCCTTCTCCAGATACAACAGCAGCTCCTGCTTCTGCTTCTGGAGGGCGTCCACCGAGGCCTGCAGCAGCGCACTCACCTCTTTCTCCTTTTTCAGCTCCTCGCTGTGCATTTGTACCTCCAGCTCCAGCTGCTTCTGGCTAGCCACGCTCTGCTGGCGGGCATCCTCCAGCAGGGCCTGGAGCTGGGCGGCCCGCGCCTTTTCCTCCTTCAGCTTGCGCACAAAGGCGTGCTGCAGCTGTACCTCCTTCTGCGTGCACGCCTCGCCTGCGCGCTTGCTCAGCTGCTCTGTGACGAGGCGCTCGTGGTTCAGGGCCTCGCTGAGCTCTGCCGAACGGCCCCTCTCCACCTCCAGCGCCCTCTGGAGCTCGCATGCCTGGCTGCGCTCCTGGCACAGGAGCGCCTCACAGCGCGAGTACTCGATTTGAAGCTCCTTTTTCAGGTTGTCCTTCTCAGCCTGCTCATGCTGGAGGCTGACCGCAAGCTGCCCATTCTGGCTGCGCAACTTGTCCAGAGAAGCCTGCAGCTCCTGTGTGGGGAGAAGAAGGGCCACTGTTGCAGCCGGCCTCGCCTCGGCCTCCTCCCACAGTCAGTCTCGGGCACGGTCACACCCACCCACAAATGCCCCAGCCACCAACTGCCGCAAGCCTTCCCCCCCGCCCCGTCTGTCCCTGGATGTCCAGGGGCTGCGACTGGGAATGGGCGCCCCAGCTTCCCTCCAGGCCCCCCATGTGCACACCCACCTCGATGGTCCTGGACTTCAGCTCGTCCTTCTCCAGACTCTGCCGCTGCTCCTCTTCCACGAAGGCCTGCAGCTCCTTTGCCTTCTGCTTCTCGCCCTGCAGCACGTCCAGGGCTGCCTTCAGCTCTTGCTCTTTGCTTTCCAGCAGGGATCTGCGTGAAGAACAGGGACCACCATGTTTCATTTTAGGAAAAGGAGACCCAACGGCAGATGGTGCAAAGCTCCCTGTCTAACGGCCTGAGAACAAGCACCAGCCTTGGCCTGGGCACAGCCAGGCCGAGCCCCGGCAGAGCAGCCGCGGCCGCAGGCACTCAGCTCGCTCTGTTCCTTACGACTCCTCAGGACTGCCCCCATCCCTCACCTGTCTTTCCTTTCCCTCTTGTGCCCGTGGCTGCCCACGCTGCCTCCTTCCCTACCCACTGGCTCTGTCCGACACTCTGGGTGCTCTGGCGGTGCCAATTGTTCATTTATTTATTTGTTTATTTTTGGCTAGGCAATGGTGTTAAGTGACTTGCCCAGGGTCACACAGCTAGTAAGTGTTATGTGTCTGAGGTCCGATTTGAACTCAGGCCCTCCTGAATCCAGGGCCGGTGCCAAACTTAAAAACAAACCCAAAAGGGGCAGCTAGGTGGCACAGTGGATAGAACATCGGCCCTGACTGGCCCTGAAGTCAGGAGGACCTGAGTTCAAATCCGGCCTCAGACACATAACACTTCCTGCTGTGCGACTCTGGGCAGGTCACTTAACCCCAACTGCCTCACTAAAAAACAAAACAAAACAAAACCTAAACCCAGAGCTGGGTTAGAGAAGCCAACTCTCTCCTGGCTGCACAGCCTTTAGAAATGTCCCAGCTCTGCTGCCCCGTTTCTCCCGGATCTGGAACCCTCAGCTTAGCCCATCACCCTACTCTAGAATCCCTCTGCAGCTCCCACAAATCCTGCAATGCTCCAGGCCCTGACCTCACAATGTCTGTCACTGTTAACTCGCCTGGCTTGGCCTGCCTTTCCTCTTTTCCTATCTTTTCTGGCCTGGCCTGGCCTTTCCTTTGCTGTCTTATACTACAACCTGTCACTTCTGATTTCTCCTAATTCATAATCCTTTAAAGGCCTAAAGTGGGAAGATGTTGCCAAAGCCATCCGCTCCAAACTCTACCTGACTAGGAACTCCTTCCCAACACACCTGGCACGACAAGGCCATCAAGGAAGGCCCCTTTCAGACAGCTCCGCAAGCTTGAGTCTGCGACTCCTAGCCTTGATTCCTGGTTCTGCCTTCCTGGGCCACGCGGAACCAAGCTAATAATCCCATTTCCTCAGGATGACTCTTGAAGACAACTGTCATATCTCCAACTCGATCCCCTTCCTCCTTTGGACTGTCCCTAGTTCCTCCCATGGATCCTGAAGGGGAAGCCTCGAGGCCTCTCCACGCTTCTCCTTACCCTCCACTGGACCCAGCCTGTGGTTCTGCCTAAAAGACAGCGTCCAGGACTGAACACAAGCATCCTAGCTGGGGCTGACCCCAGCACAAGGCAGTGCGAGCCTCTCTGAAAACAGCCACAGATGCCAGTTTTTTATGGCGGCTGTAGCACACACATTGATTTTTATTCAGCTTAAAAAGCTATTCTAGGGGGCAGCTAGGTGGTGCAGTGGATGGAGCACTGGGCCTGGATTCAGGAGGACCTGAGTTCAAATCCAACCTCAGACACATAACACTAGCTGTGTGACCCTGGGCAAGTCACTTAATCCCGTTGTGAGACCAAAAAAAAAAAACTATTCTAAAGACTTCCAGATTCCATTCAATTCCTGTCTGCAGAGTCTGAAAAGATCATGATAACTTCTCTATCCCACCCTTCCTGGACAAGCTCCTCCAGGGCTGCTGAACATTTCCTAACTGCTAAATCACAGCGTCTAAAGAAAGCATCACAGATGGTGAGCTACAGCGGATGAAACAGGGGCCCCGACAAGCCCGAGGCCCTTCCTCAGCCCTTCTCCTCAGGAGCTCTCAGCAGCTGCTGCCTCTGCCAACCAGTCCGTGTCCTTCCTTCCCGCCCTGGGTGGTCTGTGTCAGCATCGGAGCCCCAGCCCACATGGAGGAGCGTGGTCCAGGCCCCATTCTGGGTAACGTCAGGGAATCTCACAGTTTTCATTTCCAAAACCTCCAGAGCCACCCTTCTCGCCCTCCTGCCTGCCCATTCCACATTACTAACTGTATGGCCTGTGGGCATCTCAAACCCAACATGTCCAAAACTCCTCCCACTGCGCCAACTTCCCTCCAGGAACCCGTCCCCTGCTGTGAGCACACCAGCACGGACAAAGGCCCCAAAGGCCGACTCTCTCTTGTTCTTAGTCAACATTAGGAGAAGGGGCTCTTGAGGCCTCTTTCTCGCTCTAGACCAATTATGTCCACCGTTCTATTCCATACATGGGGATTCGTTTGCCTGGACTCCTCACGGGCACCTTCAGTTAGTCCAGAGCCCACGGACCTTGAAGACAGTACATGCTAGCCTGCGTGTCCCTACATGCAGCTGGGTTTTCTCTTCCCCGGGCTAAATAGCTCTAGTGATTTCCATCCGGTGTTGAGGACATTCACCAGGTTCCATGCCCCCTGTCCAGCCCAAGCATCACTCAGCCCAAGGACCACTTTGTCCACAACACCCACCTGGCACAGTCTCATGTTCCGATTCTCCCCTTTCCCCAGAGTCGTGGACCCCACCACCCACCTCCGCGTTTGTCGCACCTGCGCCTGGTTCTCCTCACACCTCCCCACCTGATTTCCCTTTTCTCAGTCAACAAGCATTTATGAGCCGCAGCATAGAAAGCTCAGAGGGGAGAGGCTGGAAAGGTCCAGGACTGCCAATCCATGCCAGCCTGGGGCTGCGCGGTGCCTCAGGGGGATTGACTGGCTCTGCAGACAGAAGGCATCAGGATGGACAGGGCACAGGGAAGGCCTGCTCGCAAAGCGGGGTGGAGAAGGGGAGCTTTGGGGGCAGAATCCTGGGGCAGCCACCCCAGGCAGGGAGAAGGAGGGAAGACATCTCCACTCCCACTGCTCTGATGGTCTTCAGCTCACCATCAGGGCTCCTGCAGCTCCTTCCTTCACGCCACAGCCCACCCTCCCAAGTCACCTGTGCTCCTTGCCTGCCGCCCTCCCCAAAGGCCCCCTCACATGCCAAATCTAAGGCGCTTGGCATTCTGGGCTCCTGGTGATGTCATCCTCCCCTGGTTCTCCCACTCTCCAGTCCCCCCACCCCGTCTCCTTGGCTAATTTTCAGGCGTGCATCGTGCCACACCCACTAACTGGGGGTGTCCCTTCCATCTTTTCTGTCCCTCAGGGATCTCTCCTCAGCCTCGGGAGGGAGCTCCGTCAGACTGTGAGCTCCTCAAGGGCAGGGCCTTTCTTGGCCTGTCTTTTCATCCCAGCACTTGGTATGCAGAAGGTGCTTAATCAATGCTTATCCACTGACTACTACCTAATAGGTATAGTAAAGGATCATGCAGAGATGTGGAGCGAGACAACCATGTGGCCGCATGCTATTAGGCACAGGCATTAACAAGGTGATGGGAGGGAGTCCTCCAAGCCCATGACCTCAGCTGTTTGCACAGAGGCAAGAGGTCCCAGCCCGGGGCCATTGCGCTCCTGCTGCCCTCGGCCCTGTCCACACCAATCCGGGGCTCAGGCCTGTGCGCTGCTCTGGGCAACACACTTTCAGAGGGACGAGGATGAGCTGAAGGGGGTCCAGCTGAACGGGCCCACCTCGTGGGAAGCTCTGGAGACAAGAGCGGGGAGGCCCTCACAGCACCTGTCTTTAAGGACCCCGCAGTGCTGGCAGAAGCAGATCCCTCCAGGGCCCCTCCCCCAGCCACATGCCCACACATGCCTCTACCTCAGGTGGCCGGCCTCCTGCTGGGCATCTCTCAGGGACTGGGAAAGGGTCTCCTTCTCCTGCCTGCATCCTTCAAGTTCAGACTTGAGTCCTTGTGCTGTGTTCTGAGCCACCAGCAGAAGCTTCTGGCTTTCTGTCCCCTTCTCTTGTTCCTCAGCAAGAGTCTTCTGCAAGTCCCTCACTAGGCATTTCTCTTGCTCGACTTTATACTCCAGCAACTCAACTGGGGGGAAGGTAGGGAGCAGAGCAATAGGTCAAACCAGGCAGGTGCAGCGCCACCCACACCCACGTGGCGGGATACGTGGCCCCACCCACGTCCCACCCCCTCACTTTGCCTCCGGAACTGGTATTCCTGCTTGCTGCCATGGTCCTTGACGTTGGTGAGGGCCTCGTGGAGCTGCTGCAGCTTCTCCTGGCTCTGGAGATGGGTCATGCGGAGCTGGGCGTGCAAGGCCTGGATCTCGGCCAACAGGCCACTCCGGTCACTCAGATGCAGATTCTCTAAGGTTCTCTTCTGCAGTTCTCCCTGGGGAAAGAGCCAGGGCGGAATGAGTGCCACCGTGACACTGCCCGCAGGACCCAGGAAGAGTCTTGCCCGCCCGGCCCCCCACCCCAATCAGGAGAGGCCACGAGCCTGTCTGCCACCCGCCGTTACCTGCTCCTTGACGATGTCCTCCAGCTTTTCCAGCAGGGACCTTTCATCTCCCGACTCCAGATTGCATAGCTTGGACTGCAGCTCTATTTTGAGCACGTTCCGCTCCTTTTCCAGGACTTCTTGGATGGCGGGCAGAAATTCTCCCCAGTCAAAGCCCGTGTCCAAAGGCTCCTTCAACATGAAATAAAACCCGTAGTGTGGTAAGAAGGACAGCTTCCCCTCAAAACCCAGGCCTCCCAGGGGGGATGATCGCCAGGGCCTCCAAAGGGGCCTCCTGGGTGGACCACCACCCTGCCCCCCACCAGAGATGACCAGAGATAGCCCAGGACTTGCCCTACCAAAGGCCCCTGGGGCATGGGCACAGCTCTACTCTAAGGACCTCAGACAGGGCATGGAATGTCCCCCATTAGAAAAGAGTCTCTTGAGAGCAGGGATGGTCTCATGCGCACATGCACACGCACGCGCGCGCGCGCACACACACACACACACAGCACCCAAATTTACTTGTCTGGTTCTAAACCCCAAGAGAACAAAGCCAGGAGGCACCTTAAGGCTAGTCCAGAAAAGCAGCTTTTCTTACCACTTGGATACCGGCCCCACCTGCTCCTATCCCTCCTTACATATTCTGTGTTCATAACAAATGAACTCCCTTCCTCTGAAGTCATGCCTCAGGCCAATGGGGTGGTCATAGTACACGAGCACCATGAGGGCTCTGGTGCTGGGCAGAGGCAGACAGACACCATCCCCACAGCACCGGCCCCCCGGCCCCCCCTTCCTCCTCCCCTCCCCTCAGGGGATGTTTTCCCCAGCCCTGTCTGTCCCAGCCTGACCTTCTCTCCTCTGGAGGGCACTTTGGTGAGATGGTCTTTGAGGGCCTGCACAGCCTCCAGCAAGCCCTGCCTCTCCTTCTGAAAGCAATCCAGGGGCGTGTGCAGCGGCTCACTGCCCAGCTCCGGGCCAGAGGCTTCAGCTTTGGACAAGACCAAGATCTGTTGGCTCTCATCACACACCATCTTCAGCAGCGCCTAAGGGCCAAACAGAGGATGGCGCGTTAGCAGTGGACATGCACCCAACATGGCTTTCCTGAACCGTCAGGCAGTGGGGCTCTTCTGACCAGGGCACAGCAGCTCTGCTTCAGATGCGGCCAGGCTGCAGAGGATGGCACCGGCCCTGCCAGCTACTGGGGCACTGCTTCCCCCTCTTCTCTCTGACCCAGTGGCACCGGATGAACGCATTCCCTCCCTTCCCCACTCCTGCTAGGCCCCTCTGGAAAACGGCAGACCCTTGATCGACTGACCTAGGGCAGGAACAGAAGTGGAACGATTCTTGGCCAGCCAACATGCCCCATGTACGAGAGGACAAAGGGAGCTGCCAAGAAGACACGCCTCTGCTGCCACACTGCCTCACATGCTTACACGCCCCCACACCTGTGGCTGCATATACTCACAACATGCTTATGTGCCCCCACGCTTCCATGGCTAATCATATTCACACCTTTGCTGCGACACCCCCACTCCCCTGCACACTCACACACGCATCCCCTTCACACTCATACTCACACCCCAGCTGCTACACCCCTCCCCTTACACACATTCCTCTCTTCCCCCACAACCCCAGAAGTTGTCCCAGGTAGGTGGCAAGGCCAAGCCACCCCTCAACAGAGAATCATCTCTCCTCAGTCACCTTCTCCCCCACCCCCAGCACCCTCCAGCCCACCTCCCAGGCCCTTCTCCTGGTTCTGGACCATCTACCTCGAGCCCCTGTTCTGGGGCTGACACACACCCCTTTACTATTCTCATGTCCTCATTGCCTCCTACCAGATGAGGCCCCGCGGCCCCTTGCACCCACTGCCATGGCCAAACTGTCCTCCTAATGCCGCTCCTGCTCACTCGCTCTCAGGCCACTGCCCTCTCTGGGGGCTCCCAGGTATCAGGCCTCGAAAGCATAACCCACACCCACTCGTGCCCCTTGGGGCCCATCTGACACCTCGTCCTCACTCATGTGCAAAGCTCAGCCCTCTCTTCTCTCATGCCCTCTTCTTACTCTCTCCCCACTGCCATCCTCCTCATTCAGATCACTCCCAGGAAGGAGTTTGGGGAAACCGTCACCGGTTTCTTCCCGCCCCAATCTGCTGGGCTCTCCTGGCTGAGGCTCTGCCCCCTGATGTCTAGCTCCTCGGCACCCCCCTGTAGATCACCCCCTAGCCCTGGGAGTCCTGCCAGCACTGTCCTCCTCCCCCTATCCTTGTCGATTTCAGTGGATTGTGGCATCACTACTGAGAGGAGGCAGGTCAGACTCATTGTGGCCCACCACCACCCTTGCCACCTCTGCCCACTGGCTTGCTTCATGGCCTCTCCCAAACCCATCCCCACTGCATTCTGATGACCTTGCTTTGGTCCCCCCCCTGCCCCTCCTGCACCAAAGTCTTTCCAAACTCATCTGCCTGCCTTCAAAGGGTCCTTCCAAAAGCTTCCTGACTGAGGGGATGCCAGGCACCCAGTGTCTGTCTGAAGCAGCCGGGCCTGTGGTCAGGAAGACCCGAGTTCAAATCCAGCCTTGGACACTGCCTGGCTGCGTGACCCTGGACGAGTAACAAGTAACCTCTGCCTGCTTCTGCTTCCTCCACTGTAAAGTGGGCACAACAAGAGCACCAGCCTCCCAGGCCGTCGCCAGGATCAGATGAGGCGTGTTTGCTGGAAAGAGCTCAGCCCAGTGCCCGGCACACAGTCGACACTCTCTAAACGCTTCTTCCCTTTCTCCTCCCTTTCTCTTGTCTCCGAGATGAAATGTAAATTCCAGGCCACTCCAAGTTATCTCCGCATTCCCCGACACCGGGCTTCTGCCTAAGCCATCCCTTGGGGGCCATGCCACCTGCCTGCCTGCAAGTGTTCTGCAGGTTCCGCCAAGGCATCCTGGCACACTCCCTCTTCCTGACTTCCCATCACGCCTCCCCATTACAGCCCACGATACGTCCCGGGGGGCCCAGGCCTGGGCTCTCGCCTCACAGTCAGCCACCCTGTGCCAGGAGGATTTCTGTGAACACGGAGATCCCCACCCTATACCAGGTGCCTCGGACCTTCTTGGACATTATGAAAGACTAAGGGACTTGCCTGGGGTCACATGGCCTGGAGGTGTCAGGGTAGAGATCTGAACTGAGGTCCTCCTTCCACTAGGCGGGGCTGCCTCAACTACTAGCATTCTCATGATGATTACCACTGCTTAAAATACTACTCATAACTAATACTGCTAGAGCACAACCCTGCATCCATGGTCTCCTCAGCCCTTTGCCCACTACAGGCATGACAGATAATGTCATTCCCATCTGGCCGATGAGGACGCCAAGACGCAGAGAGGCAAAGGACTTGCCCTGGGTCACAGGGAGGAAGGCTCAGGAGCAGGACAGGCTGCCGGGTATTCCTGCGCCCAAGCCTGCATTTCTCTCCACGCCCCCTTGCCAAGGGTAAAGAAGACTGTGTGTTCAAGGCTGGAAACAAGCAGAGCCAAAGAGCCACATGTGGTAGACAGACACCATGCCTGCTGCTGGACCTGCCGGGGCCCTCGGGGCCCATGCCAAGGGAGCAGTCGGGCCAAGCACCCCTAGTAGGGCAGCACCGGGCAAGAAACCCAAGGCACTGGCTCTCTGGGCACTGGAGAAGTGTGGCAGGTATCTGTCTGACATGAAAGGATGCTCCACTGCTCCCAGTAAACGGCAAAGCAAAAAAGCTCCTTTCCACTTCCATCTTTGGAACGCACTTATCCAGCCCACGCCTTGAACAAATGCATGTCATTCAGGTGGGTTTGGGACCGCAGCGAGGCAAAGCCATTCAGGCCCCGTGAGGCAGGGGGGAGGCCCGTATTACACAGTTCTACCTCGGACCACACTATGCAATAAAGACTCCCCAGATGGCTTCACAAATGAGGAGGTCCTCCGACCCCAAACCCTGTTCTGAAGGGGGTCAGCTGGCTGAGGTCCCAGAGGCAGCAAGCCCTGCAGACCAGAAGCTTCAGAGAGAGGTCAGGGACTCAGTCATCCATTCAATGAGACCTCAATTGGGTCACACCCAGGGGAAACCTCTGCCTGGTCTAAGTATCAGGAGGAGAGATGGGCGGGCACCTTTTTTTCCATCCTGGTCTGGGATATTTGCTATATCTTTTATGCCACATAACCTGAATCACATTCCAAAGCCTCCTGGCCTCTTTGCACCCAGAGGCAAAGCTGAATAGGCAGCCAGGTGCCTCTGGGTCTGGGCCTATCACTGCTGATGTCATGATGCCTGGCACTGCCCTGTCCACCAGTGACAAGAGCTGATGGGCACCAAGGGCACAGCCAATGCCACCCTCCCTTGTTCCTGCTCCTCTCAGAGACACTAATGCTCCCCTCGGCTCAGCAGCTGGCACACCCAAGGAGGCAGATGGACACCATGGCCCCTGACTGCTGGCCTCCAGGGCGGGCCTCCCCCAACTCGTTGCTTTCCCAGATTTGCTCAGGGTGTTTTTGTGTGGGAGGAAGCTTGGCTACTCTGGAAAGACACCAGATATGGAACCCAACACTAGGCCCTTTGACATTAATCGAGGACTGTGCCAGGTGTTGTAACGACCCTTGGTGATGGTGCCCATGACAGCTTTGGGCAGGACTCACATACCCAAGCCCCTCAGGATGATTACCTTCATCTGTCTGGAATGCATTTCTAACTTATCGTTCATTGGTCTGAAAGGCCTCTGAACCACTCCAGATTTCTGCAGACAAGCCACAAGGTGGGTATGTGGAGGTCTTGATCTTTCTGAATCTTGCTTTAGTCTGTCGGAAAATCTGAAAGATCACTACCTAAAAGAGAACAAAAACAGAAGGTCAGAGCGGTCACAAGTGACCTCTCAGGCCAGCCCGTGCAGGCCTATTCCTAAGAAGCTGGTGAACAGGAGGGGGCCCTTCGGTCTGCGTCTCCACAGCCAAGAGAAGGGCAGCGCTCTGGGGTCAAGGAGGAGGCTCCCAAGGCACACTGGCACAAAAGATGCACCAATCACACATTCTAGTCAAGGGTGGGAAGGAGACGTTTATTGTTTGAACAGAGTCATTCGTGGATCGAACGACCATTAAAGATAATTTGGGACATCTATGAGTCCTTCTTGGCCAGATAGGGGCTGCGCTGCCTGACCCTACCTCCGTCACCACCATTGGGAATGTGGGCCCCCCCACCTCCCAGGAGCACCCCAGCTTAGAGCCCTTCTCAGGGGAAAGGCTGGCAGGAGGAGGCCCGGGGGCAGCACCAACTCACTGACATCATGTCCATCGCTGTCCGCACCTAAGCCGCCTACTTTGGACTGCAGGTCTTCTTGAGAATCCGTTGCTGTTAGAATGAAGTCTTCATCTTTGTCCTATTCAAAACAGGTGGATTTCTAGCTACCCTAGTCACACCCCACACTTATAAATGCCCACTACCCTGGGAGAGGTATTAAGTTCCCAATCTCAATCAGAAAACCAAAGGCACTTATTTTGAAAAAACAGATGAATACCTACCTGACAGTTAGTTATTAGCCATTCAGTCATTGCTAAGTGGAACTTAAGATTTGTTATTGTTTTTAAAATACTGCTCAAAAAACCATAAACCCAGAGTTAGCTTGAAAAGACAAAACCATCTGCACTGGACGTGAGTGCACATACTGAATCGACTCCCCAGCCTCAATCCCAGATGGGCTCTCAGGCCTCACTTAGACCGAGGGTGAACCCTCCAGTCCATGAGAGAAGAAAGTCAGCTCATTTCCCTGCGTCCACAACACTAGAGTGGTGAATGTCCTTCAAGTCCTCTGCACTGCTCTCACAAATGAAGCTCTCCCCAAATTCAACAGCCAAAAGCAATTCTTTACAAAGCTCTCCTTCCCTCCTCAAGCCTTGGCCCCCTAAGCCTGGACAACCTGCATCAGACACAGCTGTGCCTGAGGACCAAACGCCCATTTAAACACATCTCCCCAGAGGACAACAAATTGGGGGTTGACCTGCAGAAAGCTAGGCTTGCCTACACACCGTGTTGACCGCTGGGCTCCGAGCCATGTTTCAAAAGCTGCTTTCATAATACCTCTAGCGAGGAGGTGAACTAATAATGGGGGAGCTGGGATCCCTGGGCAGGAAAAGAAAAGCCCATTTCCATGGAAACATGTTGAAGTCACATTACCTGAGGACAGAGCTAAGGGACCAGACCTCAGGGAGCTCCCAGGTGAGGCCACTCCCTCTACCAATGCAAGTCACCATTTCCCTGCAAGGCACCAGTTTTGAAGAGCCACTAGAGGCAGTGACAAGGGAAAAACTTGTCCAAAGTAACCCAGCCAGCACAGGGCTAAGGGGCTGGAAGCCAGGTCCCAAGGCCAACTTTCCACCTCCTCTACCAAGCTGCTTGTCTTAATCCCCTTTGTCCCTCAGGACACAGAAATGGGCTCAGAGGAGAAAAAAAGGTATACGTTACCAATATCCTCCTTTCGATGTCATGGCTGGCGTTGGGCTGTGATCTTTCCCTACAAGACAGAGGCTGGGAAGCCAGAGGGGCCGCTCCCAGCCCTGGGAGAGCAGGATAACCCAAGCATCCTAAGGAATCTTGCAGAGCCAAGGACCGCCAAGCCAAGTCTGGGCTCTGAAGGTCGGCGGCTTGCGAGAGGGGCGTCAGGTGGATGCTGGGCAGACTTTCTAGTGTGAAGTCTTTTCTGACCAGCTCCGGGGAGCCCAGCGAGGAGGAGTCCATGTCCAGGATCGTATCTCTGAAGTGCTGAATGGTGTCCGGGAGCTCTGCATCTTGCGACCCATTCTCAGCGCTGCATGCTGAGGAAGGCGAGCCGGGTACAGACTCTTCACCTGGTTCAAGAGGAAACCTGCCTCCATCTGGAGGGGGAGAATCCTGGCTTTTCATCAATGGCGGGGCTCGCTCTTCACAGTAGGAGCAATCGGGAGTGAGGGGACTGGCATCGTACAGGTCTCCACTGGGGCTGCTCGGAAAAGAATCCAGGCTCTGGTCCACCTTAAATTCGTGTCGGACTTGTCCTGGCGGCACGTGACTTGGAGTGTTGTGAGCTGAGTCCCGTGAGTGGCAGAGGACGTTGGGGACTGGCCCTTGTGAGGAAGGAGGGCCTGGGTCAGCTGGTGATTGGCCCTGCGCTGTCCTTGACACACGCCTTGGAGGTCTCTGGGGAGGGCTTGCCAACGCAGGGGGCTCTGCAAGTCCCTGCGGGTGCAGCTGTGTCCAGCCTGCGGCGTCTTTGCTGTCTCCATGGGATATGGACTTTATCAGGTGATGTAGCTTTTCTTGAATGTGTCTCACTTGGGTTATCAGATCTCCTCTGTGCAGCTGATAACTTTCCATTGGTTTCTGCTGAATCTGTGGTGGGAAAAAGGCATGCAGATTACTAAATAAAAAGCTATATACTTTTCTAGCTAAACTCTCGTGAAAACTGATGTGTGATTTTCCTATTTCCAATCAAAGAAAAGCAAAGCAAAGGCCTGACCCTGGCACTCTTGGCCAAAGGTTCTCTCGCTGCTTTAAGCAAACAACATTTAGGCTTCAGTTTTGAAAAAGGCAGAAGCTTCTCAAAAAACCCTTCCAAATGCAAATATCAGTCCATCAGTGAGGTACTTCAGAAGAAAGAGCAGCTTCCTCGGTCAACCGAAGCCACAAGTGGGACACGCCGCATGAGAACTCGGCTCTGCCATTTCTCTAAAGAGCTCACATGGACAAACCACCAGTGAGCGTCTGCTCCCAGAGGCTGAAAGGACTTCAGAAAGTGAAGAAACAGGTCCAAAAAATTTAGCTAATGCTCTCCCCCACAAGCACAGACAGACCAAGAAAACGGCAAAGATTACACACAGGATTCAGATTTAATAAGGGAAGAAGTCTGAATGGAGTGGGGAGGCGGGGAGACCTCCAAGAGGGAAATGTTTTCTTTGACTAATTTTTCCTCTAACTTAAGATTTCTTCTTCTGGGCTTATTTGATTAATTTTCTAGTTCTCCTTCAAACTAAAGCTTGGTTCATTTATCCTCTTTTTTCTACTTTGTTCACATATGTTTTCAGAAGTAAAGTTTTCCTCTGAGGACAATGTTCATTCCACCCCAGAAGTTCTGACCTGCTGTCTCATGCCGATCATTCTGTCTCCTGCAGTTACTGCTTCTAGGACTTCTTCTCTGACACGACTCTGACTCACAATCAGAACATCTGTCTTCTGCATGTCCCCCTTGCCTGATCCCAGTTGTAACTGGTATACTCTTATCACAGAGATTCCACTGAAGAGACATCACATTCCCCAGATTCCCCCCTGCCCTTCCCTGACACTCCTGCAGCTCGCCCCCTTGGCCTGCATCCCAAGCCCGTCACTCCCCACTCTTTGGCCTCGTCCTCCCATCATTTGGGCATTCCCCACCTCTGCCACAATCGTGCTGCCCATATTCACCTACTAGGTCATGTAATTCTACTTCTAACAGAATGACTCAACAGTCACCTCAACAAAAACCACAAGGAATCACAACAGATCCATCAGGTTCTAGGTGGAGAGAGCTTTGGGCCCAGAGTCAGGAAGACCCAAGTTCAAATCTGGCCTCAGCCAGTTAGTAGCATGCGTGGCCCTGGGCAAGTCACTTTACCTGTCTGCCTCGGTTTCCTCTAGTGTAAAATGATGGGGATCATAATAGCACCTACCTTACAGGGCTGTTGTGATGCTCAAATGAGGATATTTGTGAAGCACTTAGCACAGTGCCTGGCACATAATAGGTGCCTGTTCTCTCTTTGCCCCCTCCCCACCCAAGGAGGTCAGGTGAAGAGGTCAAAGCTCCTCCTTGGCCTTGCCCCTGAGGTACCTTCATTCCTCCTAAAAGCTGGCTGCTGTCCTCTTTACTCAACTCCATCTTATTTTTCATAAAGATGAGCTCAGACTCCAGCTGTTTCTGACAGACTGTCAAGACTGAAATTACATTTTCTTTCCTCTGGAGACCAGCCTCTTTGCATATCACTAGGTCTTTAGCAGAGAATGACTGCTCCTCAACTAGACTCTAAAATAAATATGAAAACGAACACTGTGATAAGGAAAGAACCTGGGCGGCATCAATTCTCTCACCAAAAGAGGAGCTGGGCCAGAGCACAAGGCCTGTGGGACAACACACAAGTTCTAGGTATCGTCAGCCACTAGTCTGGGCTGCGCCCTTGAGGGCTCCTCACCTTGCCCACACAGAGCACACATCCCGAGGGCATAGACTAAGTGCATCCCACTGGGCCAGGCACTGTTCAAGACCCAACTAGGGATGAGCAGCTAATGGTCTAGGTGGGCACAAAAGAGCTGAAACACGGGAAAGAGCAACAGGTCCCCTGAGAGGGTGTGTCGGCCGGGTTATGGTCAGGATGCTCCCTACCCCCTGCTCATGAGGAAGAAAAGCTTGTGAGAAAAGGTGAGCGGGAGCTCAGAAAGGGAGAACGCAGCCTCAGATTGCAGCTGCCCAGTCAGAGAACTCTCTCTTTCACAGACATCAGCTCTGACCTAGAATTAATAAGTAAATGACACAGACCTCATTCTACAGGGTCTGAATTCTGCCAGGCTGAGCTGGGCTTCACCATCAATTACAACTGAAAAGCTTATTTTTAGAAAAGTTTTAAAATCAGGAATTTTAAGTTGTTTTTCTTTTTTAAAGAAAATGTTTAAAAAATTTTAAAGACACCAAAGCTCTTGGACTAAGAAACTGGATAAGAGAATGAGAGAAAGCAAATGATGCCTCCACCTGTGTATAAGGTCCTACGTGTTGTGCTGGGCCTACACTCAAGGGCCCTCCATGCCCTACCCTCCCTAGGTCTCCTTGTTGTGTGGGAAAGCCGGGGGCTGGGGTGGGGGTAGGGGCCCCCGCAGGGCGCTCCACGGCTATCTCCCAGCGGATCACAAGCTCTATTGGGGCAGGCTGGCTTCAAGCAAGGACTACCCACCCTGGACCAAAAGCAAAGCCCTGAAGGTATGAGTCTGTCAGCTCCCCTCTGCCCCAAGGCCACCTGAAAGGCCAAAGAAATGAAGAGCAGGCCTGACCTGAAGCTCCATTACAATGACCCACATCCCTGGGCCAGCTTCAGCCTCAGTGACCCAAGCTGGGGTACCACTGCCCTGTAAACAATGTCCCTCCAGCACCAGCCTTTTCCTACTGCCCAGATGAGGAAGAAGGGAAGAGTGAGAGAAGAAGCCAGTTCAGGAAGAGAGAATCGCTAGATAGGGTCTGCTGCACAGAAAGCAGACCTGGCTGCTCCTCATACCTCTGGCAAGCCTAGGGCCAGGATGAGCCAGGCCACATCCCTCAGCCCAGCCACACTAACGGAAAAACGTATCTCAGAGCACTGAGATGCCTGCCTGCCTTCATTTGTATGGGATTTCTTCTCACACAATGCATACCAAGCCATCACCACGCTGCCCCTGGGGAACAGCGGGCAGCCGCCACGGCCCCACATCTTGACTAGACTCCTCTGTGGCAGGTGCAGCACGAGGTCCTCCTTTAGAGACCCAACCAGTGCAATGACCCTCCAGAGTGGAAGCTCTGGCCAAGAGCCGCCCGGGCCCCCATGTCCTGGGCGGGCTGAGAGCCTCCGCTTCCTTCAAGTGTTTCTGAATCTGCATTTGACACCGGGGACCGCAGGCCCTGTGCTGATCGAGCGCCGTCTGGTAAGTGACCAGCTTCTGGCTCAGGGCCTGCAGCTTCAGGTTCAGGCCGACGCACTGAGCCCGAAGCACCCACAGCTCGGGAGGCTCCTGGGAGCCCGGCACATCTCGCCTCTCCAGCTCCCTCTCCAGGTGAGAGCAGGCCGCCGCGAGCACCTCCAGCTCAGCCAGGAACGCGTCCTTCTCTTCAGTCAGAGCACTGACCTCGGCCTCCTTCTTGAGGAAGGCAGCCTTCCAGTGCCGGGAGTGCGAGGCCGCCCGCTTGGCCTCTGCCTCGTTCAGAGACAGCTGGCACCTCAGCAGGCCCAGCTGCTCTGCAGAAGCCGTGCGGACGCTCTGCAGGTCCCGCTCAAGGGCTTCCACATGCAGTCGGAACTGGCTTTCCTTCTCCTCCAGGTCTTCCTGCAGCTGCTTCACGCGGGGGTCGGCTTGGGCGTCGGTGCCGAAGAGGCCCTTCTGGAGCTCGCGCTGCAGATTCTCGGCCTGGGAGCCATCCGAGTCACCCTGGCTGTCACTGACCTCATGAACCACGGGCCCCAGGAAAGAAAGCTCCCGCTGAAGCTTCTCAATGACTTCATGCAGCTGCTCCACCTCTTCCAGATTCTCCCTTCTTAACCGTTCCTGGTTCTCACGCAAATTTTCAATCACAGCTCTTAGCTCCTCTGTTTCAGAGCTTCCGTCTTTCATTACCTGAGTAGAAAGCACATCGCACAGGCCAGTTAAACACGGGAAATAGCTGAGCTCCTTACTCTTGGATCATGGGCTTCTAAGCAACTCAAAAGGACACCTGGACGTCACCTTTCCCAAAGGTCAGGGAAAGAGACCCGGGCCCTTCTGACAGGGGAATGTAGTGGGTATAGCCCAATGAAACACAGTCCACGGGGTGCCTGAGAGCTGTTCAGTCCACAAGGGTCTAAGGAAAAAGAGGTGTGAGAAAGGCCAAGACAGAGGACGAGGAAGAGGAAGAGGAAGTGAGCAAATCGGGGTCCTCCCAGGCACAGGCTGCCTGTGGCAGGGGAGGCCATACTGAGAGCAAGGAGAAGGTGAAGAACAGCAGGAGGGTGAGAAGAACTTTGACTTACAAGAGGAGAGACACAAACACTAGCTCTCCGGCCTCAAAAAAGAGCCCGCCGGAGTCTGAATGTCTACAGTGCTGGAAAGGTGACAGAAACGAGCTGCTCACTTTTGCTACACGTGGCAAGGATTGTGTTTCTTACCCTCGCTGAGGATAACCAAACATATCTAGAGAAAAGGCACCCTGGGGACCGAGGAGAAGGAATCAAGACTGGAGAATACTTTGCATGCTCTGACTGTGTTTTCCTGTCACCTACTAATCAGGTCCTCTTAAAAGAACCTTTGTGGTGAAATGAGCCCTGGTGTGGATGACCATGGAAATGAAAACACAATGAAGCCAGGCACTAAATCCCTCCCCTTCCACATGGAGAAATGAACTGCGTCTGATAAAGGGCTTCTGAGGAGGTTGGCAGGAGGACAGCGATCCACGAACAATGACTGAATGTGGGATTTCAGCAGGAAGTTTGCAACTATCCTCTGGGGGCCAGCAGGGGAGCTCTTCCCCGGCCAAGTTCCCGAGCTACTTTTGGGGGGGGGTCTAAGAGATCTTCCTTCATCCCATCTGCTATCCCACCACCCATGGCAGATCAGCAGCGTCAGTGAGGGCCAGGCCATCCCATGGCTCTTTGTTTGAGGTCTCTGAGCCCCAGGATTCCATCACTTCCTAAGCATCTTACTCAGGCCAGAGACGAGAACCATGGTGACCCATCTCTGGAGCCTCACTGCCTGTTGACCCCAATCCCAGAAGCCCTATTGCTCTTCCCAGGAGACTCCAGACTCTGGACATGAGCATAACACAGAAGTCACCCTGAGCTCCCCGTATGCCCTACCTCGTGCTGTAATCCCTTAATCTGCTCATTCAAAGAGACAATCTCCTTTTCTTTGCTTTGTAGAAATGCCTGTGAAAATCAAAGACAGAGCTGTTGGAGCACCTTAAACGTCAAGCTTTCGGTGAGGTTTGAGACCGAGACACTCACCAGGTGGGCCTGGCAACAATGTACAAATAACCCCAAAGCACTTCAGAGACAACCAACCGGTCTGACAAAATGCTGACTCGCACTGTCAGGCCAGGTCCACATGAAGGACACCTTGTCAGGTCAGCCTGTGTGCACCGCCACCCAACAGGAAGGACGCAGGAAGGCCAGAGACGGCCGCCAAGCAGATGGCAAAGCACAGACACCTTGGTGAGCACAGGGCCACAAGTGCCCGAGGTAGCCCCACCCGGCTCTGGGGCGCTCAGCCACGACGGCTCTCCGCATATCTGACTGCGACCCATCCATCATCAACCAAGGGCCGGGAAGAGCTTCTCTCAAAAAGTTCCAACTGGTCTCAACCAAACCACAGGGATGTCGAGCAGGAGTACTACTCACACCTCCTCGGCGCCCACTGCCACTGACTGGACCACCGAAGGAGAGGACCAGGACTCCCACGTCATCTCCCACCCAGCTGCTCAACGCTCTCACTGCAAACGCCTTTGGCTTCTCCCCTACCCCTACTGTGGCTTTCCAGCTAGCTTCAGGATATCTGACTGTAAGCTCCTTGAGAGCAGGGACTGCATTTGTATCCCCAGAACTTAGCACAGTGCCTGGTTCTTTAAGTACCTGTAGGTGCTTAATAAATGTTTATTAACTGTTGACTGTATGCTTCACGCCAACCTGCTATTTTAAAAACAATTATCACACACTTTGAATTATTCACCTCTATAAAATTAATTCAGATTTGTTCAATGAAACCGAGATCATTTCACTGAACATACTGTTCTTACTAAGAATAATAAAGAAGACTATGAAACACACTTCTACAAACATACTTACGAACAGGGCAACCACTTGTTTTTCCAGTAAAAACAGTCACAGTTTCTGAAAGTCCCAAATTTAAGGCCTTTTTGTAGCCTTGAGAACACATGGAAACATCAGGAAAGAAAGGACATGACCCATACCATGACACTTACCCAAAGGTCCTCCCAAGCACAGGCTATGGAGGGAAATCAGGGATCACCTTTGCTTCTGGATTTTGCTTCAGAAGTTTAATTATGCTGTTCTTTTTTGAACAGAGCACTGTATCTTGTCCTGACCAATCTCCTGCCCCAATACCCCTACCCAACACTTACCCACTGGCACTCGACAAAAGATTGTTTCTCTTATCACCCCCTCTGGGGGGCCACATAACACATACACTGATTTCTTTAAATACAAAATGTCTCAGGAAATTAATTCTCTCTACCTCACAGACTTAAGTCTGTGTATGATTAAAAGTACAATTAAAAACTGACAGCAAAATACCAAAATTAGTGGACCCAATTAGTGTCCTTAATGTTAAATACCAACCTCGATTCTGATTATGGGAATCATTTACAACTTCATAAAATCCACATCGCACCTTCCTCAGGACAACCCAATGAGGTCGCCAGTGCCTAAGAAGTGAGTGATCTGCTCACAATTCCCCAGAAGAGAGATTCCAGAGCCAAGATCTGGCCTGGGCCATGCCCCACCCCCCACTCCCCCCATGCCTGGCCAACATGGAAGCAGGGCACAGGGCCAAGCCAGGCCAAGCTGTGCTCCAGCACAAAGGGCCCTGCTCGGGTTACCTGGAAATCGGCATTCTTGACAGAAAGCTCATGGACGCTGGCACTGAGCTGCCTGTTCTGCAGAGCTAATTCTAAGTTCAGCTGCAGGAGCTCATCACTTTTACTCGTCAAATTGTTCTTAAGCTGTTCTAGCTCATTCTTCAAGCCCAGAACCTAGGACATAAGCAAAGCACAGCACTCATGGGGTAACACAGCACTTGGATGGAGTCACTATGAGAAGGGCCATGATTCTGTTCGTGGTTTCTGGGGAGGCACACACAGAAACACCATCGAATGACCTGTGTACAAATAGGACAACTAAAGAAAGTCATTGGGACTCTTTTGACTGGAATGCTGCCCCCCACCCCCCCACCCCCTTCTCATTCCCCACCCAGGCCCTACCCTGCCCCACAGCCCCCCTGCCCCTCTCATCCTCCCCCACCCCAGCCCCCACAGCCCCAACCCTGCCCAGGGCCACCTGTCGGTGCTCACCTCCCTCTCTTTCATCAGAACAGCCTCCTGCTCTGCCTTCAACTGCTCCTTAAGATGCTCCTCGTTCGGGCTCCCCGGGGCCAGCGTCAAGTGTTTCGTTTCATCCAGTTTGGACTGTAGTGTGGAAATCTGGATCAAGTTGTTCATCTGCTGCTCCTGCAAGGCCTCTTTGTCCTGACAAAAGAAAGGAAGCAGGTCGCGGATCACACGAGTCGTCCAAGATGGCCGAGTGGCTCATATGGACCCTCAGTGAGCAGCAGCGCCAAACCCAGCTGGGGCCGAGGAAAAAATATGCAAGTCCATCAATGGAGAGAGAATCAGCAATAATGGAAGTCGATAAGCCCCAAAGATAAATTACGGTGGAAAGAATTCTTTGTTGATAAGAACTGCTGAGGGTCTGGGGACACAAGAAAGAATATTCTACAATCCATTCAAAACAGACCCAAAATAGTGAAGGCTACGCCCAGAAAAACAACAAAGGAGGTAAGACAAGGGCTACAGGAAAAGGGACAGGTTTTCAACCAAACAAGGGATGGGCTGAGGCGGTTACAAATGGTAACAGAGATAATCAGGAATACATGAAATTGAAAAACTTCTGCACAAACAGAATCAATGCATCCAGGATAAGAAGGGAAGGAGTAGAATGGAAAAAAATCTTTGTATTAAGTTCCCAGATAAGGGTTTGGTATCCAAAATATATAACACATGTGTATGTACACGCGTGCATACACATGCACATACACATGACCAAAAGCAACTCCCCAACCGATAAGAGGTCAAAGAATATGAACAATGCGGAGTATTTGCATATATTTTCAGATTTTTTAAAAGACATTTTAATTGGTCTGTTTCTTCTATTTTTTCTCTTTTTTTCTTTTAAAAATAATATCTGTTACATAGGATGGCTTTCTGGGAAGGGGGAGGGATATGAGGAAATCTGAGGAAGGTAGAAACAATCAATTCAAAACCACTTCTTGAGTGCCTGTGGTAAACACTGAAGATACAAAGAGAGACAAAAAACAGCCCCTGCCTTCAAGGAGCTCATGATCCAGTGGGGGGAGATAATATCCAAACAAATATATGCAAAGCAAACTTTATACAGGATAAATAGGAAATAACCCACACAGGGAAGACACTAGAAGTAAGAGGGGTTGGGGAAGACTTCTTGTAGAAGGTGGGATTTTATGCAGGACCTGAGGGAAGCCAAGGAGGTCAGTAGATAGAGAACATATGACCAGGGAAAATGCTCAGAGCTGAGGGATGGAGGGTCTTAGGTGAGGAAGAGACAGGAGTCCAGAGTCACTGGGTCAAAGAGGACTTATTAGGGAGGAAGGTGTAAGAAGACTGGAAAGGCAGGAGTGGAATTAGATTATAAAGGGCTTTGAATGCCAAACACAGCATCTGTATTTCATCCTGGAGGCAAGAGAGAGCTGCTGGGATTTATTCGGGGGAGATGACATGATCAAAGGCCACCAATAAAAAAAATTATTTAAAAAACAGTATTTTAGAGTTTATAAAACATATATAAGTTATCTTATTTTAGTCTCCCAACAGTGTGAGTACTGGCACCCACAATTTACAGATGAGAAAATTGAGGCTCCCAGAGGGCTAGGGACTTGCCTACAGTCACACAGGTAACATCTCAAGCCTTGCCTTGAGATACACATTCTTCCTACTCTCTCACGGGGCTTCCATCATCTATCAAACTGAACCCTTTACACTCAACCTCATTGTCAACAATACTGGAAAACAATGAATTCTGCAAACCTGCATACATGTGAGTATAGTATAGAATCATCACGTATACACACACACCCCCCCCCCATGACGGCCTGTTGAGTGTACATACATACCCACATCATGCTATGAAAGGCTCAGAGGAACTTCTAAGACTCTAACCAAATGCATGTCTAAGAGGAAAAGCTTTAATTAGGAAACCAAACCCAAATAAAATGTTAGCATTAATTAACCTAGAGGTAGGAATGAGGCCCCAAATGACACCAAATGATGCTGCTGCAGAAACATTTCCAAAGTGAGCTCTAGTATGTCATCACCATAAACTCAGAAGGCCAAAGTACCCCAGTAGGAAGAGGAACAGGAATTCCATTTTTAACAAAGCCAGATGACCGGAATAATCTACAGACACTAAACGTCACCAGTCAATGCAGCTGTGAATGACAACATGCATCCACCTCCAAGAATGACTAAAATGATATCCCAGCCTTCTTGAGGTCATAGAATGGGGAAATGCCACCACGGTGGCGATGTTTTTCTCTATGAACCAAAACTGGAGCACAACAGCTGACATTAGCCTAAGAACAGGCCCTTGGCCAACCTTAGAGCACTACAGAAACAGAGGTTAGAGGAGATGGCCAGGGCACTTTCCTCTCCCAGGTGAACAGATATTACCCCCTTTGGTCCTTATGACAGCCAGGAAGGAAGGGGCTCTGCAAAGGCTATTCAAAGGACCCAGTACCTATCGATCAGGGCCCATCTTGCACCAGGCAAGGCAAGACATTCTAAGAGAGCCATTAAATGACACCATTGAAGGTATCAATGCTCATCACTGACCAAAGGTGCTGCAATCCCATTCCTCCCAATAAAAAAGACAGATTTACTTGTTTCAACTCTTTTCCGATTTTCTTCTGCTTCTCCAATTCTTCTTCAAGCCAGCTAACTTTTCTTTTGATTTCTGCATTTGTATCCTCCAGGCTTCTGATTTCATCTTTTTGGGCTGTTAGTTGTCTTTCTGCCAGCTCCTTTTTGATAACCGATTCATTTAATTCATCTATTTTTTCTCTTAATTTTCTTTGTAGAGATTCAACCTGAAAAGGCAAGATTTTTTTTAAAAGTTGCGGAAGTGGAAATGTACACTTCAATGTTTATAAATAAATATTTGCTGTTGCCATAAGAAAAGTTCCTCCTTTACGGTCAGATGGAGTCATCCTAAGAAGACAAAACACTCTACAACCCCAGAACTTCCTTTGGAGATATTAAAGCTTGGAGGGATCAGCCTCTTTACTTCACTCATGAGGAAACTGAGGCTGACAGGTAAAGGTCATAGAGTGCAGATATCGTGACTCTAAATTCAGTATTCTTAGTAACAGCCACACTGTGCAATGACTTTCATAGACTTGGCTCTTCTCAGCAATGCAAGGATCTGACAACTCCAAAAGGCTCACAATGGAAAATGCTATCCACATTCAGAGAAAGAACTCTGGAGTTGGAATGCAGATGGAAGCAGACTATTTGACCTTTTTTTTCCTTCTTTCTTGTGGTTCCTCCTATTGGTTCTAATAATTCTTTACAACATGACAAATGTGAAAATGGGTTTAATAGGAATGTACATGTAAAGCCTATATCAGATTGCATGCAGTCTTGGGAAGGGAGGAAGAGAAAATTGAAAACTCAAAAGCTTATGGAAGTGAATGTTGAAAACTAAAAATAAATTCATCAATTAAAAAATTTTAAAACAAATAGATTCAGTGGTCTTCTTCACTCTAATTAGATGAGAAAGTCCAGCCAAGCCCAATTCACGCTCTCCAGAGGATGAGATAAAACTGACTGCCAGGCAGAGTGGATCGACCAGAGACATGCTGAAAACTCGCAAGAACCAGAGGGCCCAAGGCTCTTCTTTCCTTCTCCCAAGTGCTGTGTGTGTGCCTCTCCTTAAATCAAGAGTTCTTCACTTGGGATCCATGGACTGGGGCTTGTAAAAGAGCCCCAGCTGCCTTTCAACAGAACAGATTTCCTTGGCAAACCTTTGTAGCTTACTTTAGGCACAGAGGCTTCCCCAGAAGGCCAAATGGGCTCAATGCGACAAGGAAGGTGAAGGATGCCTGTCTCTGACAAAGACAGAGAGTGGGGTTTGAGTATGAAATACAGCAGCAAGAAGGCAAAGACTGAGCTGAGCCTTCCAACATGGGATTCTCTCCAAGTCATGCTAATGGCAGGTCTCTGTCAATCAAGCAGCTGCCTAAGTGATTTCTTTCTCTATAGTGCTTCAATTAAGCCAGGATCCTAAAAACAATCTTAAGAGATTTTTGTGGGGGAAAGACATTTATGACATAGGAGAGAGAGTCAACTGACACCTGTCTCATCCTGCACAAGGCCAACCCCACGGTCATGCAAAAATGTGGAATTCAAGGGCAAAAACAATATGAGAAAGTTTCCTTGACCTCAACAACCTTCCATCAGTAATCCAAAGTATTCCTAGTTCCCCCTGACAACCCTGACAGAAGCTTTCCTATCACTCTATTTCCTCAAATTCTCATTTGGAGGAAATCTCCCGTCTTTGATCAGGACAACTCTGCCAACACCATGTCATGAACAAGAGAGAAGGCTGGTGCCATTACTTCATGCCTGGTAGGGAGCAGTTGGTGTTATAGGCATGGCATTGCCTATAACCCTGTGTGGGTTCAAGTAAAGTGAGAAGAATGCATTCCACCGGAGAGAAAAGTGCTCAGCATGAGGACATTAGCCAAAGAAGGTGACAGCAGCAGGGCTAGGGAGAAAGGAACCAGCACTGCACACATCAAGCCTAAACAGAAGCAGAAAAGCAAACCAGGAAACAAGAGGCTCAGGGAAGGAGAATTAATGGGCCAACAACAGATCTGACTGAGCAGAGGGGATGGGGAACTAAGAGCCCGTGCTACTGTCCATACCTGAGAGGTCAACTCAAAGCTCTGCCATGTTCGTGGTTGTGGAAAGAAAAAAAGAGAGATCATTCCAGGCGCCCAAGGGCACTGGGAGGCCCCACGTGTGCTCACCCGCCTTCCCGCCGCCCTCACCTCGCTGTCCTGGCGCTCTCTCCAAAGCAGGCTCTTGGCTGGCGGCTGCTGCTTCAGCTGCTCCTCTAGCTTCCTGATTTCTTGCTGAAATTCGTCCCGTTCATGCTCTCTCTCAACGGCTTGCTCCTGTCACCAGGGGCAAGTGTCTGCATGTCAGTCCCTTGTTTTCCAAGGGCAAGCTTTACCAACCCTATGTCTAGGTGAAGAAACTGAGCCTAAAATGTGCCGAAAGGTCTGACTTCATTTCTTTGAAATGCCCACTTAGCCTCTGCTTGTACGATACCTTGTGAATCCTGAGAGGGCGCTGGCCAACTACGTGCCTTAATAAGAACTAGGACAACTATGAGTCAGGTGTGAATGACAGCGCTGGAAGGATTTTTTTTTTAAAGAAAAAATCGAGTGTCCTCATAAAAGTGGCCGTTTCTCCTTGCTTATAATGTTATTGTGAGTGGCCAATCTTTTCTTTTTGGGGGTGTGGACCACGTTGTGTGACCAACACCTCACTGAGCTAGCTCACAGGGCCTCTCTGACCACCTTCACTTCAGCTCCTCCCCAGACTGATCTGGAGGCCCTGGCCAAAAAGCAGCTTGGGAACACTTGGCTTGGCTTTGGACCTTTCCTGGACCCTGATTTGATAAGAGAAAAGGACACAGGAGCCCCTTCAAGGGCTGCCCAGGCCAGAAACGACTCCCTATTTCTGGCCTCGCTGGCCACCAAAGGCACTAAGGCCCAGGAAGCTGACTGGGTGATCCCAACGTGCTGTTCCTGCAAGCCTCCCAGTGTCCGGGATGGTGGGAGCCAGAACGGGTCGAGTTGGGGCCAACACTTTCAGCGCACGAAGCACTTACATCCATGAAGTGCCGTTGATTCCGTAAGTGTTTGTCTAAAGAGACAATCTGCTGTCTGAGGTCCTGGATTTCGGCCGCTTGCTGGGCAAGCTCCTGATTGCGTGCAAGCTGGTCTTCCAACTCTAGTTCCAAAGTTCTCATCTGAGAGCGCAGGGTTGAACAATCTTTCTCAGACTGCTGTTTAGTTTCTGATTGTTCCTTCACCAAATGTTCTACTTCTGTAAGTAAACCTGATGAGCAAAAAGAAACAAATCAAGCTAACTTACTTGAAAGAAACCTAAAAAGAGAAAAAAACTACGCTGTCTTGTAGAAGCAGTGTGTGTAGGTGTGTGTGCGTGTTCGTGTGTACCTGTACACACACACATACAGAGATCTGTCATTGGCAGAGCCGAAGGCAAAACCACACACGAAGCAATGTCACCAATTAGGATCACCAAATATTCGACTGAACTCTCCAGAATACTACTCACTCAAATACATCTCAAAATAAAAACAATTTTGGAAGACTAGAAAGCATTTAGAAAGGAACAAAGCTACCAAATCAAGGTCTTGTGGGAAGAGCCCAGAGGACAAAGCAGGCTTTTCTGACTATACCAGTTCCTGGGTTCTCTGAGGCCTGAGCCCACTCCTCTTACAAAAGGAGAGAGATGGAGGGCAGAGGGCAGAGGGCAGAGGGCAAAGGAAAAGACCTTCAGGTGAATGTGAAGGCCCTTCGTTCTGAGCCCCAATGGCTTTTTGAGGAAATGGACCCGTATGGCTTCCTAGAAAGCAAACAAACTTCTCCAATGAGACCCTTTCCCCCCCAAAATTCTGGGATAGGTTACAGATTCAAAAGCTCATCCCTATTCTCCTTACTCAGACAATAGATATTTAAGGAGCCCTGAATCTGCGGGATGGTTAGGGACAGGCTTTTGGGCTTGTAAACCACAAAATCTGAATCTGGAAAGAGATCTAGCCTGCGGTCGAGAGGCCTGGTCTCAAGCTCTGGCTCTGACCTGGTTACAATGTGACCTGGGACAAGTCATTTACACCCTCTGGATTTCAGTTTCCACATTCGTAAAATGTGGCTGGGGTGGGAGGAGGAATGGCTGGTCCAAATGATGCTCGAGATCCCTTCACCCCTCAGTGTTATCCCATAGCCCCTTAGAATCTAGACTACGTCCAATTTTTACAACAAAACAAAAAACAGCAACAGCAAGCCTTACTGCCTGAGATGACAAAGATTCCAGTGCTCTCGGCAGGTTTCTGTCTAAACTCCTTCAGTCAGAGCCCACAGCTGAGATCCCCAAGGCCACTTCTTCAGACACTCAGGCGTTTCTGACATCACATCAGATGCTAAGGGGCATTCATTCACTTTCTGCGCTGTCTCTAGTGTCTTGTGTGGGGACAAATAATGGCAACAGACAACAAATCGGAGGCGCCCACCCAAAGCCAGGCTGCACGGCCACGCCCACGAGGACCCTCCCCAACAAGTCCCTCTTCAGCCACCGAAGAAAGGGCCACTGCTGTGAAAGCCTCCAAGAGACAACTGCCAGGGAAGTGGCAAGCTCTCCGCCGAGCTTGAAGCACCATAAAAAGCTCAGGAATTACTACTTCAAAATGTTGCAGGTTATTTGGGGATTAAGAACACTGACTTCTACAGGAGTTTGCTCTTTCTCTAGTTCTAACCCTCAGGAATAAACTTCACCAGTTGCCTCATACATGCAGCTATTGTCATTTTTTCCCCAGTAATGCTCGATGACGTCAGGCAGCCTGCCTGGTCCAGTTCTCCTCCTCATGTGGCATTAATGCCAGGCCCAGCCCCCAGAGCCAGTGTGGCTTTTAGTTAATGAGGGTCACTTGCTGCGTTTTACATGTAATGCCACACATATACGTGCGCACTCCCCCCACACACACACCATTTTTCAAGATAAAAAACAAAAGAGGAAAAGGACTTGGTGTTAAGAGTCAAAAGCACTCCCCAGCTCAACTTGAGACAATAGCAGTACAAATGATGAAATGAGCACAGACACACCAAAGCTTTCCAACCTTGCCACGGGGAGGTCGCCCCCTAAATCCGAGCTCTCCCCGGCTCGCACGTCTCCACTCCAAGCAAACACACATTGAGACTCCTTGGCCCTCCCGTCAAGGTCACCCAACAGCTGCCCCTGCAGGCACTTGGCCAGGCTCTGGCTCACTGGCCACCGCACAGGGCAAGGTCATTGTGAGCAGCGACGCCCACTTGCAGCCCTTTCCCAGCACCCACTCGACAAAGACAGGCACAGGTTTTTGTAAAGTAAACGGCTCCATGACAGGAAGTCACTCCTACTTTCGGAGCCAAGCCAGGGTGGGAAGTCCTCTTCCTCCTTGGTGACTCACTCACTCACTCCTTCACTCCCACACTTGGGGCCAAGCCTGAGGAGCACACGGGCCACACAAAGCCATACAAACCTGAATCCTCTGGGGCTACAGTCCCAACAGGAATGCCTAGGATGAAAATGTACACAGATTTACAGAGAGAAGATCCAGGCCTGGGGAGGCCAGAACCCATGGGCAGCAAGAGGCCGGGTGAGGCCTCCACAAGGCCTTTGTCCTTCTGCAACGGATTCGGTCTCTATTTGTTTTGACTCCTCTTCGTCCTAGAGGAGGCCTGCCTGAAGGGAGGGGTCTTGCAGAGCCTGACACAACAAGGTGGCCAATGCCTTGTCCTAAATGGAGCTGGGCTGAGGAGGTGGGAGAAGGCGAACCTTACTTAGACCACAGCTGGAAACACTTCCACAAATATATCTGCCATTGACCATAAACAAAAAATAAGACCCTCAAAGGTGAGCTGAGAGGGGTAAGGGGCAAGGGGCATAAATCACCCAGAAATACTGAGGGCAAATTGGTTGAGTCAGAGTTCACACAAAACCCAGACCAAAAGTCTCCCCTCTCCCAAACTGCCTGCCCACTGACGGGCTGGCCCAGTCCTTTGCAGGGGGCCAGTTAGTGGCAGCCTGTAGCCAGGATCCTGGGGGATGGAGGTGGGGAGCACACTGAGCACCCCTCTCACTCCTCCCCTCCTCCAGCCCTCAGTACCCACGGGGCTGACCCTGGATGAGTTCTGGTTTGGTCACCATATGAATTTCTCTGATTAGGAAACATCTGGAATGCTTTCATCATGAACTCCCCGTCTATCCTTTGCCCACTCTGAGGGCAGACGTGTCACCCTTTTACGCGCATGTCTTAGCCTGGGCAGGACCCTCTCACAGAAGCACCCGGCCAGTAAAGGGTTTACGGAATGTAGCCACATCTCTTGGCAAGACAGGAACCCAGCCCACCAGCGAACACAGACAGCTCGTTCTCTGTGGGCAGCAGAAGGAAGGACCAGGGCTCCCCCACACCACAAGTGGTCCCCAAAACAGTCAGGGGATCCCGCCGCCCATTTCTTGGCTGTGGTCTGAGTACCAGCAATTCCACCCCTCACGGCCAAGAAAAGGATTTATGAAGGAGCTTCCCAAAGCAAATGCCACAAAGGGATTAAAGGTGCCTTCAACAAGTGGATGCATCAGATGCTAGGGATCTGTTCACCTGGAATAATCACTGAGATTTGTTCTGCAGGTGAGAGGGAAAAAACCCCTCTGGGAATCAGAAAAGGCTATTTGGACTCAAACGCACAGAAGTAGAAGGAGAAGACCCAGGCAGCTCCTGATTCTTATTTGTTAAATGCCTGAGCACACCCGAGCTTGTTCTGCCCAAAGAGCCTCCCACCCGCCACCCCTTCCTACCAGTGGCCTTCTCCTCGGCCTCCACAATCAGCCTCTCCTTCTGCCTCAACAACAGGCTCTGCTCCTCCTTCAGCCGGGCTTGTTCTTGGGTCAGCGCCTGCAACTGGCCCCTCAGGTTCTCCAGCTCCACAGCCAGCTGGTGCTCAGACTTTTCCTTCTGCGCGAGGGCCTCCTCCAGGACGGCCTTCTCGGCTTTGTACCCTTCGGCGAGACCTGCCGGGCCAGAGGAGAACAAAGTGACCGAGGGTGGGCCTGGGCAGCAGCCTGCAGGCCTCTCGGCAGCCCACCGGTGACCAGCAGGGCGGTGGCACACGTGGGCTCATGTCCGGGGAGGGAGGCAGGCTCACCCTCAGCTTTATGGAGCTCCAGTGCCAGCTGATTCTTGGCCGCACTCTCCTGGTTTAAACAGTCCATCAGCTCCTGGTGCTGTCTCACCGCCTGGGCAGTCTCCTCATTTTTACGGTGAAACTCTTTCTCAAAGCGAGCATGAAGTTCACGGGTCTCCTCCAGCTATTAAGAAACACTTAGAATCAGAGGACCATGGTCCAACCTTGAGCCCGGCCAGGGTCCAGATGCCAAGCCTCTCCCACTGCGCCATTTGCCAAGATGCTGAAAACTATCACACCTGGCTCCAAAAGACACTGCATTCCCATGAGCACTCTGGGCATACATCAGAAGGACCCTGCTTTTTCTTTTGCAACACGGCAAATACGGAAATATGTTCTGCATAATACTATATGTATAATTGCTGCCAAACTGCTTACCTTCTCAGGGAGGGAGGAGGGGCAGGAGAGAGGGAGGGAATTTGAAACTCAAAATGTTAAGAAATGAATGGTAAAGGTTTGTTTGTTTGCTTTTAACATGTAATTGGGAAATATTCAATTAAAGAAATAAAAACACATTTCAAAAAGGAAAAGAAAGAAAACGGGCTGCTTTGCTTACACTTGATGATGCAGAAATCAGGGAGTCAGACCTTGTCCCATTCCAGCCCTGCCCCCTCCCACACTCTTCTGGCCCCCAGGAGGGCTCAGCGGGCAGCACCAAAGGCCTCTGTGGTGACGGCTGCCGAGCCCTCCCTGCCCACTGGACTCCTGTGTGACAGCAGTGATGACTGGAACCTTACCTGTTTGCTGGAGTCCAGCATCATCTCCAGGAGGTTGTCCACGGCTGCCCCAAGACTCTGGTAGATTCTCCTGATGGGCTGCTCACACTCCACTGTGACTCCTGGACTCAAAAAGAAGCTCTCTCGAACATGACTGCTTACGTCAGCTGCAGCAAGTAATGTCTCATCACACTCAGGCAAGGTCTGATCAAACTCCAGGGGGGGAATGGAAACTTGAGGGGACACATCCCCAGGCAGCTGACCTGCAATGCAAGGTGCCAGAGTTTGATAAAGGCTGTGCTCACACTAAGGCGGCCCCAGGGTTTGAAGGATGTGAGTGCCCCACCCAGGCAGGAATACAGAGCACCCAAGTGGCCCCTACTAGCTCTTGTAGAAAAGAACACAAAGGAGATGGGGACCCCAAGGCAGGGGCTTCGTGGTCAGGCCAGAGGGATCAAATGTGACTGTCAAGGTAATGAAATGACCATCCTAAGGATGGGGCCGGTCTCCTTTTAGATTCCCAAGCTGCTTGGGAACCCCTTCTCCGCCAAAGCCTCCAGCTTCCTTGGTCTCCTTCAAGACTGCTCCCAGCCCACCTGTGGCAGGAGGCCTCTAAGGGCCCTACTGAAGCCAGGACCTCCTTCCTTTATACCACACACCTCCTGGATGCGCCTGGTTACTGGCAGTGGAGTGGGAACTCCTTGAGGCCAGACACTGAGGTTTTGCCTTTCTTTGTATCCCGGGAGCTGAGCAGCGCAGCAAACATGCCCCTAATAAATGCTCTTTAGCTCGTTATTTCATTGGATCCTTGAAACAATGTTGGGAGCGAGAGCCCTACAGACCAATTATCTGAAGGAAGCAGGGTTAGGCTGGTCAAAGGGGTATGGGATGGCATAGTACATTAGCACCAAGTCAAATCTACTGTGAGGACAAAGCCATGTCCCCAAGACAAGAGGGAGCTAGGATATGTGGGCTGCAAACTCCTAAGAGCTCAGTGTGATATGGCAGCCCACAAAAGGAGGGGGCCTTTGGGCTGAATCCAGAGACAGAGGGGTAGAGACAGAGACACAGAAACAGAGACAGAGAGAGAAAGAGAGAGACAGGACAGAGAGAGGGAGAGAAAAAGATGGAGAGAGAGAGACAGAGATGAGACAGAGAGAGGAAGGAAGACAGCAACAGAGACAGGACAGAGAGAGAAGATACAGAGAGACACAAAAAGAGAAAGAGAGAGGAAGAGAAAGACAGTGTCCAGAATTATGGGGGTAGCATTAAACAGTGCCACTCTCCTGGCCAGACCACCTCTGGCATGGAGATCTCTGTGGGCCGCATTTTTGGATACTGCACCCAGAGGCGGGATGCTGTAACACACAAGAGCTGCTTCCAAATGCTACAGGACTGTTACTCTGAAGAGAGGCTCTTCTGGGCAATGCAGGGAAGCTGCAGACCTGCAGACTTGGCCCAGGAGGGAGGGGATGCTGTGGTTCTGCCCAGGGCCCATGAGAGCCCTTCCAGTGCCCAGAGTCTGGTAAATGTAGGGGGTGAGGCTAAGCTAGGAGCGGGGCCTCTGTCCCGGTGGGAAAGCATCCCCCAGGAAGAGCAGAAAACACAAGGCTGGGTTGGTCCAGGATAACTCTGCCCAACAGCAGCCCCAGAAAAAGTTAGACCTGAAGACCTGCAGGGATGGGAGTCCTCAGGGCAGAACTTTTTATCTGAGGCATCAGTTCTAGCAGGGATCAGAAGAACTTTTCAGTCTCAGCAAAACGCCGTCATGAAATGATTTCTCAACTGTCTCTAGCCCTTAATCTCCTTACAAGCCAGTAAAGGTACGTACACCAATAGTCCCGTGAGGATGGGGATGGGGTAGAAGACACCAGAGAAGTTTCTGTGCATTAGATGCAGGGGGAGAGTCTGGGTCAGGGGCTCAGCTCTTTCAGAAATATCTCTGCCCATGTTTTCTCCTTCTGGCGGTAACAGCGATCAGACTTCTCAAGACCCACCTAGCAGTCCCTGGGATGGGGGAACCCCAGAAAAGAATGGTCACAGCCCTTCCATTTGGTCCCAAATGGAAGACTTCACCTTTCTAAAAAAGTGGAGAAACACTCCAGATAAGACCAGGCCCACCTCATTAAAGTAAAAGACCAAAGTCACATTTTATACCATGCGACCAATCCTACGTAAACAAAGGTTTCACTTGATGCAAGAGATAAGAGACAACACCCATCATCTTGAGCCTGGTTTCAGCTGCTACAGCACCATGTGTGTGACTTGTTATGTCCAAAGGATCAAAACTTCTGAGCTGGAAGAAGCCTCAGTGATCATCTAATCCAAGGCCCTCATTTGACAGATGCAGAAAGTAGGGCCTGGGGAGATCAGGGTGTTATGGGAATATCAGGCAGGATTTGGACACGGCTCCCTCTCTCGAGCATCAAGAGTTGCAGAGCCCATCACACAAGGCAAGGGCATCTAGGCAGGAGATGAGAGTAGGAAGGAAACTTTGTCAGCCTTCTGCAGGGCCTTCGGGGCAGCCTGAGCCATCACTGTAACTCACACATGTCCTGGGCTGGCAGTCCCTGCATCCCCACAGGGGTACTTTCTTTGCCCAGGAAGTCTTCGTCCAGATAGACCCCAATCCTCTTACTGATCTGGCTCTTCATAGCAATGGCGGCCTTCAGAGTGTCCCCAAACAGACTCAGAAGCCGCTGGTTTGTTTCTTGCAGCGTTTTCCTAAAACAGACAAAGCACAGAAGACATATATTGAAATGAACATCATGCCCACAGGGTGGCTTTTGAAACCCAGAGAATAAGAGTATGTCAGCACCCAGCCCTGAGGCTTTCTCTCATGGATCTTCAGCCATTAGGACCCAAAGGATTCGAGCCCTCCCACAGTGCTGGAGAGGCAGCGGCTGCCAGAGCAAAGGCCTTCTTTAAGAGAAATCTTGGATGGATGGAGAAAGACAAGAACCCAAAACATCACTTAGTTCCAGTTCTCTGCAGGACACGGCAGCAAGAAAGACAACATAGTCTTTGCTAGATAGTTTAAAGAGAGTACTGATTTTTTCCAGTGCAAAAAAGGAAATAGTTTTGCACACACATTTCTATGTGCTGGGCTGAATGCACCTCCTAGCACTGTCTCCCCAGCTCCCTGCTCCCCCCTGGTCCCCCCAACCTCCCAGGAGGCCTCTACAGATGGGTCTATACAGCGCCATGCTGTGCACCAACCTAATCCTTGTTGGTCACTGACTCCCACGGGTAGGCCAGTCCCTGCATACATGCCTTATGGGGCACCTTGAAGACCCATCTAAGACTTAGAGGGATGGCCAGGAACTCACATGAGCGTCCATCCAAGGCTAGACCAGAGTGGCGATGTTCAGTATGGTTGAAGCAATGCCATATTCAGAATCTTGTCTTGCCATGTTGATGCTTTTTTCAAACCTTAGGGAACAGGTGCACAGGAACCAGCCCCTCACCATGGCACAAAGCAGTGATCTCCCTGGCGTGGCGCCTCTTTTATCACTGGTCCTCATTCCGCAACATTGTATGTCACCCTACTGCAAGGATTCTGGCCTTACTAAACCCACTCTTTCTTCCAGGGAGTGTTTTGCAAAGCCAAAGTCCAACACAGTTCTGAGCAAGGAGCCAAAAAATGTTGCCTTTTTTTGCATCATCATCATCATCATCATCATCATCATCATTATTCAAGATGCCGAGTGGAAATGAGTAACAATGCTGGTCACTTTCCTGCTAATAAGTCCCAAGGCAACAGTGGCCAGCAAGCAGTGCTCTGGACCCGTTGCTCTCAGCATGCCCCTGGCTCTGGCAGATGAGCGTGGCCTCTAGGCTCCCGGCCCAGCCATCAATCATATACTCAGGAGGGCCACAGCTCCCATGGGCATCTCAGTTCCCAGAAATGGCTCACACAATTGTGATTACTAATCTGTGCCAGGGCTCATGAAAACAGAGGCTCAGAGAGATGCCCGAAGGGGCAAGATGACACTGTCTGGTCCAAAGGATTTGCCGGAGAGGTTCTCTTCACAGTGATTGTCTGTGTCTGTGCACCCAACCCCACCACCTCCGACCCTAGTCCTCAGCCGGCTCTGCTCTGCTTCTGACCCAGGCTTTCTTAGGGTCCCTGTGGGTCACAGGCCTGCCCTGATTGCCTTACCAGTCCAGTTTTCCACTTCATCTACTTGGACTCTGCTACATGGCTCTGTCCTTTGGGTCTTCATGGTTCTGATACCTCAAGGCCAATCTTTTGTGCATGCACACACACACCCTCACCCCCACACACACACCCTTGCCCCACACAGACATACCACCACCATCACCACCACCACCACCACACCACACACACACACACACACACACACACACACACACACACACTCTCCACACTAACCTAGAACACTCAACTCATAGATTCCACATTTTACATCGATGAAGCCAAAAATGTTTAAGTAGACCGTGACTATGACTCAGTGTTAGGAAATGCCTTTGACAAAAAGTTGTTTCCCCTAAAGCATCTCACACTTGTGAGGGTTCCCAGGCATGGACCTCAGGGACCCTGGGGTCCAAACCCTTCTTTTACCGAGGTCCAAGAAGAGGCAGATGGCGAGGAAGCAGAGCTGGGATTTGATGCCTGCAGGGCTCCGTTCACTAACGCAGTGCAGGCTTTCATCATTCTCATCATTAGCAAGCCTTCAGGTTGGGCAGAGAGAGTCAGAGAACCCAGAGAGGAAGGAGCTCCAGCCAGGAGACAGAGACTGGAGTGAAGGTCTTGGCTCCGCTTCTTCCTGGCCATGCAACTGATGAAGACAGAGGCAGGGCCTCAATCTCCTCATATGAAAACTAAAGAACCCAGCCCAGGTGACCTCCATGGGGCCTGGGCTTTCAGGTGCTTCCTGGTTCATTCTCTCTGCACCTGGCTTCTGCTTCGGTGACTAAGGCTTCCTTCACCGCACAGCCCAGACGACCTCCTCGCCTTGCTTTGCTTACGCAGCAAACATCTTGCACTGGTGATCCATTTGATTCTGAATTCTGACAGCTTCTCAAGCCTCTAGCCCTCAGAGCTCTCCCAGACCAGCTATTTGATGGGGTATATGATACTCCTGCACCTCAGAGCTCAGTGCTGACACCAAGGGAACACAAAGTGAGCAGACGAGGAATGTCTGAAGGGTGGGGGGTGACAAGGGGAGTGCGTGGGAGATGGAGGTCACCAATCAAAATGCTAGCACAGGAGAGAAGGACTAGAGAGAAAGAGCCAAGAGCTCCGGGCTCAAGAAGGACCTAGCAATGGAATGGGTGACATCTTCTCATAGGCAGACTTCACTTTCCCTCCTAACCTGGGAGGGCCGGAGCAAGAGGTGGGACAGTAACAGCTGCCAAGTAGAAGGTGGAGACAAGGGCAGTAGAGGACCTTCCAGGTCAGCTTATGTCCACATGGTTTCCCACCAGGCCATACTGCATTTGCTTCATGAAAGATTTTAGACTATCATAAACCTTAACTGAATAATTGAATAATGAAAACTTCAGTGTGGCCCTGACTTCTGGTACCAGAGTGAGCCTTGGGACCGCTGAAACTTTCCAAAGGACAAGAGTGGCTCCCACCCTCACATGGTAACTACAGCAAACCAATGTACTCAAGAAAAGAGTCTTCCTCCTAGGATTAATGCTGGCACCATTACTGGAGAGAAGCTAAATTATCTCCTGTCTTCACGAGACACTCAAAACAAACCAAAAAGGCACCAACAAACGATGAACACAAATGAACATAAATTCCACTCCAGGGCCTCACAGCCCCCTCATCCATCTGCCACATGCCAAAAAACCAGGCCCCTTGCTTCACAGTCACATGTTGGACAAAACAAGGCCCCATCTTCTGCTCAAAGAACTGCTTCTAAAAGCTTTGGCTTCATTCAGAAAACTGCCCCTACAAGGCTAAGGGCCTCCTCCTGCTGTCTGCCCCAAGCATTCTGAGCACCCCTCAGAGAGGGCAGAGATGGCACGTCAGCTATTGTCCGCGGCTTGCCAGCGCAGAAGCCACAAGGCAGAGGTGCCTGTGGCCTGCAAGGACAACAGACTTCCTGGCATGGGTCACTTACATCCACCAAGTAGTTTACTGTGGGGAATGACAACACTAAAGGAAGGACAGACTAGCACTATGCATCGCTTTAAGCATCCTGGGGGAGGGGAACATGGCCAGAGCAGCATCTGTGACACCCGGCCTTCTGCTCCTGGAACCCTGACGGTTGCAATATTCCAAGGGCATGAGCTCTCCCAAGACAGGCGGACAAGCCAGAGCCTTTGAGGATGAGGGCATCTCTCACTGAACATGGGGATAAATGTACGGTTGCCTCAATCCTTCCTGAGATTGTCCAGAATGAGCCCCACAACCCAGCCAGTCTGCCAGGGGGCCCAAGAGCCTAGAACAGAGGCTTTGCTTGGCCCTGACTAAGATGCCAATGGCAAAAGGCTTGTGGCCTTCCCGAGTTCTCACTCCTTGTAAGATCGGAGCTGCCTCGAGCCCCTGGACTTGGGCACCACCCACCCAGGAAGGACCATTCTCTGGACAGCCTAGCCTGGCCTGGACTGGGAGGAGCCACAGCATCTGGCTTTAGAAGGGCTGGACAGCTGCAGCTTGGGAAGTCACTTCACTGGCTGTGAGGACCCACACTAATCATTTTGAAAATGTCTCCTCTGAAAGTTAATGATGGCTTCCCAGCCCCATTCTGCTGCAATAAAATGTCCTGTTGGGTCTGGAACCGATGGTGCTGCCTCAAAGAGGTAGCAGTCTCGGGCACCAGGTTAAAATGTCAAGTGACATTCTCCCACCCCTTTAAGCTGTGGAATAATTAACAAGGGAAGTTCCCATGGGCCTCATACAGAAAGACTTTTTCTCCTTCTTTTCCACTTTCCCTATAAGCTTATGAGCCAAATAGTGCAGGTATAATTTTTCCCGTTTAACAGAAGAGGAAACTGAGGTTGCAAGAGGGGAGATGGCTTCCTCTGGGGCACTGTCTCTTAGTCCCAATGTGAGCAGCTGCATCTTCTTTTCTTCTTCTCTACCCACTCCATTCTCTTGATTCCCTCATGATCAAAGTGACAAGAAGAACAACTGGCCTGTCACCCACAAGATGGAGAGCAGAGGAGAGAAAAGCCCATGGGAACGGACACAAATGTACTGGGCCCCCCCAAAAAGACAAAAAGGACTAATGAGAGAAATTCCAATTCAAACAGCCCAGAAGCTTCACCTCCTGCTTTAGGGACCTCGCTGCCAGGGTGAGTTAGCCCACTCAGCTCAGACCATGACCTCTGGATTGAGCTTATCTGGCCAGGGAGGGCACCTCAACTGGCCAGGACACAATCCCAGGCAATGCTCCCCAAGCTGGCACAGAGTGCTGCTGTGGTGGGCAAACTGTCCCAGGCCCCAAATAAGAGAGATGGCAGAAATGATCCTCATCAGAGGGGCCATAGGAAAAGAGTAGCACAGAAACACTGTGGGTGCAGTGAGGACCTGGTTCCTCCATTCTAAAAATCAGTTGGAAAATGCTGTTCATATATATGCCCTTTGACATTGGGATACCACTTTCATCCCAAGGAGTTCAAAGACAAAGTAAAGAATTTTAATCCTAATAAACAGCAGCACTTTTCTGCTAAAGCAAAAAAAACAAAGTGGAAACCAAAGGAATGCCCACTGATTGAGGAATGGCTGAACAAGCTGTAATCTATAAATCTACTAGACTATATTATGCCCCAAATATGAGGAATATGAAGAAATCTAAGAAGACTTTTACAGACAGATACATACAAAGAAAGCAGAACCAAAAGAAGAGTAAACAAGAAGAAAACATTGTGAAACATGATCGGAACAAAGACCAAAGTGGAGCTCCGTCCACGCTCTGAAGGACAGTTGTGAGACATTCCTCTCCCTCCCGGAACAGTGAGGCTGTGGGTATAGAATGAGGCATACACTGTGGGTCTCTGTATGGCTACAAGGTGCTCTGCCCTGGCAGGCACGGAGGATGGGAGGTAAACAACAGGGACAGCATAAAAGCATCCACTAAAGTGGTTTCTAGGGATGTGTGCCTGCCCAGCAAACCACTACTTCTTAGAAAGATAAGAAAGAGACCAAAAGAGTCCCTGGTTGGGAAAAGCGCATGGCTCATTTTCTCTCACTCTTCTCCAAGGCCCATCCCACAGTGCTCACTTTCATTCCCACTATGGGAGACATGGCTCTGCTTGCTTCACCTCGTGACTCCTACAAGTCTTCTTACAGTCCTCCTATTCTTCCTGGCTGTCATTTTTAAAAGAATACTAAAGGCCGCTAGGGGGTACCACAGTGCAGAGAGTGCCTGGCCTGGAGTCTGGAAAACTCATCTTGTCGAGTTCAAATCTGGCCTCAGACACCATGGAAAATGACTCAACAACAATAAAGAATAGTAACATTCACTTCCATTGGGGTACCACAATTTTGTAAGACATTTTTTAACAAGGAGATTACTCCCATGGCCCTGAAATGCTAGGCTAACTTCAAACCAGCTCAACAGCTCTTCTCCAAAAGACTGATGGGATCAACTGGGGAATGGCTGAGCAAGTTGTTGTATATGTATATAATGGAATACTATTGTGCTATAAGAAATGATGAACAGGCTGACTTCAGAAAAACCTGGACTTACATGGTCTGATGCTGAGTGAAGTGAGCAGAACCAAAAGGACTTTGTACACAATAACAGCCACGTTATGCAATGACTAAGATGTTAAACTGCACCCTTCTCAGCATTACGAGGATCTAAGACATCTCCAGAGGCGTCGGGATGGAAAATACTGTCCACATCCAAAGAAAGAACTATGGAAATCGAATCGCTATCACTTATTTTTCCCTTCTGTTGAGTTTTCTTTCATTTTTCTGATGGTTCCTCCTATTGGTTTTAATTTTTACTTACAACTTCACTAATGTGAAAATATGTTTAATGGGTATGTAAATGTAAAGCCTATATCAGATTGTGTGCCGTCTTGGGGAGGGTGGGGGGGAAGAAGGAGGAGAAAAATTTTCAACTCAAAAGCTCATGGAAGTGATTGTTGATAAATCAAAATAAATTAATAAAATTTAAAAAAAAAAAGACTGATGGGAGCAAGGACGTGCATGAGACACCCACTAGGCAGCTGTGCTCAGTGCCAAGGGCGGGAGACCTGACATCCCTGAGGGCATGAGTCCACAGAAGTCCCTACAACCAGCTGATGGGTCAGACAGGGTAAGCACTGGGATGCCCCACGGGCCTCTTGTGACCACATGTCCAACGTAAGGTTCTGGAGTCAGGGTGCCATCTAATAAAGACAAAGTGCCTACAATGCTACAATAGGGCAAAGGTTGAAAACAAACTTGTCCAAATGGGAATCTTCAAGACAAACAATATAATCCAATTACAATTAAGCAACAAGTATTTAGCACCTACTATGTGCTAAGCACAATGCCAGGAGCAACTCTAACAGTGCCTGCCCTGGAGGTCCCATTCCAGTGGAGGAGAGAAGATTGTATGTACATATGTATGCATGCATGTCCTACACATGTACCTTTGTCTACACAGAAGAAAAAATAGATATGAAGAGAATGGGGACCACAGCATTAGCAGCTAGGGGGGCAGGGCAGGGCAGGATCAGGAAAGGCTTCTCACAGAGGCCTCTGTGGGAATTCTGAAGGAAGCTTGGGTTTCTAAGAGGCAGAGGTAAGGAAGAGAGATCGACAATCTAAAGAAAGAGACCAGAGGAGGGAGGGAAGCCATGAAGATCTGAACTAGGATGATGGCTGTGTGAGAATCCAAAGGGAAAACATGAGAGATGAAGAAGGTGAAAACCCAGGATTTGGCAGCAGGTTGAGCATGTCAGCAGAGGGAGAGTGAGGATCAGTCCATCCCCAAGCATTTATTATTGGCTGAGGAGAGGGGGAGAGGAAGGGGGGGAGAGAGAGAGAGAGAGAGACAGACAGACAGACAGAGAGAGACACAGAGACAGAGACAGAGACAGAGAGACAGAGAGAGAGACAGAGAAAGAGAGAGAGAGAGAGGGAGAGGGAGAGAGGAGAGAAGGGCAGAGGGCAGAACCCTGGGCACTCCAAGGTGGACGACAGCTGGCAAAGAAGGCTGAGTAGTAGCTCAACCAACATGCAGAAGAATGAGGAGAGAAGGTCCAGGAGAAAGGTGCCGAGGGGGCTAACAGTGAGAGTGATGATGAGGCCTGAGAGAGGGCTCACTGCTTTGAAGCGCTCAGCTGCAGATGAGTGATGGAAGTTAGACTGCAGAGGTGGGACCCATGAGGCAGAGAAGAGGTGGAGGCAACGAGCAGCAAGAACCTTTCTGGGGGTTGGTGGTGAGAGAGAGGAGAGACATAGGAGGATGGTCTCTAGAGAGATGGTAAGATCAAGTGAAAAAGAAGGGGCATATCTGTGCAAAGTAAAGAAGTGATGAGTCTCTAGAGAAAGACTGAACAAAGCAGAGCCAGGGCAGAGATAACTAAGGGAACAAAATGCTGGATGAGACAGGAAAGAAGGGGAGCAACGGTTGGTCTGCTGAGAAGAGCTGCCTCTCATCAGAGTCTGGAGAAAAGGGAAAAATGGGTGATGGTGTCAAAGGGCTCAAGACGTGGAGAAGGGGAGGAGTGGGAGCTCAGTGATGGAGGAGAGCAAGCCCCTAGCCAAGAGGGGAGTAAAGGATCAGAAGAGGCCACGTCCTTACAAGGCTGTGAAACCTACCACTGATATCATCACGAATTAAAGATTATAACTCTGGATGGCTAAGAAACTCGACCCTAACCTTCAGCCTTTAGAACAAGGGTCTGCTATCTGTTTCTCTGTGGAAATTAATCAACATTTAATAAGCACCTATGTGCAAAAGACAGTCCCTGCCCTCAAGGGGCTTGCAATCTAACAGGAGAGACAACATGCAAACGGCAATGTCCCACTTAGAAAAAAAGCTTCTTGAAAACAAAGGACTTTTTTTTACTTTATTCAATGCATGAGGCACATTTCATCGAGAGCCCAAATAGAAGAACAGTGGGAAAGCCTAGAGCTCCTTTTGGCCCTCTCTTATAACTGGCCCCAAAACTGACAGGGGCAAGTGTCTGATGACCTCCTCCATTGCATGACACAAAATTACCTACCTTTCATGCTGGGTCTGATCTATGTCGGATCTCAGCAGAGATATGAGGTTCGTCCCTTCCTCGTGCTCTCGTTCACGCCGTTCCTGAAGATTTTCCAGCTCCCCATGAGTCTGTGCTACTTCATTATTTAAGGATGAGACTTTTTCTTTCAGCTGTTGGGAAAGACACACAAAAACAACAGACACTCAATGAGCCATCACTGAAATGTGCTGTGGTCCCCTCAGGAAAGAGGCTTCTCTGAACACTGCCCTGAAATGGTCTTAACGATGACAAAGTCAGGCTACACAGTTCCAAGCTTCAGCACCATGGCCAGCGGATGAGGCAGCTGCTTTTCTGGTGGTTTCTCCTTCCCAAGCCACTAGGTCAAGATAACACCTAGCTCTACCCCAAATACACATACACAATATTAATAAAATTCTTTTATGAACAAGGTTACTGAACTCAACATTTTATGGGGAGTGCAATTAAAACACAATCCCACAAGCCTCCTCTCTGGTGCACAGAGACCCTCATGAAAACAAAACAAAGTGGTGGAAATGGCTGAAACACTCCCCTAGCACTAGCTAGAATCAGTCAGGATTCGGGTAGAAATGGGTGCAGAGGGATCACTTTAGGATCTGAATAGTGGATGAACTAGAGTGAGGGGAGAACTGAAGATGGCAGACCCCCCCAGTTGCTATGGCAATAGTCTAAGGGTGAAGTGATGAGGGTCTGCACTAGGGTGGGAGCACAGTCAGAGGAGAAAACGGGGTACACTGGAGAGATGCTGCAGAGGTGAAATGGACCAGAGATGCTGCAGAGGTGAAATAGACCAGGGATGCTGCAGAGGTGAGGTTGGGTGAGGTGAGGCCAAGGAGAGATGATTGAGGAAAAGGCCATTAAGAGATCTCTGGTCAGGTTGGAGAGAGCAGCTTTGGTGGAATGATGAAGTCTGAAGTCAGAGCAAGAGAGGAAGAAGAGAAGGCACCTGGGGTAGATGAGCCCCCTCCAAAGAGGAGGAGGTACTCAGGTAAACCCCGAACCCCAAGCCACCTGTGCATGTGCAGGGCTGGGTCTCTGTCCCTTTGTTCAGTTCAGCCCAGGCTAGCATGAGTTTGGGGGGCCTCAAGGCAGCCATCAGAGCCTCAAGCTATCCCAGGGAGCTTAGGGCTCGGTCCAAGCATTCTGAGGTGTGCAGCAGAACAAGCACTAGACATGGAGGCTGGGAAGCCAGAGGGACTCATCTGAAGCTACAACAGGCTGGGGACTAGGGACACAGAACCAGAAATAATGGAGTCACTGCCCTCCAAGAGTTTCCCTTATACCAAATGAGAACAGACATGGAGATGAGGAGTTTCCAAACGTATACAGAATGACTTGGGGCTAATAGGAATAACTGCGTGAACCTGGGTGACCTCAGCTAACTCACATAAACATATAAGAAGGGAATCCAGTGAACCGATGAGTTCAACAAGCATTTTCAGCATTGATGACAAGCAGAGCTCTGTGCCAGGTGCTGCAGTGACAAGCACCAAGCCTTCCCTCAAGGGACTTATGCTCTACACCCAGCACGCTCATATGGGTGCAGAAACAAAGAACACAACTGGTCATTTTGCAGAGGGTGAGGTGGGGTGAAGGGCAGCCCTCACAGTTAAAGGAATCAGAGTCTGGAAGGTCCCTTGGAGGGAGGGCATTCCTGGCATGAGGGACAGCTGGTACAAAGGAAAGAGGTGGGACGGGAACTCAGAAGGCCAGTTTGGCTGACCCAAGAGAATGGGAAGGGGAGTCACCTAGAATAAGAATGGAATGGGAGCTTGGGGCAAGGTTGTGAGAGACCTAAGATGACAGCAAGGGAGGGCAGCCAGGTGCCTTTGTCATGGTCACAGGGCAGGGGCAGGGGAGTCCCTGGCTGGTTCTCCACCAAAGACCCTCAGCTCTCAGGCCACCTTCTACAGGGGGCCTTTTGTGCACAAGGTATGTATGCCCTCCCCTCTCCTTGGGATGTATCTGGTATGTACCTGGTTATGGACATGTAAATAACATGTCCTCTCCCCCATGGGATCGTGAGCTCCAGGGGAGCAGGGGCTGTGTTTCTGCCTGTCTTGGAGCCCCCAGTGATGGGCACAGAGGAAGCACAGAAGCCATGCCTGCTGACTGGCTGTGGTGACCTTAGAGCTTCTAAAGGGAATGGGCGGCTCTCAGGCTAATCTGCGGTGGAGAACATAAATCATACTTCTGAATGGCAACTCCCCAGCCTGGGGCCTGGCTTACAGACAGGACATAGCGGTTGGAACAATGCTTGCTGGATTCTGTACCTCTCAGAAGAGCAGACACGTGCACCTTAAATGCCATTCCAGCGTGGAAAAGGTCAGGACAAAAAGTCCAGTGAGGCAAGAGAAGGAGGCTCTAGGCATGAAAGGAAGGGGCCACTTCAAGTGGGGGAGGAACAGACGGATGGGGGAGGTCCTGATGGGCAGTGGGGGAGGCTGAAGAGCCACACGTCCACGTAGCTACATCAATTCTGATCTTGCCACTGGCAAGTAGGGGGCACCAGGGCCAAGCAGGCTTAAATGGGACCAAAAAAACTCGGGATAGCCCCTGAGCAGAGCTGCAGGCCTTCTCCTTTGAGTGATGAATGAAGCGGTTCCTGCCCTCATGAGGATTAGGCGGCCTGGCCCCTCTGTACCTGCAGAAGCTCCATCACCAGAAATGTCTTGTCCCCAAAAGCTCACACAACCCTGTCCACTGTGTGGAAAGGGCTGCCAGCTAGCTCACCCACGCAGCCCAGGCTCCCTCAAGCATAACTGAGCCTGCTGACCACCCCTGTGTAGGCCACACTAGGGCCAACCCAAAGCAAAGGAGCTTCTGGCAGGCGGAAGCAGACAGACAGCCCGCCAGCCAGAACAGCTGATGCGGCAGCAGCGCTTTATGTGGATGGCAGGCTTAGAGGACATGTCACAGACAGAGGCTCAGAGGGCAGCTAACTGACCCAAGGTCACTCAGCTAATAAGAGTCAGAGGCGGGATTCCAGGCCAGGCCTGCAGCCTTGACTGATACGAAGGGAGCCACAGAAAGAACACACAGTGGGACCAGCTGTGAGCCTGCCCCACTGGCCTCCTCTCTGTTCATCACCCTCAACTCTTCCCTTGGCCACCTCCATGCCTTTGCACAGGCTGGGTCCCGTGCCTGAAATGCCGTCCCTTCTCTTCCTTTAACACACAGCTCAGGCCCCAATTTCTACAGGAAGGAAGCCTTCCCTGCCCTCCACCCACTGGCTGGCAGCCTCCCTCCCAGACATTTCCTAAAAGCCTGGCACTGTTGGCAGACTGATGGATGACTGGATCAATGAATGAATTCTGGTGCCACGCCATGAGGACAGCCCCACCAGGGCGCGGCAGTGCACATCTACCTGGAGAATGAGGCTGCTCTGCTCCTGCAGCTGTGACATCAGTGCCTCTTTCTCCCTCTGGCAAAGGGCCTGAGCCTTCTCACTTTCTTCCGCTTGCCATCCAGCAGCTCCCTTCTCTGTCTCCAGCTCATCCTGCACAAAAGGACATGAGAGGTCACAGGCCAGACTCAGCCTTCCTGCTGCTCTCAGAGAGGCCCCATGAAAAACAGGGCTGAGACAGGCACAGGTTCTGCTCTGGGGGAGACGAGGCACACATGCCTCTGGGTCAGACCTAAGTTGGCCTAATTATGAAATGACTAGCCAGGTGAAAGGGCCCCCAGGGAATCTGGCCCTCAACAGAAAGGGAGGGGCAGCTCCCAGGCAATCTCCAGCTACTCGGCTCCCCACAAGAGCAGAAGAGGCCACGAGCAGGCCCCAGAGATCAGCACCAAGAGAAGCACCTCTAAAATTAGAGACACTAAGGATATTCACATGGAAAATAGCAGAGACCACAACCGGGGAGCAGGAAAACGTCATAACCAAACAACAACTGACTATGTTTAGGAGACCCTCCGAAGTCCTAGATGAGATGCTGTTGGGGGGAGACAAGGGGCATCCCCAAAGCCCGTGCACCCACACGCACTGAGGAACCGAACACACCACTACCTTGAGCCGGGCCACCTGCTGTTCCAGTCCCTGGGCCTGGCCCTTAAGCAGCGCTGTCTCCTGCTGAAAGAGCAACTCCTGCCGCCGTCTGGCCTCTTCACCCTGGGCAGATGCTACTCGCGCATCTTCCTGCAAGAGCACAGGGAGGGAGTTTGTCACCTGGCCCGCCCCAGCCTCGAGTTTGTGCACAAACAAAACTAAAGCAGCCAAACTCAAAAGGAAAGCAAGAAAAAAAGAAACCAACATTTTACACCAAGTTTCTCTGATAAAGGCTTCATTTCCCAAACACAGGAACTGAGTCAAACTTATAAAAATAAGAGCATTCTCCAGTTGATACTTCTATGTCAAAGGATATGAACAGGCAGTTTTCGGAAAAAGAAATCAAAGTTATCAATAGTCACGGGGGTGGGGCAGCTAGGTAGCACAGTGGATAGAGCACCAGCCCTGAAGGCAGGAGGACCTGAGTTCAAATCCAGCCTCAGACCAAACGCTTGACTCTAACTGTGTGACCCTGGGCAAGTCACTTAACCCCAACTGCCTTAAAAAAAAAATCTGTCACAGGGAAAAATGCCCCACAATGCTAAGGTCACAGATGTTCTTAAAAAGGCAAATGAGGTGACAGCACCAATGTACACATTCTCTCGAAGTGGGAAGCAGGCCAAACCTTGGATGCCATTCTGGTAATGTACTCAACCACGAGTCACCTAGAAGCAGTCTGGCCCCTTATTGCCGGTAACCAGGATGAAGGGGCGTGTCTAATGAAACAGGGAAACATGAACAGAGGCCACAGAACACTGTCAGGGACCAGGTCTAATTGACCTTTTCTTCTCCCTGTCACTTAGCGAAGAGCCCAAAAGGGAATGGTCCCTTAATAAATCTCTATGGAATCTTGAAGGAATGACAAACGCAGGCCGTGCCGACATCAAAATCCAGGCCCCTCCGTGCCTCAAGGCAGGATAAATGCTTTCGGCAATGACTGGCACGGCTCTTCATCTCCACAGACAAACACCCACTAAGATCAGTCTGTAAGAGCTGGCACAGACAACGCAATCCCTAACGTGGCCAGGAAGCAGGGAGGTGCCAGCCAGAAGGGCTAGTGCCATGCGACCCCTCCCAGAGAAGACCTCCCTGGCCCTGCCAATCTCTCCCCAGACTCTCTGGGGTGGGTTCCCTCCATGCCAACAGTGGCATCAGAGGAGGCACAGGAGGAAGCTGTGATGGACACTCGGGAAGTCACTAAGCTTACAGCTGCTCCTTTGGACTTAGGAGGTAAGCTCGCCTACTTCTCAAAAGCGGACCCTTCGAAGAAAAACAAGTTTCAATTGCTCTTTAGAGATTAGTCCAGTTTATTTAAAACACAGACGCACACACCTCCCCCACACACACTCACACACATCCATAAACATATACCACAGAACATACACACATACCACGTGCACATAATATACACACATACACACACCAGGGCAAACACACACATGCAAATACCCATACCACACATACATGTACTCACACACATGCACACTTATGGGCATGCTAACACACCTAATGCACACGCACACACCACATGCACATAATACATGCACACAAGCAATAGGGGACAGCAGCCTAGTCTCAGAGTCAGAAAGGCCTGGACTCCTGCTGGCAACTCTCTCTCATTGCCCCACATCGTAGGTGCTTGTTTGCATTAGAACACAAAGCCTCTTCCTTGATGAAATTCCAGGTCCAGACCAAAAAAAAAAAAAAAGGAAAGACACACAGGTGCATACATGTGTGCTTGCGCGCATACACACACACACACACACACACACACACACACACACACACACACACACACACAATCTTCCAAGGATCACTGCCAGGGACCTCCAAGAACATCGAAGCCAAGCCCTCAGTCTTGTTCCAGGTCACCTGGGAGCAGAAGAGACCCTGTACCTTCAGAATGACAACCCTGCCCCTGCCCATTTAGGTATTCTGAATGAGGAGCAAAGCACTGTGTCATTCAAGGCTTTAGAAATTAAAAATGAAAAGGAGGGAGGACACTTCCTTCCACTCTCGGTTTTTGTTCTAATCAGCCTAATAAATCTGGACGCAATCAGAGAACACGAATGAAAGGCCAAGCACGCTCATCTCTTCTGGCTGTGGTCTGTTTGGAGGGACAGGGTAGATGGCCTGAAGATGAGCAGAACATGAAGAGACTCAGAAGGGAGCACGAAGGACAGCTGAGCAGCTCCCGCCCCAAGACAGGAAAGGGACCAAAGTGAGCCCAGGATGGACGGCCTGAGGCCTAAGGCGTGACCTAAGATCTAGCAGAACCTACAGCAAGGATCTAGACCCCAGAGTCTAGGGCGAGGGTGGGGAACCGCGGCCAAGAGGCCACATGTGTCCCTCTAGATGCTCAAGTGCGGCCTTTTGACTGAGTCCAAGTTTCACAGAACAAATCCCTTAATACAAATCCCTTGTATTAAGGGATTTGTTCTGTGAAGTTTGGGTTCAGTCAAAGGGCCGCACCCGCGGACCTAGAAGGACGCACGGCCTCATGGCCATAGGTTCCCCACCCCTAGTCTAAGGAAACAGAAAGCAGGTCAAAGGCAGGGCTATTGCACAGTGAGGTCGGTCAATCAACATTTACAAAGAACCGACTAGGGGCCCGCCCAAGACAGTCCCTGGCCTCTCAGGGAGCTCACAGTCTAATGGGGGAGGGGGAGACAATGCACAAAGCTGTACCTGTACGAAGCAACCTATATGCAGGATAAATAGGGAACGATGACCAGAGCGAAGACCCTGGAATTCGGAGGGCTGGGGGAGGCTCCCTGTAGGAGGGGGGATTTCTGCTGAGGCCTGAAGAAAGACAGGGAGCTCAGTGAGCAGAGCAGAGGAGGGGGAGTGGTCCAGGCCTGAGCCACAGTGGTCAGAGAGAACACGCAGAGACAGAGATAGAGGGATTGTTCATGGAGCAGCTGGAGGCCGGGGCACTGGATGAAACAGGATGCTGTGGGGAGGAAGGTGGAAGGAGACTGGAAAAGGAGGAGGAGGCAGGTGATGAAGGGCTTTGAATGTCATCCTGGAGGCCACAAGGACCCACAGGAGTCCACTTAGTAAGGGGTGACATGGTCAGACCTGCACTTCTGGAAAATCATTTTGGTGGCTGAGTAGAGGGGAGAGACTGTGGCAGGCAGAGCCCCTCTCCCCCCACCCCCAGCAGCCACTGCAGTAGTCCAGGCAGGTGATGAGGGCCTGGCCCAGGGCAGAAGCAGGGTCAGAGGGGAGAAGGGGGCTTAGGGAGATGCTGCAGAGGTGACATCAACAGGCCTTGGTGCCATATTGGGTCTGGCGATGGGGTGGGGAGTGAAGAGTCCAGGATGACGCCTTGTTTGTGAGTCACTGGGGAATGGTGGTGCCCCCTTATAATGATAAGGAAGATAGGAGGGCTTGAGGGAAAGATATGGAGCTTCACTCTGGACATACTGCGTTTAAGACGACTGCATGACGTCCAGTTTGGATGTCTGAAAGGCAGCTGAAGAGGCAAGATTGGAGGTCGGCAGAGAGTCTGGGGCAGGAAAGGTCAATCCGAGAACCGTCTGAATAGACCATTGTTAAATCCACGGGAGCTGAGGAGATCCCCGAGGAAAGCAGTCTGGAGGGAGAGGAGGCAGGAGCCCAGGACGGAACCTGAGGGACACCTGTGGTTAGAGGGCGTGATCAGGATGGGGATCCAGCAAAGGAGGCAGAGCAGGAGCGGTCAGAGAGGGAGGAGGAGAGCCAGGAGAGAGCGTGCGGTGACCCACAGCCCCAGAGGGAGGAGAGGATCCAGGAGGACAGAGACCCACAGCGTCCAGGGCTACAGAGGGGTCGAGGAGAATGAGGACCGAGGAAAGGCCACTGAGAGATCACCAGTCACTCTGCAGGGGGCAGAGGAACAAAGGGCCAGAAGCCAGACTGTACGGGGTTAAGAAGAGACTGAAGGAGAGACCGTGGAGGCAACTGGTGTAGATGGGCTTTTGGAGGAGTTTGCCCACAAAGGGCAGAAGAGATTGTGGGACCAAAGTTATCAGGGGCGGAAGGGTGAAGTGAGGCTTTGCTCAGGATGGGGGAGACATGGGCCTGTTTGTAGGCAGGAGGGAGGGAGCCAGTGGAGATGGAGAGATGGGAGATAAGTGAGGGAGGGGAGAATGAGAGAAGCGAGAAGCAGGTCCACTCTTCTTCCTATGCCAGTACACTGGGGACATGAAAAAAAGCAGTAACTGGCCCTGGAGGGAGCAGGTCAGGGACGTGGGATTGGTAGTCTACAGAGAAACAGATTTCTACGACAAAAACCAAGAAAAGGGAATGCAGCTAGAAGACAGAAGAGGAAGGAGCCCTTCTCTCATTCTCACCATCCCCACAAAGATTCCTGGAGTGCCTTGGGAGCCACTACTCCTGCAATGAGGGAGATGCAGCTGATGGGGTGCTTGTACTTGGACCCCATTTCCAAGCTCATATTTCTCCCTAGCCGGCCCAAAGACCCTCTCTCTGGCACTGACTCATGAGTGGGCCCAGTGAGGCAAACTATCTCTCCCTGAAACAGGAAAAAGCTGACCTCTGTAGAATTTCCCTTGTACTATCTTGTATCAACAAAACCATCAAGTATTGATGCCCACAGTAACCGTATATAAGCCACAGGTCAAGCTTCCTTCTCGATAGCTTATCGAAGCTACCTTGTTTCAGACAAAACAGACCAAAAACACACCCCTTAGGAACCCCCCCCAGTTTCCAATAGGGAATGGCACCTGTGACCAGGGGTGCATGTCATCACCTAATTAGCATACCTGCCACATAATCCACTACTTTTCCTATATAAGCTTCCCTAAGGAGCTCTGCCCACTAAGGGCAGATTCCTTGAGAAGCCTTGCCCACTGTATAGCGTAACAATAAATCTTTGCCACCTTGACTTAAAGAATGCTTGTGTCTGTCCTGTACTCTGGTCTTTGAGGGGTCTCTGAACCTCTCAGACTACAATACAACCAGGTTTCAGAAGAGCGTGGGAAGAGCGAGGGTGGCCGAGCGAGAAGCCCCAGGGCCGCTGGCCAAGTCCCAGGTCCAGCCTGGCACTCTTCCTTGCTCCCTGCAGCCCCGCTCAAAAGCCCTTTGGCAAATGGCTTTTATGTCTTTTTATTCTGTTATCAGGCATGGCTCACGAGGAGGGGAGGGGGAGAATTCATCTCTCTGAATGAAGGTCACAGAACAACCAAAGAGATCAAGAAATATTTTGAAAAGAAAAAGAAAGGATCGTCCAACAATATTCCAAGAAGAGATGGGCCATAATGATCGGGTCCTACAGTTCTTTAAAAATGAAAGACTGAGCAATGGAATGTTCTTGAAAATTCAGAATTAGAGCAGTGGAAATCAAAGTTTGGTAAACGTAAAATCTCCAACACAAGAGAAGGTGTCACTGTGCAGGAGAAGAGGCGGGGCAAGCCGGGTAGCAGAGGACAGAAAGGGGGTCTGGGTCTGCGCCCTCCACTAGGCTGGGTGAGAAACCCCAAAGGGGTAAACCATCTCATTGAAAAGACAATCTCCAAGGAGGGAGGCCACCACATCTCACAAAATCCTGAAAACGCACCACCCCAGCTTTCCTCACTTTTCCACACCAAAAAGCTGAGATGGCCCAGAAAAAAGGAAAGAGTGCTCCAACACCTCAGCTTCTGCCTGGTGCCAAGAGCTGCCAGGCAATGACTCCTAGTGCCTTCAAGAAAGGGACTCACTGGCACGACCAGACTTGAGGAGGAGAGGGCTTGGGCCAAGCAAAAAAGATCAAGAAGCAGCTGACCACAGCCAGGGGACCAGGGACATGGGGGGGGGGGCTCTGGGGAGGAGGCCTACAGTCAGCGTGCCCCCCCACCTTCTGGGCCAGGGTACTGTCTGAGGTTGGTACCCTCAGCAGCACCATTCCTCAACGTGACTCTGAATAACATTTAATCTATCCATAGCCATTTACATGGAGGGTACCTGAGAGGCAGCCAGGTGAAGTGATGAAAGGCAGAGAGATTCCATGCACCACCCCCGCCACTCCCCAGGCTCACCTCACGCTCAGCTCTCTGCTTCTCGAGCTCGGCCACGTGGATGTCCTGGAGCTCCTGAAGGGCTTCACGGTGATGCTCCTCCATGCGGAGCACCTCTGCACCCAGTCTGTCCAAAGCCTTGTGGTTTTCTTCCTCCAGCAGACACCTCTGGCTTTGAAGGGCTGCCTGCAAGTCCTCCTACAAGAGGGACCATTGGAAAGAGCCCAGTCCCTATGGTGGCCAGGGCTCTGCACAGTGGAACCCTGACCAAGGACCGGAGCTGACCCCAGAAAGGAAAATGAAGAAAGGCTTCACACTACTTTCAATCTAATGTTCATGACACAAAATCCACAGAACGTTTGCAGTTCATTCTGCCCTTCCTCCAGAATAAGGACTTCCTGGTTCACTTTCCTTTAAACTGACCGCCAATTTCATTGTAGTCTAAGTGAGCTCACAGGGAGCTCATCACTGCCCCAACCCTTGCTCCACTTCCCCCATCGGAATTACAGATGTCAGCTCCCCCAGAAAACAAGCTCACTTCATTCAAGAAGCCAGGTCGTCTGGGCCTCAAGTCCAGACTCATATTCACTGCACCTCCCGGGAGGCCGTGGTCAAGGAGAGTAAAACTCAGAACCATCTGCTGGGGCATTTCATCCTAGCAACAAGACACTAGACTGCCCAGGGGAGATGGAGAACACAAGAAGAATTCCAGCCTCCTTATTGATAGCTTCTCTTTCCAACAATTAAGAGCCAAACCAGCCCCAGCCCTGAATGTTGCTGCAGATTGTTTCAAAGGGCTCCCTTGGGGAAGGTTCCAAGCATGGCCTCAATGTCTCGTGTCTTTCTAAAATGTTTTCTTCCATCTTTAATCATTAACTGAAGTTGACCAGGACAAGCAGAATTAGGGAAGGAGAAAATGGAAGTCTAGACTCTTTCTACATAAGGAGCAAAGCACCATGTCACTGCAGGTTTCGGGATTTTTTCTTTTCTGTTCCTGCCAGCCTAATGCTCAGATGCCCCACAGCCAGCCTCAGAGATGGAGCAGTACAACTGTGCACCAGCGTAGTGAAGATCACATTTAAATCCAACCTCTCTTCTAAGAACAGGCTGCTTTGACCTGAAACCCAAGCCACTGATTTACTTAGTTGTCCAGCTTGATGTGATAAAATTAAATTCCTTTCTCCTTATAAAAAATTTACAACGAGCAAGGCCAGGCTGTCATAGCAAATGTGCGGCCACAGCCTTCCTGTGCTGGTCTGACCCATCTCAGGACAACTACCATGTATTCAGTGAGTCATTCCGCAGCCTGGACACAGCTAACAAGGTGGCCTAAGACCCGAGCCTGGCAGTGCCTGCAGGCCCATTCCCCAGGCAAACACTCACCTGATGGGCATCTTGCAGCTCCGTGGCCAGTGCCTTCAGCTTTTCAATATGATCGGTGGTCATCTCAATTCTGAGGCTTTCCTGGGCCAGCTGCAGCTCTCGCTGGTGCTTCTCAGTCTCCTGAGCCAACAGCCCCTGGTGCTCAGCCTCCCTGGCCCGCAGCTGCTCCTCGAGCTTCACTTGCAGCCCTTCCAGAGCATGGCTGTGCTCCTCCTGGATAGTCTGAATCTCAGACAGGTAACAGGACTCCAAAGAATCCAGATTCGACAAGTGTTTGGCTTCCAGCTCACTAATTTCTGCAGCGTGCTGAGTCTCCAGCTCGGCCACCCGGGCCTCCAGCTGTGCCTGGTGCTGGCTCTGTAAGGAGGCCCGCAGGGCATCCGTCTCCTCCTGATGCTGGGTCTGCAACTCGGCCACCCGGGCCTCCAGCTGTGCCTGGTGCTGGCTCTGTAAGGAGGCCCGCAGGGCGTCCGTCTCCTCCTGATGCTGGGTCTGCAACTCGGCCACCCGGGCCTCCAGCTGTGCCTGGTGCTGGCTCTGTAAGGAGGCCCGCAGGGCGTCCGTCTCCTCCTGATGCTGGGTCTGCAACTCGGCCACCCGGGCCTCCAGCTGTGCCTGGTGCTGGCTCTGTAAGGAGGCCCGCAGGGCATCCATCTCCTCCTGATGCTGGGTCTGCAGCTCAGCCACTCGGGCCTCCAGCTGTGCCTGGTGCTGGCTCCGTGAGGAGGCCCGCAGGGCGTCCATCTCCTCCTGATGCCGGGTCTGCAGCTCAGTGGTCAGGGACTCGGCCTGCTGCCTCTGCCTCTCCTGAAGCTGGTGACTCTGCATCTGGAGCTCATTGGCATGTTTCTCCTGTAGCTCCCGGAAGAGAGCATCTTGTCTTTCAGTGAATTTCTGCGTTGTTTCTTTCTGCTCTTCCAAGAATCTAAATAAAATTTAAAAGGCACAAACACTGTAAACAAGCTGTCCTAAATAATTCAGAACCTCTTCTACATCTGGTCAGAAAGCACCTGCTTCCATCCAATTCCCTGTATGTGTCTGTGGTCCTCTGAACACAGTCCTCGACAGAGACTCGTGCCTGGGGCCCTGATAAGTGGCTGGTCCCAGGCAGGTCATGGCCTGATGACTGACTTTGGATTGGGACCAAAACACCTCTCATCAATCAGAGCTCACCAGTGTCCAAGCACCAGGGCTCCCCCTACATATTGACCTCACTTCAACGCATCTTTAAAGATGCTCTCAGGAACACGGCCGTTCTCTGGCAACAACAGCATAAAGAAAACAGACATGAAGCAGTAATTTTGCAAAGGTCTATGAATGGCCAGAGATAGACTCAAGTTGCAGTACTTTACTGAATGGAGGAAGTATTCAGACTCTACTCCAGACAATTCTACCCAGCTCTGATGAGGCTCCAGTAGGAAGGAAAGGGCCCAAGCACTTATGAAGAGCCTACTATGCTCCAGGCACCATGTTAAGCACTTTACAAACACTATTCGATTTGCTCCTCACAATAACTCTTGGAAGAAGATGCTGTTTTACAACTGAGGAAACTGAGGCAGTGAGTTGCTCAGGGTCTGAGGCCATATCTGAACTCAGGCCTTCCTGATTTGAGGCCCAGCACTCTGGCCACTGCACCACCTATCCTAGAACGGAAGAGACCAGGCTAGTAGAACTCAGGACAGAGACAGGAACAAAGCGTGATGGCTGACAAGATGGCTAGAGAAGGGGCAGCGCCTTCCAGCAAAAAGCAAATACTGGAAGGACAACTCCTCCGCTATGGTGCCGCGTGCCTTCCTCCGCAGCCAAGGGCATCATTGGAGCCTGAAGCGCGGGTGCCAAGAAGGACCCTGAGCCACTGAGAAAAGGTGACATCACGTTCACAGGCTGTGAGAAAGGCAGGGAGGTGGGTAACATGTTTTAAAGATACCTCGGGCCCCCAGAACTTCCAGGCCGGCAGAGCCATGTGAGAATGGAACTCTGCTGATGATGCAAGTGCATCCATCCAGTCTCATAAATCCCACAAGAAGGAAGCTTCCCATCTCTAACTCAATCTTCTTTCCTTCCTCAATAAAAGCAAACTTTCTTCTTCCACCCAACCCCAGGGACAAGTAGGCTGCACCCTCAAGGAGCTTGCATTCCAGTGGTGGAGGGTCAAATGCAAAGAGAAAGGGATGCCTGACCCCCCCCACATGGAGTTCACGTTATCTGTGCGGTCCAGGACTTTGATTTCTTCTGTTGAACATTTTCATCTGTTTCTGCCCCTTGGCCTGCAATCGCTCAACTATCACTACAGAGCTTTCACTGTGTCCAGGGCACCACCTTGCTTCTAGGCATCCTGTGGTACTGACTCCTCACTGTCCTTCAAGCCCACGCCCTCAGGGCGTGCCACCATCTCCTTGTCCCCACTCCTCCTCAGCATCATCTCACCCCGGCCACCCCTAGTGCAGAGGCGTCCTGACAGATCCCCTGGCAAGGCTGAACCTGATACCACCAGAACTGGGAACGCTGGACAGCAGAAATGAAAATGCACCACAACACAGACAATGCTGACACATGGCTTCCTAAGTAAATGTGTGGCCTCCAGGGAGCCATAAGTACGGCTCAGTGGCCCTCCGTCAATGCCGATTTGATCAGCACTGTCCTGTCGGCCTCTCCGCTTCTAGTCTCCAGGACAGTCTGTGGTCTACGCAGATACGCCCAGGCCATCCACACCGCCCCCTCGATGGCCTGCCATATGATGCCCGCCGCCTCTTGGATCTCCTGTGCTCAGCATTTAAAAGGCTTCATTGCCAGCCCCACAGCCTGCCTTCCGCACCTCATTATACTCTGCTCTCCTTGACACTCACAGCAGTTCAGCCTAGCTCTGCCCCTCAACACCCCATGTCCCATGCCTCTCCTCCCGCCTGCCTGAAATGCCCTCTCAAATGCCACCTCCTCCAGGAGGCCCTTCTTGATCGTGGAGGCAAGCAGGTGGTGCAGTGAACAAAGAGCTGGACCTCGAATCAGGATGCTTCAAACACTAATCACTTCACCCATCTGCCTCAGTTTCCTCATCTGTAAAACCCAGATAACGATAGCTCCTCCCATGTGCAAAGCATTCTACAAACCTCAAAGCACTTTATACAACAAGATGCTCTCTTTTTGATTCATCTCCCCTCTACACCCACCCACACAAGCAGATGGGTAACGTCAACTCCTCAACTCCTCTGGCCTTGGCTGCCTCTCCAGGGCCTCTTCTGGTACTTAAGGAAGACCCACAGGCCTCAGTTACCCACCTTGTTCGGCTTGTCTGCAACTCCAAGGCACAGTCCTCCTGAAGCCTCTGGGTGGCTGCCTCTAGCTCTCTGGCCATCTGGGCCTTAGCCGCCTCCAGGTCGTGAGCAGCCCGTGCCTGCCAGGTGGCCTCCTCCTGGGCCCGGCTCTCATCCCGCTGTCTCAGGGACTGCTCCAGCCTCGCAATGTCAGCCACCTGCTGGTCTCGAAGCTGCTCCATCTCTGTGACGCGGAGGTCAAACGCCTTGCTCAAGGCCTGCTGCTCCCGCTCGGCCTTGCCATTCAGCTCCAAAACCAGCGCGGCCAGGCTCTCTTCGGCTTTCCTGCTGAGATCTCTGCTTCGGCCTTGCCAGGCTTCCTCTTTGTCCTTGTCCCTGCGGATCATCTGCTGAATCTCTTCCCTCATCTTCTTTATTTCTTTCTGATGGTCTTCAACAAGAAGACATCTCATCTACAAAGAGAATAATCAAGCCTGTGCTTGTAAGGAATGAGTATCGCTCTCTCATATTTAATAACTAATTATTGGATTAGGACCAAGGTGTTTCCCCTTTTCTACGTCCTCATGCAGAAATCAACCAGTGTGGGAAATCTCACTTAGAGATTTGCCCAAGCCAAGATCCAGTCAGAGAGTAAAAGAAATTCTAAGCTGTATTCCTGTTCATTGTGTTTGCTCAGACAGGTCTGGGAAAAGTTGATTCTTCTTATTATCAAGATAGGTGATATGGAAATTGATGTCTCTTTGACCAAGATTTGAGCGACCTAAGTCACGGACCCCAAGACCTTCATCTTAATACAGCCCACACCTGTCTTTGTGTTAACCAATCCTAGCTGACAGCCACCCCTCAGTAACACCTCCTCTTCAAAGGGCATATAAACTGACCCCACCACCATTAGGAGTCTGGTCTAAGGGAGAGAGCCACGTGAGCATCCTTTCATTAATAACCTACTGGCCTTAATGATTAAATTACCCAAAAACTATGTCTCTTGAAACGTTTTAAACATCGCGTGCTCCAGCCTCCCCGTCTGGCCCAGGGCCTAACCCAGAAGCTCAAAGATGGTTCCAACACCTTGCCCAAGGCTCCCTTCCTCCCCGCCATTCCTATCCCCAGAGCCAGGGTACAAACCTAGGCCTCTCCCAAAGGGAGCCCCACCCAGCACACTGCCTGTCCCTTACACTCTCACGGGTCCAAGCCCTAAGAGAAGCTGGGCAAAATTATGACAATCCTTGGCTTACAAGTGAGAAGTGAAGTGATCAATCACCCGCCGTCAGAGGCACAAGGGGCTAGGAATGTATGGGATAGCCTCCTATCATCCCCCAAGGAGCCATATAGCCTGGGGCCAGCCACCAAGACTCACATTCTCTGCCTCCTCCTTCTGAGAGATCTCATGCTGCAGCTTCTCCTGCAGTTTGGCATTTTCTGTCCTTGCAAGGCCAACCTCTTCCGTGAGTTGGGAGATGAGGCCTTCCTTGGCCTGCAGCTGGGCCTCTCTGGCTCTGTCATCTTCCAGGACCAACACGACCCTCTCTGCCACCTCTGCTTCCACCTGGCGGGCAGCATCCTGAGCACACTGTAGTCTCACCTTAATAATCTCTACAAGAAATCCAAAACAGATGACTGTGGCTGGGCTACGTAGGGCAGGTATTCAAATCATGCTAGCACAAGGGCCTCACAATGCCCAAAAGAGCAGGCCCAGCGGAGGGACCCAAACCAGGGCTTGTTAATGACAGTCGTCTGGTTGGAATTTGGGTTTTGTAGATATGGAATCGCTGCATCTCCACCCCTTCACAGACACCCCAGGCTCGGTGGAGGATTTCCTCCTCCGGGAAGCCTTCCCTGACCGCCTCCACCCATTTGTTCCCTCCTTGACCAAACCCTGTCATGGCTGAGACTTCTAAGGATGCTCATCATCCCCCAGCCTCCCCAAACAAAATAGCTCCCTGAGGTCAAAGACTGTGTCTTACATGCAGTAGGGTAATGCCAATTTGTTGGGCTGGACTGAAATCAGGTCAGATCAAACTAGATAAACCAGACTAGATTACACTGGGCTGGCTTGGAATGGCCTAGACCGGGCCGGCTTGGACCACCTGAACGAGACTGGAGCCGAGTGGACCGGACAGCACCATCCTGGGCCAGACTGGACTGGCCAGCTCTATATTAGACCAAACAGGACAGGACTGGACTGGACCACATTGGTCTGGACTAGATACCAGACCCTACTGAAGTGGACTGGGGCTGCTTCTAGATGGCAATGATGTGCTTTCCTCAGAAATTGTTTCCAAAGAGCTGTGTCAGTGAAGACGAGAACCTAGACTGTCCCTAGACTCTCTAGAACCACGTGGGGAGGGCAGTGGGGATGCTCTGTGCTTCAGGGGCAGGTTCAGACCGGCAGGGATGTCTCCTTGTCATCTTCCTACTCCTCACTTAGAAGGGCTGGCTAAAGGTGAGTGACAGTGGTGATGCGTCCCTGCCGCCTGCCCTGGGGAGGGCCCAGCTGGCTGCTCAGAGGGAGGGGCCCAGCACTACCTTTCCTGTGCTCCTCTGTGAGGTGGGCACGCAGCTCTTCGAGGTCGAGGCAGTGCTGGCGATTCTCCCTTTCCAGCTCTGCCATGTACTTCTCCTTGTGATGAGTCTCCAGAGCAGCCTTTAATGCGTCCAATTCATCTCTGTGTTTCTCTTCGAGCTGTAGTCTCAAGTGTGCGATCCCCTCCTAGAGAAGACAGGGGCGCTGGAACCAAAGCCGGCCTTCTCTGTGCCCCTTCCCCACCCCCGGGGCTCCACCCTACACTGAGGCACTACCCTGGAGGCCAGCACAGCCCCTCAGGGTTCATACAGTCACCACAGGCGCAGGAGGCTCTCCAACAGTCCCAAGACCGTCCTCATGAGCCAGGGGCTGACCTTCTAACTTATTCTCATTCAAGCTCCAGAATACGTCACGTGAAGTCAGGCTAACTGATATGGACCCACCGAGAGCCAGCACAACTTTGTCTAAGGTGAGTCGAGAAGGGCGCCTGAGCCTCTGGTGGAGCAGAGCACCAAACCAAATTCCCAATCCTCCATAAGACAGATGAAACGTTCACTGCCTCGGGGCCTCGCCTTTCCTATCACCATCATGAACAGCTCTGCCACTAACCCTCAGCGCTCTCTTCTCCAAACCTAGTAAACCCTGCTTTCCTTAGCTACATACCCAGCTTATCTCAGCCTCAGCCTGAGAAGCAGGACAGGTCCCTGTCCTAGAGAACCTCAGCAGGAAAAGGTAGCTCCTGCCTGAGCCTTCGGGGTTCCCAGGATGTGTGCCGCTGGGCAACCCATGAGAGGCAGGGACCAGGGCGAGAGCCAGAAACCAGGGCGAGAGCCATACGTGCTTTAAGAAGGAGAAACCTGCAGCTTCTTGGGCGGGCATGTGCCCAAGGTCACACACCTCAACAGGGGCACAGAAGACAGCCACGAGGACCAGGCCCTGGGCATTCACATTTATCACAGCACTTTGTGGGGGACGCCTATATCACCTGATTCTTGTACAATTTATGTGCTTTACATCAACAGTAATAATGAAAGTGAAACAGCATTTATAGAGCAGCTCTGGGAGAAGAAGGTAGACGCTATTATCCCCACTCTATGGATGAGGAAACAGAAGCAGGAAGAGGTAACTGACCAACCAAGGGTCACACAGAGAATAAATGAGGTTGGATGTAAGCCCAGGTCTTCCAGATCCCAGGCCCAGCACTCACCAATGCACCACCTAGCACTCCCAAAGCACTAATTAAATAAGCCTCTACTACAACCTCGAAGGACTCAGGATGAGACGCTCTCCGCCTCAGAGAAAGAACTGATGTGTCTGAATATAGACTGAAGCAGAGTGTTTTTTACTTTCTTTTTTTGAGTCTTCTTAGACAAAATGAATAACATGGAAATGTTTTACATGACTGCACGTGTGTAACCTATATCAGACTGCTCGGGGAGAGGTAAGGAAGAGACAGAGTTTGGAATTCAAAACTTTAAAAAAAAAGTTAAAGATTGTTTTAACATGTAATTGGGGAAAAATATTATTAAAAAAAGAAACACATCAGCCTCTACTCTGTGCCCGGACTGTGCTGGGGATATAGAGACCAAAATGAAATAGGCTTCACCCTTGAGGACAGTCCTGATGCCATCCCACTTCCATCCCACCTCCATCCTGCTGCTAGACTGGGGGGAGGACTTGGGAAAGGCCCTGCTGGAGCTGACCTGAACACACCTTCAACCAACAGAATCCTAGCCAGACCCAGTTGGAAGACTAAAGACTCATCAAAGAGGTGGAAAAAAAGCATCACCCCCATGTCAAAGCACTGCCGCCCCCCGCCCCCTGCCCCCTGGGGCCACGCTTAGTCAGCCTCTGCAGAAATTACAATGTGAGGGAGATTCAGGGGAAAGCCAACCTTCACTCATGATGGACAAGAATCCCCGAGCTCCCGGTGACTTCAATTCCAGGAGGCTCACTGCTCACATGGCTGGACCAGAGCTTCTCTGGCCCCGAGCATCCTCCTCCCTCCAAACTCGCACGACTTCCCCATGGTGAGGGGCTGCCAAGTCCTTCCAGGGTCCCTGCCTCACCTGGCGACCAGAAGCTTCCCTGGCCCTGCTCCGTGCGCTGGGGGCCAGTGTCAGAGGCTGCCTCCCGGGGGGGGCGCGCATGCTTACCTTATGCTGCTCCAGCTGAATTATCAGCTGCTCCATGTGGGCTTTTCTTTCCACGTCAGATGCCTCTTCGACAAACCCAGTGGACCAACTACAACAGAAGAGAGAGAAATGAAGCCCCTTCCTGGCTCCCTGGCCAGCCCCCAGTCCTCTCTGCACAAGGGAATGAAGATACAAGGTCTTCCTAGACAGCAGAAGAACCCAGCTCCCTATTTCTGGGAGACCCTGTCCTTCACAAGGGCATGCTGCCCAGTTTGAGAGAAGAGGAAGGACTAGGAAGGAGTTAACATCTTCTCTGGTTAGTGGCAACAGGAGAATCAGAAGAAAACGGAAACCCCCAAAAAACCTGCCCTGGGGAGGCAGGCCCAGCAGCTCACAACGGCTCCCAGGAGGCCTGGGGCACAAAGGCGGCCAGTGGGGCGGTCCCACCATCAGCCCAGAATGGGCACGGTCAAGTGTGGTCAGGAGCAGTGGCAGACTGGGAAGCAAGGACTCTGGGCCGGGCCAGGCCAGGAAGCCCGTGAGCCCAGGCTGCCCCGGCTTACCTGACGTCTGCCGAGTCGAGGAAGGAGTCCTCCCTGACCTCCTGCAGCCTCTGATGGAGCAGGTGCAAGTCTTCTCGGTAGCTCTCTTCAGCGTCCCGCAGCTTCTGCTCAAAGTAAAGGCGCAGCTGCTCTAGCTCACTCTCATGCTCGGCCCTCCTCTGCTGCTGCCGCTGCTCAAAATCATGTTTCAGGTGTTCCATCTGCTCCACGTGGGATGCTCTAGCCAGAAGCTGCTGCTTGAGCTCTGGAACAGGGAAGCGACGTCTCACGTCATCAGAAATCAAAACGGTGCGGCCAGCAGCCTCCCACAGGGGGGAAAACCACAGCATCACCAAACGCCAAGGAGGGACCACTCACCCCAAGACTGCCTGGGCCACTGCGAGGCCGCCTTCACCTCAACTACCCACCAAGAAGTGCTCCGACGGCTACCCACGGCCCGAAAAAGAGCTTGCGGCGCGGCTGGATCCAGGCAGACACTGGGCCTGGGGCTGAGGGCAACACAGCAGGCCGATGCCCACCACCTCTAATTCCCACCCAATCCGATGGCCTTTCTCTGTCCTCACCCTCTGGACCCTGTCCTCCAACCCCTGCCACTGCTCCTCTCCATTTCTTTCACTCCATTTTGATCAAGGTCATGCCTATTAACCTCAAGGATCCCTAAGGTTCTGTCCCAGGCCTTCTTCTCTTCTATCTCTGCACAACTTCACTTGGTGATGTCATCAGCTGCCATGCGATGAATGACCATTAAGGTAGCGAGGTGGTACTGCGGATAGAGGGCCGGGCCTGGCTAGAATCAGGAAGACCTGAGTTTAAATCTGGCCTCAGACACCTCCTCACTGTGTGACCCTCAGTAAGTCACTTCACTCTGTCTGCCTCAGTTTCCTCGTCTGTAAAATGAGCTGAAGAAGGAAAGGGCAAACCACTCCAGTATCTCTGCCGAGAAATCCCCAGAGGGGGCCACGGAGAGTCAGACACAACCAAAATGACTGAACAAGCTGATGATTCTGAAATCTACTGTTCCTTCCTCAATCTCTCTGCCAACCAGTCTCACATCTCCAACTTCCCATCAGACATCTCAAACTAGATGTCCTTCCCTATTACCGGACAGGGCACCACCATCCTCCCAGTACTTCAGGCTCCAACCCACAAGTCCATCTCATTTCTGCATTTCTATGACCCTCCATATCCAATGCTGGTGCCAAAGCCCGCCCACGTCACCCCTTCAACCTCTCCTCTCCTTTGACCCTGGCCTGACACTGGTGCAGACCCTTGCTTCCTCACCCCTGGACTATTACCACAGCTGCTGGGGGGGTCTGCCTGCCCTGAAGCTCTTCCCCCACCAGTCCATCCTCCCTCCACTAGCCACCAAAGGGATCTCCCTGACACAGGTCTGACCATGTCACTCCCCCAACCCGATAAACTCCAACGGCTCCCAATGACCTCTAAGATCGAATACAAGATGCTCTGTTTGCCATTCAAACCCCTCAGAATGCAGCCCCTTCCTCCCTTTCCAGGCTTCCCACACCTTGTACCCAACACGGACCCTCAGATCCCATCTGATGGGGGGCACAACAGGTCCCCCAAGGGGGACCATCAATCCCCAGCCTCCTGGCTGCTCCATGAACAGCCCCAGGCCTTCTCTCTGGCCACCCCCAAGCCTGCAAAGCTCTCCCTTCTCCGCTCTGCTCACTGAGCTCTCTGGCTTCCTTCAAGGCCCAACCGAAAGCCTGCCTTCTACAAGGTCCTTCTCACTGCTAGCGGTTTCCCTCTGCTGCTTATCCCCAAAGTATCCAGTAAACGCCTTCTTGGTGAGGAGCTGTCAGCATGTTGTCTCTCGTCACACTGTGCACCCTCAAGAGCTGGAACTTTCGACTTTTTTTTGCATCTCTAGGACTTGGCAAGTGTCTGGCACACAGTAGGTGCTTGATGCTTGTTGACTGACTGCTGACTAAAAGAGGACAAAAATCACTGTGCGCACACGTGCACGCCCGCATGTATGAATGCCAGCCTCAGCCAATTCAGACTGGCACCTAAGTTCCTGAAATCACTTTTGTTCTAATTAAGTGCTGAGGCAGTCAGATGTTGTGTTACTTAATCCTACATGTTCTGGCAGGGACTCCAAAATTCTACTCCCAGGCAGGAACAGGACTTTGAGAAGTGCTTGGAACCCCGGGCCTTGGAGCTCACTCTCAGCCAGGAGAGTCATTGGCCTGTCCTGCTGAGAAGATTTTAAAGGAGCTGTCCCACGGATGAGAGGTCACAGCCTGACCCCCACCCTTCCACGGCGAGGCCACACGGCAGCCCTTCCCATCCCACCAAGTTTCCTACTTCTTCCCGCCATGGTCCACAGCCCATCGTTGCAGCTTCTGCACCGGGTCTGGGTGCAAAGGCCCTCCCTCCCAGCTAACTTCTATTCATTCTGGATACACTTATCAAGGACCAGAGCCAGGGCAGTGAGTGGAGAGCCAGGCTGAAGGCCAGGAAGACCCGAGCTCCCATCCTGCTTCTGATGTTTCCTGGCCATGTGACCCTGGACACTTAACTCACTTACCCTCTTCAATGCTCTGAGGACTCTGAGCTGCAGAAGGAGGGGCGACCTGCATCAATAGAGGGAGTTCCCTCACCAGGAGCCCCCAGACTGCCCATGTTATTTCCTCTAAAGGAAGGCAAGTGTCTCGAGGGCAGGGACTGTTTAGCGCCTGACACAGCACCTGTGAATAGTAAGTAGCAATACGGGCTGACTGCACGGATACAACTGCTTCCAAATTTACCATTCAACTCTTGTCGATTTGCTCGTGTGGAATCCAGCTGAGACCACAGCTGCTGGATTTCTTCTTGAGACTGAGCCTGCAGTTCCTTGTAGGAGGCTTGAAGTGTATCCAGCTGCACGGAAGGGGAGAGCCATTAGGGCAGAATATCAGTGCCTCAACTAGGAGAGTCACATCAGTGCTAGCTACTCAAGAACAGGTTACTAACACAAGGACACAGATGACCACGCCAGAGCCTCAGGCAGCGCAGGCACGAGGGCACTGAGACTGCCCATGATTCCAGGGAGCAGCTCAGAGGGACACCTGCAGGCAGCGACCTGGCAGGCAAGTCCCGGGCCCTCACTGAACATGAGCTTCCTCTACTATAAAACGGGTCACAACAGCCATTAGGGCCCTCAGAGGAGAGAAAATGAGGTGCTCACGCCACAGAATATACAGCATAGCACGTGAGTACGCGCACACACACACACATGCACACACACACACATACACACACACACACACACACACACACACACACACACACACACACACACACACACACACACACACACACACATGCCAGCTGCTATTATCACAAATACTGATAGGGTAGAGGGCCAATGTGGATCTCCCCCAGAGAGCCTCGGGAGCAAAGCTTTAGGACAGCAGGCCAATCACTGGCCTAAGATGGGGCTCATGCCCCTCTCTGAGGTGACCACAGAGTGGCTGCTCACCTCGGTGGAGGGAGCTTTCACACCAGGAATTCCATGAGGGCTTAAGGACAAGATGTGGTGTAAACCCCCCCCAAAGATGATTCCCAAGTCTCTCTGTGCTGTTGACCAAAGCCTGTTTGAAAGCCATGTCAGGGCACCTACCTCTTGCTGCTTTTCTCTGAATTTCAGATTCATGTCTTCTAAATACTGGTCGTGCTGAAGCTGTAGCTCCTGGCGAAGGTCCTGCAGCGCCACGTGGTGCTGGGCCTGTGCGCTTTTGAGAGCAGCTGCAAGGGAAGCTACCCATGGGGGATGTCCTTTCTCAAGGCCCAGCTTGGCACAGGAGGCCAGCCAGTGCATAGGCCCCAGGCAGCTGGCTGAACCTGCCACCCAGGTGTGCGGTGGACCCTCCTCCACAAGCAGAGACAGTAGAGCTGTGAGCGGCCCCCTCCCTCCAAGGCGTGGGGAACCTGCAGCCTGGAGGCTTCATGTGGCCCTTTGAATCCAAACTGCACAGAACAAATCCCCTTCATAAAAAGGATTCAGGCTTGGCCAAAAGGCCACACCCTAGGACCTAGGCCCCCACCCTTGAGCCCTCCAGTCCAAGAAGAAATGAGGCTCTCCAGATGGTACAATGTCATTTACATTCTTACTCGGGGCAAAGCCCAATACTTAAAAGACTAAAAGGGAAGGGAATTTAAATTTAAAATTAAATTTAAAAAGGGAAAGGAAGGGGAATGGAAGGGGAGAACAAGGCACCTGGCTAAGCACTGTACAAACATCATCTCCCTGGGAGGCAGACAGAGGCCAAGTGACTTGGCCAGGGTACCACAGGCAGGAGAGGAGCTCGGGTCTTCCTGCCCACGCTCTCTACTTTGGCACTGCCTGCATGCACAGACTCTTTTCCTTAGGGATCACAGAGCCTTCAGGCCCACTGAGAAGGAGCCCTACCTTCAGCCTGGGCCTTGTCGTGGCCCATCTTCTCCAGCTCGGCCTTCTGGTCGTCCAGTTGGGCCCTCAGAGCCTCGCGCACGCTCTCCACTTCTGCCCGATGTTTCTCGGCCAGTTCTTCCTCTAGCCTTCTCAAGCACGAGCCCCTCTCTGAGTCCCAGTCTCCCTTGAGTTTCTGGCAAAACATCAAAGACAGACCACAGGCCTCTCTGGAGGACCTACAGATGGAAAGTAGGGAGAGGAGGCCAGTGGGGGACATGCAGGGAGCCCCCCCGGGCTGGCAAAGGGCCTGACACATCTCACACCATCAGATCCTCCCCCCCACACAGAGGTCGAGACTACGGCAATCCACACTGGGCGAAGAGAGAAAGGAACGTGCCCCAGCCTTACAGTTCCGAGGTGCGTGCAGGGGAAACCCCAGCCCGGTGCTCCGTGCCACCCCCTGACAAAAGGCAAACCAAGCACAAGAAAAGCAAGAGCTACCTCCAATGTCTGTGCGTGCGTTTCCATTTCTAATTCCAGCTTCTTTTCCAAGTCAGCTGAAATAAAACATATGAGCTTTTCAGCAGCCCCGTGGGTCAGGCTTCCTTTGTCCGCAGCCTGCCTCCCCCCCGCTGCTCAGCCTGGGAGCCGGGCCTTCCCGGAAAAGAGGAAGGGGGCTGCCAGGGTGGGCCGGGGCCTAGAGCGCAGCGGAAGGACTTGGCCGTGGCCGGTCCATTACAACACAGGTCTCAAGGCATGTGGACAATAGACAGATGCTGTTTCTGCCAGTCCCCTGGGGCAGGACAGAGGGGCACCAGCGGGAGGGTGGCTGGCATGGGATCATGGGCCTCTTCACATCAGGGGAAGAAATGCCTGGATTAAGACTGAGCCCCTCCTAGACGCTTCCTTTGGTAGTGCCAGGAAAGATGGAGAACAAGGGGAGGACAGGAGTGCGGTCAGCAGGTGACCACAGGGCCCTCCAGGAGAGAGGGGCAGGTATGGAAACAGGAAGGAGACGTGAGAAACGCTCTGGAGGAAGAAACACAAGACTGAACGGGGAGGCCATGAGGCGGGGGCTGGGACGGCAACAAAGGAACGTCGGCGTACTGCAAAAACCAACTGTTAACCGAGCCCAAGACCCGGCAGAGCCGCGTTCTGCCCACCCTGAGAGAAGCTAACAGTAACCCCCGGGCCTGGTGCCCTTTCCAAAAGCCTTGGTGGCCAAAAGCACAGCCCCCAAAGCAAACCTGTCTTCACAAACTGCACACCGTTCCAATCACATCTGCTTTAAGAGGAGAATGAAGAGACCCTCTGCATATGAACCTGCAGACTGTCAGAGCTTCAGTGCACAGAGAAATTCTGGCACAAAGAACTGCTTTCACAAAGACTTCCAAGCAAACAGAGCCAGCCTCCTTTGCTGTACCTAAGGCTGGGCTTCCCTGGACCTCCTGCCCAGTTCCAGCGCAGGCGGCGAGCACCAGGGAAGGGGCTGTGAGAGCCTAGGCCAGGCAGCCGGCCCCCAGCCACAGGGCCAGGGCCAGGGGCACTGCTGTCGCCCACTCCGGAAGACACCCACAGCAGGAGCTCGGGGGTGGCCTAGTCTGGCACTTCTCCAAGGGTGACAACGGGGGGCTCATACTAAATAATACTGAGATGGTCTCATTTTGATTCGAGCAAATACTGATCAAAATACCCCACAAGAGCGCATCCGTAAGAGTGGAAAGGAGTCTGGAGACCACAAAGACTGAGAACCTGCACTGGTCCCATGCCCTCCCTTCTCAAAGGAGGGAAAAGAGGCCTTGCCACCTCCCCAAAGTCAGCTGCAGACAGCAGCCTAGAGCCCAGCTGCTCCAGGCCAGCCGCAGTCTGGGGAAACACCTGGAAAATGTCTCTCCAGCTGGCCACCAGGACACCAGGGACAGAGACTCACCCTCACGCAGTGGCACCATCTTACAGAGGCAGCACCCAAACACTCTACCCAAGGCAGATTCTTGAAGAGCATCCCCCCCAAGCGTCAAGCACCTTCCTCCCCACCGGCTTCCAACAGGCCCAGGGCCCCCTCTGTCCTGGCCCTATCCCTTCCCCCTCCATCTCTCTCTCTCTCCCCTTCTCCTATTTCTCTGCACAGGCATGCACACACACACACACACACACACACACCACACACACACACACACACACACACACACACACACACACCACACACACACCCCCTAGCTGAGTGACCCCAGATAGGTCTCAGGGAGATCTCCAAGGTGCTAAGCAAGTCTGGGGAAAGCTGCTTCATTAGGAATTCTCTACACCAACGGAAGCGCAGGCCCAATCCAAAAAGAAACCCCAAACGCTCACCCCAGGGACATTCAGCATACCTACAGCAGACTGCAACTAATCTTTTAAGTCTGGCCAGCGGCTCCAGCACAAGAGGCAGGGAGAAGCAGAGACGCCGCAGCCAAGGGTCGGCATTCTGGGGAGAAGCCTAGTGCCTGCAAAGACATCCCTCTCCACGGGGACAGCCCCTGCTCCTCCCACAACCATCGCCCCCATCAACACAAGGAACAGCGCTAAGAGGCCACGTGGAGAGGCCGTGGCTGCATCAGGGACAGGCACCGCTGGATTCCACCTTAGCATTACAGCTCGGGTTCATCGTGAAGACCCAGAAGGGGACAAGCATCTCTAGCATACACCGCGTGCCAGGCACTGTGCCAAGTGCTTTCGGAAAGCCTCAGGACAGCTCTTAGATGTAGGTACTGTTATTACTCCCATCTGATAGCTGAGAAAACTGAGGAAGCAGAGAAGAAGTGACTTGGCCAGGGTCACCCAGCTAGTAAGTGTCTGGGGCTGAATTTGAACGCGGGTCTTCCTGACTCTGGGCCCAGGGCTCCACAGACTGAGCTACTTGCCACCTCTAACTCTGAATCAAGAAAGAACTAAATTGTGTTTGCTAGCATTCAATCCCGGTGTAAAAGTAAGCAAAGAATTAGCTAGCCCTAAACGTGGGAACACTCAAAGAAGTTGAATGGATGACCCTGAGCTCTAACACTGGCAGAGCCTTAGCTTGGAGGCCGCCCTGTCCTGACTCCTGACTGATGCTCACAGGGCCATGGGACTTGTCTGGGCTTCCAAATGAGGCCCCCTTCTCTTTCCACCATCCCTGCGCTCTCTGCCTAAGAAGGCAGATCAAAGGCATAGTGTTTGTGGTGTGCCAGAACAGGGCCAGGCCCAGTGGGAGCCAAGAAAGCCCAAAGGAGGATCCTCCTGAAACACAGAGACCTGCCCGTCTGAGCACAGTCTCCAGGGCTTCGAGGTCTACGAAGGGTCTCTCCCTTTCAGAGGGGGCAGCAAAAAAGAGGATGCACCAGAAGCGCTAGAGGCAAGAGAGATGCGTTTGACGCCCCCCCTCCCTGAACCTGTGGCTTCACAGGCCTAGGAAGGAAGCTGCCTGCTAGCATTGGCACAGGTCACACAGCCCAGACAGGCCAGAGAAGGCTGGAGCCCTGGCCTCGCCCACTCAGCCGGGTGCCCAGGGGGAACCTGTGGGCGGGGGACAGGAGCCCTGCCCACGCCCCAGCGGGAGGCCCACGAGGGCGTGTGGTACCTATGTGCTGCTGGTGCTTTGAGGCCATCTCTTCCTTCTCTTGGCGGTGCTGCTCCCTGATGTGCTCCAGTTCAAACTGCTGGCGGCTCTGGACGAGGGCCACCTCCTGTGCCCGCTTGTCATTGAGCATCTCTCGGAGCTCCACCAGCGCCGTCTCCTTCTCCTTCCGCAGGTTGGCCTGGCTCAGCTCCAGCTGGGCCGTGTGCATGTTACTCAGGCTCAGGCGCAGAGCCTCCAGCTCCAGGCTGTGGAGAGTCTAGGTGGGACAGAAAACCGGGGTTAGCCACAGCAGATCAAACAGGCTGCTACCGCGCTGCCGGCCCACGGTGGAGGAGGGAGCCCCCCTCACAAGGAAAGTCCTCTTTAAGGGCTGGAGCAGAAGGCCCTGGGGGGCCCAGGCCCCCCTGCAGGTTGCTTCCTCTGCAGCTCTCCCCTCTCCCACGAGACTTTGCCAGGCTCCCCTACTAACCATTCTCCAAAACCCACCACGCTGGCAGGGCCTCGCCCAAGGGTGGGCACAAGGGAGCAGGCACCCCGAGGACTTGTCAGGCTCCCTAAGGAGCCTTGGCCAGGTGGCATGACCAGCCAGAGGGGGCAGGAAGCCAGCCCCCCCCCGGCCCCTGCGTCTCCACAAGCTCCCTGTCAGTCTGCCTCTACCCCCTCCGCTGCCCTCGCCAGGCTCTGGGCCAGGGGCTTCCATGAGCCCCTTCTAGAGCCTCCTTCTCCTCAAAGCTTGCATCCACCCGTCCACATCAGCCAGTCCTGAGACTTGCTGTCCCACAACATGATGGCCTCACTTCAATAAGGGATAAGCCCCAACTTAGTTCAAGACTCCAGCCTGGAGAGGAGCGGAGCACCCACAATCAATGCTGTGGGATGGCGGGGCTGGAGAAGGCTTTGGAGAGCCACTTGGATGGCAAGGAGGTCAGATCAGTCAATACTCAAAGATGTGGATTCTGCCTATTCACCAGAGGGTCAGATACTGAAGCTGAAGCTTCAGTTGGCCACACAATGTGAAAACGAGATTCACTGGAAAAGATGTTGGGAAGGATGGATGGCAAAAAGAAAAGGGGACGGCAGAGCATGTGATGGCTAGGCGGCATCATGGAAGCACCGGAGCTGAGCTCGGACAGACTCTGGGAGAGAATGGAGAACAGCGGGCCTGGTGTGCTGTGGTCCACAGAGTCACAAAGAGTCAGATATGACTGACCACCACCACCACCAAAACACCGAAGATACCAAGACCAAAGTGAAGACAGGTCTGGCCTCAAAGGGCTTGCGTTCAACTGGGCTGGGAAGGGTGTGGAAAGACGGCAGGAAGGGGCTGGCGAGGAGGAGGGAAACCATACATACACAGATGGGGGAGGAGGGGAGGGGGAGAGAAAGGGGAAGGGAGAGGGGGAGAACACATAGCGTTGAATCCGTGGTATGAGGACAACAACAACAGCGATGCCCACGCTCAGTCTGGATGGGAGCTAGGAATTCCAAGGGGCAAATATGGGCAGCAAAGAGAATCCTGGCATGAAGCATGGCCAATGCCAAGGGGCGGACACGGCAGAGGAAAAGGCCACAGAGCCCTTGACTGATCAGTGAGACAACACATGTCCTTTGGGTGATTCCTGTGTGCCAGGTACTGGGCTGAGCACTAGGAGACAGAAATCTCAAGGCCAAAACACACAACACACACACACACACACACACGCACACACGCATGCGTGCATGCACACGCACATGTGCACACACACAGAGTCCTTGCCCTGGAGGGACTCCACACAGAGTCAACACAACATACAAAGACAGAACACATCCAGGAGGAGGGAGGCTCAGCTGGCCCGGGGCCAAGTCTGGAAGGAAGCTGGGCACACTACAAGGTAAAGGTGAGGATGGAATGGAAGGCAGCTTCCAGTGCAGATGGGTGGACACTCAGGACAGAGCCTCATATTCTGGGAACAGCAAGGCTGCCTACCTGGCCAGGAGTTAAGTGTGAGAAGACTGGAAAGTCTGGAGGAGGCCAGATCAGGAAGGGCCTTAGAAGCCCAACTGGGGACGCCCTCTTTGATTCTGAGATGACCTAGGCAGCGACCTAAGGAAGGAACTGGGCCAGAGAGAGGCTTGAGGCAGAGAGACCGATAGGAAGGCAACTGCAGTGGTCCAGACAACAGATGAGGAAGGTCTGCACTGTAGAACCGTCTGTGGCAGGGAACGCATGAGACGTAGCAGAGGCAGAAATGACTAGATTTCTCAACAGATGGGGAGGAGTCAAGGAATCTCTGAGAGCCTGAGAAGATGGGGTGGGGGGGTGTCCTCAAAATAGCAGCAAAGTTTGGAATATTGTTGACTGAAGAGGGATGGGTATGGGAGCAAAAGATCATGAGTCTGAGATGCCTACAGGACATCCAAGTCAAAAGATCTAACAGGAGGCTGGAAAAGCAGGATTGGGGCCCAAAAGAGGAGGATATGAGATCAGACCAGAAAAAGGGCACATTACATACACGGAAGACAGACCAGATTTATTCCACTCAATGCCTGTGGGCAGAGTGAGAAGCAAGATATCAGGAAAGCCGTGACAGCTACCTAGAGTGGGGGGCTATGTCTGCAAGGTGGGGGACCTCGCTCCCTGAAGGTCTGGAAGGGAAAGCTCGATGAGAGCTGTTGGGTGTGGGCCCCAGGGGAGTTCTGGACGAGTAGAGGCTTACGAAGATGCTACGTCTGAAATTTCTTGGCCCCTGAGGAAGGCCCCCGGCCCCTGGGTGACCCTCTGGAGAGAGCCTCCCAGCCTCTGTAGGAGTCAGCAAGGCACTGCCCAGGAGCCCCCCAGCCCGGACCACGCTCAACAGGAGCAAGGGCAGGCTGAACCCTACCTGTGCCTGGAGCTGGGCCTGCTGCATCTCCGCTTCATGGCAGGCACTAATTGCTGCTGCAGCTCCTCCACTGTTTGCTGGTGCTTGCGCTGAAGTCCCTCGCGCAGCTGCTTCATCTGCTCTTTATGTTCACAAATCAGCTCTGCAATCTCGCGATCCCGTTCTCGTTCATGGATCTTGAGAGAGAAAACCGAGGCCAATCATTGTGAACGCTCAGTTTGGGGAGAAAAAGGACAGAGTGCAGTCTTCCAGCAGGGAAGAGGCTTTCTGAAAGTCCAGAAGCTTGGCCCTGAGGGGCTTGGGGGCGAAGTGCCACAAACCTCCAAGAACAATTCATTACAATACATAGGGTCTGCTGGCGAATGTTACCTCGTTTTCTTTATGAGGAAAATTTGGCCCTGCTTCTAAAACCTGACAAACAGAACTCTAAAAAAAAAAAAGCTAATGGTCAACACAAGCCAAAGTGCTCAACAAAGTGTCAGTAAGTAAATACAGTAATATGCTTAAAAACCACACATAAAATCTTTGGTTGGTCATGGCCAAGAGAAAAGTATCAAAATCACACCCTATTCTCGATGGATGTGGATAAAATAGGACATGGCTCTATGAACTATGAACAGAGTGATTCTTCCTTGACAAAACACTGTGTGCACGGACCCAAGTCATTGCTGGGGCACAGATTTAGGGCCAGGCGTGAGCCACAGCATCCCACTCCATTGGGTGGAAGATGTCCGTGGGACCACACGGATGTTGTAAAAGCCTCTGCGTCCAGACTGTGCCCTCAGCCTCCGACCCCTGCTCCACAACCAGAAAGATGAGGTGACTCCACCGCCTGCAGGCAGGGTGCCCCAGGCCCTTTCCCATTCCTTCGAAAGGACCCGATTTCTAAAACGCTTGGGATGACAAAAACAGGTTCAACACAGGAAGAAGATTCAGATATCATTACTGACCCAGAAAACCCCCGACTCTCACTCTCAAAACCAAAGACGGCCTGCCCCCAAAGTAAGCTCAGCCAGGTTGGAGGGCCCAAGCTGAAGCCAGCACTGTCATCTGACATTCTCAGACGCCAGCACCAAGGACCAAGCGCCACCACAAAGCCTAGGAAACGCTTCACTAGATGCCATGACGAGAAAGCAGAACACCCAGAAATAGAGGGAGATCGAGGAACTGCAAGGAAATTCAACGCTGCTGGATGGATGAGTCGACATGGCCCAAGTCAAACATTGTTTTTTCTGCAGGAAAGAATCCAGGCATTAAGGACTTGTTTCTCGTCCTTAGCTTGATCCAATCTGGCCCTCCGGCTGTCAAAGTCTAGGCTGACTGCCACTGAAACAATCACTCTCCCAGGTCTGATCCATTGTGAAAATCCCATTGAGGATTAAAAAAAAAAAGCATTCAAAGAATGATAATGTTCTTGGCTACCAGAAAAAGTCTGCCATAAAGATGCTATCCATGGGGACGTGCTTCCTATCAAAGACCTTGGGGTACGTGCCTTATAGTAGAATCTCTGATACAAGGTGCTTTCCAAGACAGTCACCCTGATTCACAGCTCCACCAAGAATGCACCAGTGTGTCCATCTTCCCATAACTCTCCCAACAATGACCATTCTCACCTTGTGTCAACTTTGCCATTTTCAGGGGTACCATCAGGATTGTTCTAATTGGCATTTCTCTCATTATTAGCGATCTGGAACATTCTTTCATGTCATAGGCAATCATTTGCAATTCTTTTTGAGAACTATTTTTCACAGCCTTTTTATCATAACCACTCATCTGATGGGGAGTGACTTTTGCATACATACACGCACGCACCCACGCACCCACCTATTGTCTGTATATATCTTGGATACCAAAGCCCTTCTGACAAATGTGATACAAAGATTCTTCCCCCACTCAACTACTGCCCTCCTTATCCTAGAGGCATTAATTCAGTTGGTGCAGAAGTCCCATTTCATTCATCAAAATGATCTCTTTTATTTGTTGTTACTGCTTCTATGCCTTGTTCGAAACTGGAACAAAGTAGATGCCCACTGCCTGGGGAATGACTAAACATCACAGTGCCTTAATGTAGACAGAACATTGCTGTGCTCTAAGAAACGATGACTATGATAAATGCAAAGAAGTGGGGAAAGACTCAGAGGAGTCAGGAAGATGGCAGGAAGCACGCAGAGGGAAGGCAGAACAGCCACAAGAACCACAGACACGATGACAAGAACAAAATGGAAACAGCCACCAGACAGTCAGAAGAGAACATTCTGAAATGGCAGAGAACAAGCCTGGCTGAGAGGAGACGGGGCCCCCAGGGCCTCCAAGGTGGAACGCTGCCTCTAGACCAGGGGTGAGGAACCTGTGGCCTCAAGGGCACATGTGGCCCTCAAGGTCCTCAAGGGCAGCCACCCTTTGACTGAATCGCCTTTATAAAAGGATTTGTTCTGTAAAACTTGGACTCAGTCAAAAGGCTCCACCCAAGGACCTAGAAGTCCACATGTGGCCTCCAGGCTGTGGTTCCCCACCCCTGCTCTAGAACCAAGTCCTTAAAAATCCCTTTGGCTAATGCTTTCTCCCCTTCCTCTTTCTTTCTTCCTTTCCTTTCATTTTTAAAAAAATTCTTTGTTCTATGGAATAGCAAAATCTAGGCAATATAAAACCCAACACTATCATTAACCATTTGTTTTAAAAAGAAAGCCAACAAGGAACATCTCCCAGGCTAGGGAACAAAAGCCGCTACGTTTCCCACCCACTCTCGGGCTCTGGCCGGTGAGCTGTCCAGGCTGGCGTGGCCATGTACACGACCTCCCCTAATGAGAGAAAGGAGCCCTGCTCCCAGGAGTACCTTCTTAATCATGCCAATCTGTTCTTTCCGCTCTTCCTCCCACTGGCGCTGCTGCCTGGCCAGCTTTTCTTTCATCTGTTCACTTATATTCTCCACCTAGAAATAAGACGAGGGAGAAGGAGGAGAGGGGTGTGTTCAACAGCTCCAACTGCGGCCCCTGGAAGGAAAACACGGATGCCCTTGGCGCCCCTCTGGCCTACCTCTTTCTGGTGCTCCGCCTCAGCTGGGCTCTCTCAGCCTCATGCTGATGCTGCATCTGACACACCCGTTTCTCATAGCGGCTGCTCAGCACAGAACGGATGTCCTCCAGAACCCGGGCGGCTTTATGCGCCGTGTCCTGGAGCCACCACCCCAGCTCTCCCTGAGCATTCTTCAAGGAAATCATTGGCTGAGCTGGGTTATTTTCTGTTCGTGTGCAATCTGGTTCTTTTGCCTTTATTTCAGCATCAAGTTTCTGGCTCTCTGAAGGAGCAAATTCAGATTGTCCAACAAATTCTCTTTTTTTCATGCCCCTGTCCTTTTTGCAAGCATTTTATTTTCTCAGTAAGTTCAAGTATGTTTTCCTCAAGATTTTCCCGATCTTTAGAAAAACTTTTTTCCAGAGCATTTTCTTCTTCAACCATTTGTGTAAACAGCTTTTCCTTGATGGCGATCTCGTCCTTCAGGGTCTCCAGCTCCTGCAGCAGAGCCTCTTCCAGGGTGGTTTTCTGACCCGGATGCTGGCCTTGCAGTGCCTCCTGACTATGCAGAGTTTCAAGATGCATCGAGTTGGAGGCCAATTTCCCTGCTCGCCTCTCCATTTCCTCCTGGAAGACCTCATCCATCCCAGGCCAGAGAAGAGCCTGGGGAGCTGCTGAAAATGAGCCTCGTAAGTCTGTGATGCTACCAGCTGCAGCCCCAGGTTCAATCTGATGTTCACCCTCTTCCTCCAGCCTTTGGAGGATCTCATCACAAGACAATGAGCTTCTCTTTTCTGGGTCCGGTCCAACTGAAAGGCTGTGTCCACCCTCCCACCATCTCTCTTCAGCCTCTTTGATCTTCTGGGGAGAAATTCTTGAGTGCCAATTCCTTTTCCCCAAGTAGCTGATTAAACTTCACACACCTATGCATCAGGTAAATCTTATCTTCATCCATTACCTCATAGATTTCACTTAAGTCTCCTTGAGAGAAGACATTCGTCACTGGGTCAGCAAGTGATTCTACTTGAGCAGAATTTCCTTCTGACAAAACATTGAAATCCCTTTTCTCACCAAAGCCACTAATCCACTCACCTGATGGGAAGCCCAGACTCCCTCTCTCAGATTTAGTCTGTAAAGCAGTTTCTATATCAAAATATTCCGGTGTCTCAGACGCATTCAAATGGTCTCGTTCAGTGCAGACCAGGTATTTCTCCATCAGGTCTCCAGCTCCTTCCATCATCAGCCCCTCCCCTGAGGTTTCCCCATCGATGGTGCCAGCTTCAACGAGTGTGTCATCCTCACTCACGCCAAGTCTTAAACTTTGCTCTTCTTCTTCTTCAGATCCTACACTGCACCTTTTGAGAATAGTTTGATACTCCAACTCAAGGCAGAGTGGCTCTCCTGGCTGGAGGCACAGCTGACTTTGAACCCTCTCAAGTTCAGCTTTCTGGGCATCCACAACACCCTGTGACCCTCTTTCCTCCTGTTCTGACGGTCCTGATTTCGTGTCCCAGGCAGTGACGTCCTCTACAGGCTCCAGAAGCAGGACTCGGCTGTTCTCAGGTTCTTGCAGCAACTTCCCATTCAGTCCTTGGATGTGGGAGCTAAGTTTTTGTACTTCCTCACCCCAGTTTCCCTCATCACCATTGGTGTCCCAAGATTCCTCTGAGTGTATCTCTGTGGAAGAAGGCTTTCTTTTAAGATCCTTTGGCATACCTTTCTCATTCCACTCAGTCTCATCTCTTTCCTTCTGAAAGGCTGCCATCTGGCTCTCTGGAATGGCACACAAGCCATTTCTACGCGGATCTGACTCTTGGAGTTGACCCTTTAAATTGACGTTAATTCCACCGAGGCTCTGTGGCTGCCTGTCTCTTGGGCCTGTCACTGGCGGGGCTTCTGGCCTCGTGGGCTTGCCTCCTTTCCTGTGTTTCTCATCCACTGCATCTCCACAAGTCTTTCCCACTTCTGTGACCTCCAGCTGAGGCTTCTCTTCTAACATATCCCACCTCAGATCCTGCAGTGGCCTCCAAACCTCCTTTTGGGGATGCACCTGGGACTTCTCAACACAGTCTCGCTTTTCCTGTTTTAACTCTTTGATTTCTGAGTCTTTCACTGAAAGAGCACATTGTAATGAAGCTACGGCCTCATCAAGGCTTAACTGGTCCCAGAGACTGCTGACTGTCCCTTCCTTCTCTTCAATCACCTGGGCCAGCTCCTGAATGGCACTTTCCAAATGTTCTTCCGTCTGGGCAAACTTATTCTCTTTATCTTGGATATTCTTAAAAATAAAATGTTATATATAAACTAAGGAGAAAACTTCACATGCTAATTTACACATTAATTGAAAATAATCAGTTATCATTCCACCAAATTTAATGTTGCTTAAACACAAGACATCCAAGACAGACCCAAAATGTCCTTGTCTGTTTTGTTTATAAAGTTAATTTTTAGTAAAGAAAGAGCAAAGAAAGGTTCAACATCACCACAGAATTGTCTTAAATTATGTAGGATGATGGAAACATTAAGGACAACTAGAGTAAATGATTTCCAAGTGGCCTCGGACAAACTTTGATGTGATCTTGGTGCAGACAAGGCCTTCTTCCTTCCAACTGGCCACAAGGGGGGCTATTCTTAACTGGTGATTTCCTGGGTCTGCAGAGACAATTTCTCTGTTTTAATACCAAAGAACTTATTGTCCCGTTCTGGAAATGAACAGGCCTCTAGCCAGTTATTAAGCACTATGAAATACAGGCCAAAGGGGTCATGAGGAGAATAAAGTTCTATTTGGAAATCAAATATGGAATTGGTTCTGCATGCACATCAGACAGCATCTCTGATCTACCCATGGCTAACTTAGCCCCTGCAGAATACGAGTGACTAGGACCTCACGCTTTTTTTTTTTGGGTGTGGGGATCCATTATATCTATGATATCATCACTCACAGTGAGGACACTCCATCCATCCACCTACCCACCCATGCACACATGCACCCATCCACAGAGATCAGCTCAGGCTAGGCATCTTCTAGGCTGAGAGAAGGAGAGCCCCTGGCATGGAGAGGTCTGGGGACTTGCCCAGAGCCATACAGCCAGCACATGGGGGACCTGGGGCCAGACAGGTCTTTCTGACTCCCGACCTAGCCCTGTGCAGTCATGAGGGCTGCTCTGTGATGCCCCAGAGAGAACAGCCTCTTCAGTAGAATGACAAGTGTCCTCTGGGGGAGGGCCTCCAGCACTTCCCAACCCTGGGCCCTTCGGTACAGTACCTGCATAGGGGTGTGTGGCTCTGGTGGGGACTGCAGAGGGGATGCCGCTGGGGGCCGGGGCCGAGATGACCTTCCTTTGGCTGGCATCTTGCTCTTCAGAAGCTCGCTATTCTAAACACCAAGGGATTGGCCTGTGAGCTCCCAGGCCAAGGTGGAAGCTGCTGGTGCACCTCCCTTCCCTCTTCCCCTTTCCCCCAAGAGCTCCTCACAGACTCTCCAGCAGCCCAGAACACGGAGCGCTGCCCATGAGGCAGACTGATAACATGCATACCTGTAAAGGCAAAAAGAGCGCCCGCTTCCTTCCCCGGGATGAGGCCCACAGCCTGGCACCTGGCTCGCTTTGCTCCCAGTCTCCCTGCACATACACAGTACGCAGCTTCCTGCCCTGTCCTCCCAGGTTCTAGAATGCCTCCAGCCTCCCTTACAGAGAAGTCAGTCACAGCAGGGACACCCCTGGGGACAGGCTCCTCCCCTCTGAAAGATCCCTCTGGGATCCCTCAGGTACTTCCTGCTCTGAGAATCACACAAGAGAGCATGAGAAAGGCCTCTACGACCATCCTGTCCAGTCTGTGCTGGGTATTTGACACCCAACCAACACATGGCCATCCCACCCCGGCTTGAATACCCCCAACGCACAGCCAGCCCACCAATAACTAGTAACAACCACCGGTGTTGCTACAGGACTTTCAGGCTGACAAAGGGCTTTCACATACATCATCTCACTTGATCTTCACAATGACCCTAGGCAGTAGATGCTAGTATTGCTCCCATTTTACAGAAGAGGAAACTGAGGCAGAAGTGTCTGAGGCCGGGACTTCCCACCCCCAGCGTCCCTTGGCAGCCTCAAGGTGTTCGTTCTGTCCAGATTCAGTGTCTGTTCTGTACACTTCACCCTCTGCCCCCCGCCCCCTTCTGCTCCTCCAGCATTCTCAGCTTGGGGCTTGGGCTTCAATTCAGAAACAACGAGTCCTGCCAATCATCAGGAGAAAGCCCTTTGAGTACAAAGGAGAGGACACCTGAATAACTCTTACGCATCTGCCAGAAAATGCACAAAGAGCAGACCATGTTCTGAAGAGCCGTGGAGCTCAGGATGCAGACCTGGGGGAGCTTTACTATAGATGACAAAGAGATGAACATTCAATAACAAAGAGGTACTTGAAACATTCTTAGAAAGAAAACCAGAAGCGAGTGGATGATTTACTTCTCGAACACCACAGAGACGCAGGAAGAGCGAATCAACGGTGTGGTCTGTGGGATTTGGGGCTGGAAAAGACCACTTGTCCTATCTTGGGGGAGGGAAGAGTAGGGGGCAGGAGCTGGAACTCCTGGAGACAACTGGCACCTGGGGAACAGGAAAGCATGGACCGAGGGAGAAGATCTTTGAGGCAAATAAGGGAAAACGGTAACAGGAGAAGGTACCGATCACCGGTGGAGGATGGGTTCTACTACGATGCAGTGTCCTCTCCGACACCTGCAAGAACTGGTCTTGTGTGACAGGCAAGCCCTACAAGGCAACGGCAGAAACGACCTGGAGGGAAGGGGCCACGATGGACACCTTGAAAGTGCTGATTTCACAAGGAATATAGAGAATGGAAAGACTGATTACAGGGGGCATGAGTTAGAGAATGAGAGTCTAGAGTAGACAGAAAGAGACGATGAAGAGAGTCAAAGAAATCCTCTTTGGAAAAGGGGGCCAAAAATGAAATTTTAAAAACTTTAATTTAATTTAATTTAATGAACAGAATGCAAATTAAAACAGCTCTGAGGTACCATCCCACACCATGTTAGCCATGATTGGCTAACATGACAGAAAAGGAAAATGTTGGAGGTGGAGTGGGAAAACTGGGACACTGAAAAATTGTTGGTGGAGCAGTGAACAGATCCAACCACTGTGAAAAGCATTCTGGAACAGTGTCTAAAGGGCTATAAAACTGGGCATACCCTTTGATCCAGCAATACCACTGCTAGGTTTGTGTCCCAAAGAGATCAAAGAAAAGGGGAAAGGACCCAGACGTACAAAAATGTTTATAGCAACTTTTTTTGTGGAAGCTAAGAATTGGAAAATGAGGGGATGCCCATCCACTGAGGAATGACTGAACAAGCTATGGCATATGAATGTAATGGAATATTATTGTGCTGTAAGAAATGACAAGGAGGATGACTTCAGAAAAACCTGAAAGAGTCACATGAACTGACCCAAAACAAACTGATCAGAGCTAGGAGAATATTGTACATAGTCACCACAATATTGTCACGATGATCAACTGTGAAAAATTCAGCTACTCTGATCAAGACAAGGAGCTAAGACATTTCCAAAGGACCCATGATGAAGAATGCTATCTATCCAACTGCAGAGAAGGAACTGAAGAACTCTGAGTGCAGACTGAAGAAGACCTTTTCTACTTTCTTTACATTTCTTGGTTTTTTGTTTGTGTTTTCTTCTACAACATGGCTGATACGGAACACAGATAATTGATATCATATTGCTTGCCATCTCAAGGAGTGAAGAAGGGGTGAGAGGGAGAGAATTTGGAATTTAAAATTTTTTAAAATGAAGATTAAAAAAAATTTTACACATAATTTGGAAATACTTATCAAAATAAATAAAAGATACATTACAAAAGAAAAAACAAAACTTAATGAACAGGAGTGGTTGAAGAGAGGAGAGGAAGGGGGAATTAGGGTCTGAGTTACTAAAAGGGAGAAAAGGGGAGAATTCATACAATAAAAGCAGCACAGAAAAAGGAAGTACTAAGCAAAACGCCAAAGGCAAAAGGAACACAGACAAAAGGAGGGGACCCAGGGATGAGGGGAACAGAGCCACCCCTAGAAAAGATTAGGCCAAAGTGACTGAAGAGAATTGCCCAGTAAAACAGAGGTAGCTTGAGCCCCTCCCTCACAGCATTGCTGAGATGACAGATTGCAAGTCTTGCAGGGCAGCAGAAACACTGGATATGATGAGCATGGTCAGGGCCGCCGTGGCGGCTTGACCTTTGCCCAGCATGGCGCCATGAAGGGAGAGCTAGCTTCAGAGCCGGAGAACCTGCCCCCTCTGGGCTGGGGAAGGCCTCCAGGTCTCAGTGCCCCAGGAAGTGAGGAATGGAAGTCACCAAGCGCTGGCCCACACTAGTAACTGGAGGAAGCGTCCACACCTGTAGCCTCCAAACCAAACTTTTTCAAAAGAAAAAGGGCCTAACTCTACAAAACAGCAACTGAGCTCAAGATTTTCTTAAAAATCTAAAATGTTCTTCCATAGCATGGAATGACTTCAACGTAGCTCATGAGCAAATTACCTCTTGTAACTGATGTTGCAAATCATGCATCTGACTGGCCAGGAGTAGCGCTTCCTGCTGATCATGGGCGTGATTCTGCCTCTCCTGCTGAAGGGTACTGGTCAGCTGGACGATGATTTTGTCTCTTTCCTGGACTGCCATCTCTAATTCCTACCAGGGGGCCAATATATAACATAAAGCTCATTCAGGGCTTTTAAAAAGCCCACTTAGTACAGTACACAGAGCATTCTGCAACCTGAAGGCCAAAGGCACTCAGGCTCCAAGGATCCGATACAAAGTCCTGCCTGCTGTGCATGGGCAGGAAGCCCCATGGAAGGCTCCGGGGCCCACCTGCATGGACACAAGGACTCTGAGCCCCATCCTTCGCGGCCACCCAGGCCTATGCCACACGGCCCTCACTCAGCCCTGTGCGGCCACAATCTACAAGGACAGCCTTCTTCCACTCCAAGACTTTCTGGTGGGCTATGTAATCTGGCTGAGCCTGACGCCAGCCTGCTCTATGTGTGTGCACAAACATGTACACAAACGACATGTACACACACACGCACACACACAATTAATTTTAACTGTAAACCAAACACATCAAAGGTTTCACCAAAATTTACATGAACTCTAAAGGCATTTCAACACCAGAAATGTCCCTGGGGGATATCTCATCTTCTTTGCCCACCAAGCTCTACCCCAGGGCACACTTTCTGAGCTGGTGGTTTGGTCTCCCCTACTTGGCCTCACCTCCTTGAGGAGCAGACAGCATTTCAGAGAAGAGGAAGCAGAGGCCCAAGAGATGAATTACCTGATCCTTGTGTGCCCTTTGGCCATTCGTCACTTCCCCCCCTCAGGCCTCAGTTTTCCCAACTGTCCAATCCGGAGTTTGGACCAGCCAACTACACCAACAGAACAATTCTGCGCTGTGCGCTAGCCTCTCTCAGCCCTCCCTCTCTGTGTGTCCCTGGGACCCAGGCAGCCTTTATCCCTCTCTTCTCCCATGGCCCAACTCGTGTGCTTGCTGTGAGCCTGGATTGCCCCCCTGACCCAGCACGCTGCTCCCTCGAGTCACAGTGGAGTACATCAATCTGCCCAATTCCCTGAGTGTCTCTTCCAAGCTCTGAGCAGCCCAGGAGAGAGCCCGGCTTCTCAGCCATGCCAACAGTGACCATCTCCCAGGCTCTCCCCGCAGAGGTGGCGATGACCACCCCATCTGGTTCTCTTGTCAAACTGTGCAGGCCTTAGCCACAGCCCTGGAGTTAAGGACTGTCCTCTAACCACAAGAGGCGGGGGTCTGCACATGTAGAGGCTGGAGGCTAGCACATACCAAGGACAGAAAGGAACATTGAAAGACAACATCCCTGGAAGCACGAGCCAACGGTCTCCAGACGCCACGGAGCTCCTTTTCCTGGAGGCCTGTGTGGCGGGGAAGGGGAGGCCAACTAGAGCAGGCCGAAGAGGGGGCTGCTTATCTGGGTCCTTCCCAGATTTCAAGCTGTAATCTGATCATCTGCCAGGGCCCACAAAGAGATCTTGGGCTCCGTATGAAGTTCAGAGATTCCAGCCTGGGATTTCGGCCCCTGGATCCAATTCCTTGTTTCTGACCAAGGAAAGGATGACCTATTCCTGAGAAATACTGAACTTGTTATCTTCCCCCCCAACATCCATGTGGTGGTTGAGGGCACCACCATCTTCCTGGACCCGCAGGTCCACCAGCTGGGAATCATCCTCCACTCCCCTGTCACCCTCACAGTCACCCCACCACACTCAGTAAACCATCTGCCCTCCCCATCCCACTTTTCTCAGCCCTCGTCACCTCCCACCTGTCCCCAGTCAGCTGATTTTTCTAAAAGGCAGGTCTGACTCCTATCGCCTCTGGGACCAACTAGGAGGTTCTGTTTGGCATTTAAAGCTAGGCCTAGCCAGCTGCCTCCCTCCCATTCCAGACTCCGCACTCTCCTGTCTAAGAACACCATGATCCCGCAGCAATGGCCCTCCTGATGCTCCCCACCCTCCCGCAAGCCTTGAAGGTACTCCCCTCAGATCCTACTAACCACGAGCCACACCCCCGCTGCTCACACGCTCCCCGCCAGCCTACCTTCGCATACCCGGTATCTCTCTACCCACTCTGTGCTCTCCTGCAGAGCAGAACTCGTTTTCTTTCCTAGCACAGTGCCTGGCACATTGTAGGTGCTTAACAGGGTCTTGGTGACTGAACAACTAAGATAGATTCTCCATCCCACCACCTCATCGACCTCAGCAACCTCTACATTCATGGGGCTGGGCTAGACAACCTGACCATCAGGGGACTAAGAATGGGCTAGGAGAGTAGGGTCAGCTGGGCACGACTCCAGGGTGGTGGCCCAGGGATCTGTGCCTGACCCTGGATAAAGGCCTAGAGCAGGACGACACCAAACTGAGAAATAGCGCTTGCCCACAGATGGCTGACAGCATCAGGATCCACAGGACCCTCGGCAGCCTTAAGCACTGGACGGAGTCTAATACAAACGTCACTAGACCCACCTGGAGAGGCTTGCAATCAGACAGAAAAAAATCAACCTGGAGGAGACAAGAATAGGACATATCAGCAGACTACAGGCTCAATGAGCTGGCAGGAGCCATTACGGGAGGGTGAGCTTCCGGGAAGAAGGAAATGATCATTTCATTGACCCGGACCCTCATCCACCCTGGAGTGGTGTGCTGGAGTGATGCACACAGTTCTGGGCCTCAGGGTCTAAGATGGACCCTGATAAGCTGGAGAGTGTCCAGAGGAAGACGAGCAGACTGCCAGAGTGGAGTGGTGATAGGGATTCCAACTTCCTCCCTCATGAGGACCACCCTCCCTAAGCTTCCAGAGACATTCAGTCTCCCCAAGTTTCTGCGCCTGAGCTATTCACTCTGTGGCCAACCCGGCCCTGAGGCAAAAGACATGGGACTTAGTCCAGGGCCCAGCTGGGCACATACACGGGGAAAACAAGCCCCAAAACAGAGCACATTCTTGGTCCTCCAGGAGCCAGCAGGGAAGATCAAACACATAAACACAAAGTGAGAATCCCAAGTGAGTATCCCAACCGGCCCACACTGCCTGCCTTCCGGCGGCCTCTCCAAGGAGGGAAAACTGTAAGAAGTACCCGGTTACACTGAGTGTCTGCCCATCCTACTCTGCTTCTGGTCCATCACTGGTCAGCAGCTGTTACATGCTCAGAAGCAAGTTCATTTCAATGGCTGATGATGGTGCCAAATGTAACTAGGAATGAACAACTGCAAAGTGTTTACTAAGCACTTCCTTGAGTTTCTCACACCACGCTAAGCACTGGGGATGCAAATACAAAAGCAAGCCAGTCCTGCCCTAAAGGAGCTCACCAGCCTGTCACTTAAAAGAAATTTATCCCCAAACCAATATAAAGGCCACTGCAAACAGCCCTCTTCCCCCCAGCTCACAGAGCTCCCACCTTCCCCCCAGATCACGGACCCTCCTCCTCTAAACCTCTCCCAGAGTCCGGGGAAGGTCATCGTTGTCCTCCTCCTCGCCGTCCCCCTCCTTCCCCCCAGCCCTCCCAGGAGCCTGACAGGCTCCTACCTGCTGCAGCTGAGCAGCCTCAGAGCGCTCACCCACCTGCTGACTCAGCAGGTCAACAGCCTCCTGCTTGCCTGCGAGTTTCTCTTCCAGCATCTTAATCTTGCCCTGAGCCCTCGGCACTTCACACTCCCTGCGATCTGTGGCTAAGGACGACCTGCTGTCCTGTGCAGAGAAGGACACCACCACTGTGCACACGCTGCAACCCTCTCAAATCTCATCTAGCATCCGGTGCAGTGTGCCTAGCAGGCTTCCAGGCCGAGCAGCCTCACTGCTGTTGAGACCTAAGAGCCCAAGAGTGGGAAGCAAGGACGGTTGTAGAAACAATTCAGCAGAAATAACTGGGGAAATGATGACATATGGTGGCAACTTTATATGAGGTGCTCCCAGAAGGTAGCCGACATGGGACCTTCCATTCATTACTTACAAGGCCTAGAAGTAAGCCACTGCAATTCTTCAACAGCTTCTGAGCATGAAATCTAAGAAAACTTTCAGGACCAACATAAATCACACTGATTCAGTAGTTCAAGTTATTTCGGACATCTTCAAGCAATTCTAAAAAGTAGCCCAACATATGTTTAGAATGTCTTCTACTATACCCTCAATAGTAAAGTTCAACTTTCAATCCAAAACCAAGAAATGTTTCAAAGGCCCCTTGCTCTGTTCCTCTCTCCCTCCATCCCCCTTCCCGCCATGGCCCCAGGCTGGGAGGCGCCACACAGGGCAGAACTTGGGAAGATGCCAGCAGGTGGCGCCACTAATCCCAGGGGGTTGCCTGCCCTTCCCTGGTTTCTGCAGCCCCACAAATGCAGAAAACCAGCCAGGCACCCAAACAACTAAAGGCACAGTGGAGAAAACCCATCAGGAAAGTCATCGTTCCACACAACTGCCCAAATCCCAATGTTCCTAGAGTTGTTTAGACATACACTCACACTAAATCTAGAAAACAAAACCAATATCCTTACTTCAAATATTTGTTCCTGTCCAGCTAATTCAGTAATTGGCTTCTTCTGTGTTCCCAAACTGGCAAGCTCCCTCTCAGCCTTGGCAATTAAGAGACAAAGAAAGGGTTAAGGAGAGAGCAGAGAAGAGTCAATGACATCCCCCGCCTGCCTCACAATGGCGGCAGCAGGCTTTTGGTGGCGCTCCTGTGGAGGGCCAGGGCACGGGGCACTGCAATGTGACGGTGCTTAGTGCCATTCCGGGACCCGCGCTTTCCCACTGCCGACACAAACCTGGGGGCCTGAAGTTCCCAAAGAAGGAGAATAATGGGAAATCGTCATATATCAGGGATAAGGGGTCAAGGATATTGGTTTCAAAGAACCTCTCTAGAAATAAACTTCATCTACAAATATTTACTAAGCATCTATGCTACAGATAAAAGGAAAGAAGCGAGTGTTCAAAGTAGCTGAAATTACAAAAGCTAGGTGTCATCCAAATACAGGGCAGCAAGACTGCAGTGCCAAGTGACCATTTTCGTTTCAGAATGCCAACGTCAATAGTTCTGCACCGAAATGTTTGCTTAGTTTTCTTTGGCCTCTTCAAAACTCACACTCTAGTTTCCGACACCTACTACTTTTAAACAGCAGAATTTCTAAGGCTTCTCTTTACACCTGCCCCATGCTGCCCATTCGGGCTCCATGAATGCAGAGACACCATCACACAAAGTGTGTCCTCTCTGACCTCAAGCCCAGGGCTCCCCAACAAGCAATTTGGAATCCACGAGCCAAGGCTGAGCCCAGTGGTTATCCCCTCCACATCTCCCACACAACTGGCTGACACGCATTCCCTTTTCTCTCTTCTGCTTAGCATCTTGAACAAATCTCCTCTTCCCTCTCCTCCTCCTGCAGAGCCTCTACTGTGATGCCCCAGGAAGAAGTCAGGCCACTGAAGCCGAGTCTACATCAGCAGCCCCATGGGATGCTTGGCCTTTGGTCCCCACTTGAAGAGCAATAAGATGAGAGGGAAATGGAAGAGGGGAGGCAAGTGGGGAATGTGAAGTTTCTAAAGAGTTCTCAATTGGAACTATCAGGGGGAAAACCCTGCCATAATGGGATAGTTAATGCTCTCAAACATTTATGAAAATAATCAAGTACAAGGCCTAAGAGAGTTTCTCAAAATGACCATGTTACCTAGGTATGAAATATCAGGGCAAAGAGAACACTGGTCACTCACCTTTTAGAAACAAGAAACCCATCCTCCCACTTATGGCAGCCAAAAACAGACCAAACACGGAGGTTAGTGAGCTAAAACGACAGGTACTGCCACCACAACATAACGTAAACAGCAAGCAAAGGAAACCAAGAGCCACACACCACCCTCCTCACACCGCTTCACCTTGGCGTCCAGGGCACCAGCTCCCCCCTCCGTGGAGCTACTGCCCGCCCTGCTTTCCACACTCTGCTCCAGGTCCGAAGGGAGCTCCCCGTCCAGGGACGCTACCGCATGCTCCTCCTCCTTCTCCGTGACAGCCGCATGGACAGCCGCGCTCTTCCTCTTCGACGCCTTTTTCTTCGAACTCGAACTGTCGCCTTTTGTTTTTCTTTGTTGGAACTGAGCAAGCTACATAAAAAGGTCAAGAAATAGTACAGACAGAGATAAGTGAGAAAAACATAGCAAGACCACAAAGTGAACACACCCGTGGAACAGGACATGGAGGATCTTAATAGCACTATCCATAAAAATCCATGGGCACTCCCTCACTCCTGAGGCTCGCTCTGCCCCAGGGAGCCAAGCCAGGCATCCCCCCAGACCAAAGGCGTCACCATTGACACAGCAGGGTGTAGCTGGCCAGGTTCTAATAGAAACTACAATGAGGCCCCAATATTGGGGCCCTAATTTCCTTATACAAATGGATTAAACAAATTAAGTAACAGCTGACAGCAGCCTGCTAGCCTTGGTCACTGGCAGGAAGTTATCAAGTGGCAGTTAACTTCACCAAGGCACAGAAATGAAGCAAAAGGCAAATCTGTCCCTTTCATTCACTTGCCCCCACTGCCCTCCAAATCAGAAATCTGCAGTAAAACTTCCTAGCCACAGATTCTGAGATGCAGGTACAGAAATAGCGAAAAATTAATTAAGCAAGGTCAACTTCCTCTCTTCCTTTGAAGAATCAGATGTTCTATTTTTCTGAACTATCCCAGCTCACAAAGCACCAGGGACCTCCAAATAATGTCACCCATCAGAACCCATCTCTCCTTAGTGCCCTGAGCTGAGATTCAATTAATCTTTTAAACTAGACTGCTTGTACTTAGCCAGAATTTTCCACTAATATTTCAATGGCACAAGACCTAAGATCACTTCGGTAAAAAATGTTCCACAGTGCCAGCTCTAGGTTGTCGGATACGAAAGTATACACTCGTAACTGATTTCATCACACGAAATTTTACAGACAGGACTTAAACATAGGCTATTTCTGTTAGAGTCTCCATCCACTCCCAAGGACTGACCATCTGTCTTCCTTCAATAGCCTATTTTCATTTATTTCATGGAGCGTGTTTTTCTCCCAGTATCAAGTCTAGACACCTTTGAGAAGGATGAATTAGTTCATCACCTCGCTTCTTTTTTGTGCCTGCGACTGCTCAGTGACAGAGTAAGACAAGAAACACTCCAGACACACAAATGTTCGGGGCTCCCCTACCAGTGGGTGGGCACACACATTAGGTTGTTTTGATGTACCAGGTGCTATTAGGTTTCTCCCCTGTTGATTAAGCAATTAGGTAATAACTGGAAGAAGCCAGAGAAAGGTGCTCCAGCCAATCGACAACATGTCCCTAGGCAGCACAGCATAGGGCCAGCATCTTCTCCAGGAGGCTTCCCACCCCCTGCCCCGCAGGAACAATAGCACAATTCTTTCTTCCTTGTCCAGGCCCTGCTCCACTGGGCATCTTCACCGTGTGACTGCTCAAACGCTTCGAGCGCTCAAACAGTGATGACTCTTTCCCAGGCACACTGCTGCTCATCCCCTTGGGTCCTGGGGCTACTAGTTCACAGACGTGGCTGGGACGGAGCTTGACAGCCCCATATTGCAGAGGAGGAGACTAAGAACCATGGAGGTCAACCACAAATGACACTACAGATTCCAAACTGGGCTCTAAGCAGGTTTTCCTGGAAGCTCAAAGGTCCTAAAGATCCCTGCAGCTGTCCAGGTCTCGCTTCCTGGGGCTCCCATCTCGGGGGGGGGGGCCTTCTTCTGAGCATTGACACCCTCAGTCTCCCTCCCTCTGAGTCCGGAGAAGGGACACATACTTAGGAGACAAGACTGGGTCTGGGCAGGGTGGGGAAGTGGCCTCCCTGGGGGATCCCCGCCTGCTTTCCCTCCATGGGCAGCCTCAGTTTCTCCATCTGTACAATGGGGGCGTTGGACATTTCAGGATCTTAAGGTTGCACTAAGTTCTAAGTCTTTCTGGGTGGGCCTCAGTTTCTCCCTCTGTTAAAGGAAGGCACCAGATCAGTTGGGCTGGAAGGCCCCCCCCAGGCTGGTCTCAGTTTCCCCATCTGTACAATAAGGAGCCAGAACACTAAGGCCCCGAGGGTCACTCCCAGCTTGGGGGTGCGGCGGGGCTCCAGCTCTGGAGCCCTCCTGGCACACGCCTCCTTCTCAACTCCGCCCCACGCCCCGCGCCCCGCCCGGAGCCTGGAGGGCGCGCCCCAAGACCAGCAGGAAATGCATGCCGGAGCTTCCGGCTCGGACTTCTGCATTTCCGGGACCCTTCTAGCGTGCGGACTCGATGGTCAGGCCCCAGGCTCCAGAGGGCGGGGCGACTCGCGGGCCTCCCGGGCTTGGCCCCGCCTCATCCCCATGCTAATTGGCTGGGAGGTAGGGGCGGAGCCTAAGAAAGAGCGGCGGATTCAAGATGGCGGCGGCCAGGAGATGAAGGATTCCAGGCAATATCGCGGGAGGCGCGGCCCCGGCAGGGATCTGCGGCCGCCGAGCTACCGGGCGCAGACCCAGCCCGCGCCTCCCCGCTCTCCTGGAGCCGCAGGTTTCCCTCCCCTCCCCGGTCCCCCTCAGCCTCCCACTCCCGAGCTTGGCGCGCGGGGGTCCCACGCGGAGGTCGGAGTCGGCCCTACCTTTGCCCGGCCGGCCTCCACCTTGCGCCGCCGCCCGTCTCGCTCATCGCACTCCATGGCCCGGCGAGGACGCGCGCAGGCTCCGGGGCGGACGCGACCCTCCACCGCCACTGCAACAGCCGCTGTATTGACACAGCCGCCCCGCCCCCTCTGAGCCCCGCCCCCACAACTGACGAGAGCGAGGGGGCGGGGCGTGGTCCCTCCCCTTCTTTCGCCGCGCCCTCTGAGCTCTCGCTGTGTCTTCCACTCTCAAACGCGCCCACGCCCCTCGGCGTCCTCTTGCGGATGGATGTCTCCGCTGGCCAACAAGCAAACGGCGTCCGCATCTGCCCTACCAATCACGGGCTCGAGGCGGGTCGCTCTTCCGGAAGCCTGACCCCACCCAGCCAACCGCCCGGGGAGAGCTCTGAGTGACAGGCAAGCGAGCCAGCCCAGGCCCCGCCCACCATGTAAAAGAATTGACCAATGAGCTACGGACGTCGACCAAGCCGTGCTCTCTGTGTGGCCAATTTCAAAGGGCCCGCCTCGCGCCCCTCTGACGCGTTGTCCAATCAGAGGCGCAGGCGGGAAAAGGACGGAGGCGGAGGCGCTGGCCTCCGGGCTGCGCCTGGAAGCAGTAGAAGGGCCCGAAGCCCGGGAACTTCGCGACTGGGCGGGGCGAGACGGGGTGGGGTAGGGGGTGGAGCAAAGGTAATCCTCCGCGTTGCTCCTTTTAGGTTGCAGAAGGGCAAACTGAGGCCCAGGGCAGGCTATGTGGCTGTCCCAAGGCTAATTATTCCCCCTTTTACAGAAGGGGAAACTGAGGTGGGGGGCGCTAAGTGACTGGGCCAAGGCCGCAGCTTAAAGTGGCAGAGCCAGCTGGTATGGGGCCGCAGGTGCAGAGTGTCCATGCCCCCCAGTGTCAGGGGGAGGAGGCGACCCCCTGTTCTGTCCCCCAATAAGTGGAGCTTCTCCGTCTCTTTGGAGGGGGCTCTCTCCCCCTCCCCCCACTGCCAGGACAGCTTGGTCAGCACAGACTCTGAGAGCCTGTTCTCAGACCTTTCTTTAACCATGGACACTGTCCATCCCGCCCCCCCAAGGCTCCAGGACACTGTCCATCCCCCTTCAGGGCTCCAGGACACTGTCCATCCTGCCTTCCAGGGCTCCAGGACACTGTCCATCCCACCCCCCTCGGGCACCAGTACACTGTCCATCCCGCCCCCCCAGGGCTCCAGGACACTGTCCATCCCACCCCCCAGGGCTCCAGGACACTGTCCATCCCACCCCCCTCGGGCACCAGGACACTGTCCATCCTGTCCCCCAGGGCTCCAGGACACTGTCCATCCCCCTTCAGGGCTCCAGGACACTGTCCATCCCCCTTCAGGGCTCCAGGACACTGTCCATCCCCCTTCAGGGCTCCAGGACACTGTCCATCCCCTTCAGGGCTCCAGGACACTGTCCATCCTGCCTTCCAGGGCTCCAGGACACTGTCCATCCCCCTTCAGGGCTCCAGGACACTGTCCATCCCCTTCAGGGCTCCAGGACACTGTCCATCCTGTCCCCCAGGGCTCCAGGACACTGTCCATCCTGCCTTCCAGGGCTCCAGGACACTGTCCATCCCGCCCCCCAGGGCTCCAGGACACTGTCCATCCCGCCCCCCAGGGCTCCAGGACACTGTCCATCCCCCTTCAGGGCTCCAGGACACTGTCCATCCTGTCCCCCAGGGCTCCAGGACACTGTCCATCCTGCCTTCCAGGGCTCCAGGACACTGTCCATCCCGCCCCCCCAGGGCTCCAGGACACTGTCCATCCCCCTTCAGGCTCCAGGACACTGTCCATCCCCCTTCAGGGCTCCAGGACACTGTCCATCCCACCCCCCAGGGCTCCAGGACACTGTCCATCCCCCTTCAGGGCTCCAGGACACTGTCCATCCCCCTTCAGGGCTCCAGGACACTGTCCATCCCACCCCCCAGGGCTCCAGGACACTGTCCATCCTGCCTTCCAGGGCTCCAGGACGCTGTCCATCCCACCCCCTCCGGGCACCAGGACACTGTCCATCCTGTCCCCAGGGCTCCAGGACACTGTCCATCCTGCCTTCCAGGGCTCCAGGACACTGTCCATCCCACCCCCCTCGGGCACCAGGACATGGTCCATCCTGTCCCCCAGGGCTCCAGGACACTGTCCATCCCACCCCCCTCGGGCACCAGGACACTGTCCATCCTGTCCCCCAGGGCTCCAGGACACTGTTCGTCCTCTCCTCAGGCCCTTTTGCTGGATCTTTATCCACTGACAAGGCTCTGGCTGGGGTCTGCAGTCCAATTAAGTCAATGGACCCTTTCTCAGAATAATGTTTTTAAATAATTGAAGCTGTTTTGTTTCTTGTATAAATTCATGGCTCCTCCCCCTCCCCACCCATCCTTGGACCTGACCAAGGGCACTTCCTGCTCAGCTCTCCCTGGCTTGGCTCTCAGCATCTCCAGTGGGTTCAGTTAGCATCTTTATACCCACGATCCCCAGGTCACCATAGGGGTTTCAGACAGATCTGCTTATCTTCCCCCAACTTTCCCCTCTCCCTGATCTCCAGGGCAGGACCCTGCAGGCCCTTGAGCTCTCAGGGAGCTATCATCCTCAGCCCCCACACACCTCATTGGTAGCTAAAATGTGCTTTGTATCTTCCTCCCATCTTAGGCTAAGTCCACTTCTTCCCTCTGCCTCTAGCCCTGGTGACTTTCAATGCCTCACCACCTTCTCACTGGTTTTCCTGACTCAGTTCATGCCTACTTGCTGCTAAAGTGGCTTTCCTCAAGCCCTCAGGTGGCCCCACCCACCCCCTGCTCAGAAAACCTCCGTGGCTCGAACCCTAACCCTATTGTCTCCTGAAGCCAATCTAAAACATTCATTGTAGCTTTTCAAGCCCTGCCGAGGTAGGAGAGCCTGGATCCCGGCAATCACCTTTCCATTCTCCTTATGCCTTACTCCTCTCTGTGGACTCCATGATCCAGTGACTCAGTTTCTCTCCATCTCTCAACTCTGTGTCTTTGCACTGGCCTTTTTATCCCTGTGAGACTTGGCCTCATCTGCTTGGCTTCCTTTCCCTCCTTTAAATATCCTTAAACCTTCCCAGCTCCCTGAGGTCAGAGGCTGTGCTTCTGCTTTCAGAATTTGGCATGATGCCTGACACATAGAAGATGCTAGTTAACTTGCAAACCTGTGTGATCACAGGCAAGTCACTCCCCCTCTCTGGTCCTCAGTTTCCCCCTTGGTAAAATGAAGATAACAATAATAATAATAATAATCAACAAAACATCTGCCTCACAAGGCTCCTGAGGAAAAAATGCTTGTCAGTCAATGAGCTTCTGTTGAGTGTTTCTTCTGTGCCAGGCACTGGGGATACAAAGAAAGGCAAAAGAAAGCCCCTGCCCTTAAGTAGCTTAGAATCTAATGAACTGTCTCAAAGCTTAATGTAAGCATGAGGCGGTACCATGTATGAAAGTATTGAGTCCATTTTATGGGCCTTAAGTTTCCTCATCTGTAAAATTAGGCCCTTGGTCTCTATGGTGTCTAGCACTTGGAAACACTATTGGGTCTGGGGCTCGTCAGCTTCTAGGCCTACAGCTAGAAGGGCTCCTGACTTGTCCTCTTGAGTTGTCATGCTTTAGTTAACAAAGTCCAGCGCCCTCATTTTGCAGAGAAAGAATCTGAGGCCTGGGAAGTGAAGGGAGGGAGGTACCCAAGGGCCCATGCGTACTAACTGTCAGAGGTGGGAGCTGTTTTCATTTGCATTTATCTCATTATTACATTTCTAGCTGGCTTGGCTATTAATAGCTTCAGTTTCTTCCTCTGAAAACTGCCTAAGCCTTTGACTGTTTATCTGCTGGGGAATGAGTCTTATGGTAAATTTGACCCAGTTCACTGTGTCTTAGAAATGGGACCTTTATCAGAGGAACTTGCTGCAAACCTGGTTCAGAAGATTTTTTTTCCCACTTACCTGCTTCCCTTCTAATTTTAGCTGAATTAGTTTTGTTTCTGCCAAAGTTTTTTCTTTTTATGTAATCCAAATTGTCCACTTTCTTTTTGATCCTCTCTAGAGGATTTGGTCCTGAGCTCTTCCCCTATCAATAGATCTAGCAGGTAAATGCTTCCTTTCTTCCCCAGTTTGTTTCTAGTGCCACTTTTATGTCCATCACTTTCCTATTTGGAACTTGCCTTGAGGTTACAGTGGGAGGTGTTGGTCTAGACCCAGGGCACCAAGCTCAGATAGAAGTGGGGGCCATTAAGGATCCCTGCAGTGCATGTATGGGCAGCTTTAAAATGTAATGTATTCAGGAAAGATGGGCACCTCTGGTGTGAGGGCTCCTTTCTGCCTTTGATGTCCACCTGATCCATCCAGCTCTCACCTGTGGCATGCACAGCAGCCATACCCCAATAAACCGTGTGGGCAGATGAGCTGAACCAGACTGAGGGTAACCAACAGGCCTCAAACCCTTCTGTGAGCTAGGGGGTGTGAAGACTTCCCCTGGTAGAATAAGAACGTTTGTTCCAACGGCCACGAAAGCAGGGGAAGCAGGCGCTGTGGAGGCTGTGAGAGCTTGGGCAGACATCAAAGACGCCAGGGTCGTCCACTGCATCTTTGAGCCATCACCAGTGAAATTGACTATGTCCTGCCACTGGACCGTGATGACTGGAAAAGAGAGTGAAGCTGACAACTTTGTACGACTCTGCCTCATTTAAATCCAATTTACACACGAATCAAAAGACACTCATGCCAATATATCTTTATGCATTTTGTTAAATATTTCCCAGTTCTGTTGTAATCTGGTCTAGACCTCGTCTCTGCCAGGCTTCTTTCCAGTTTTCCTAATAGTTTTTATTGAATGGTGAGTTCCTAGCCAAGTAGCCAGGATCTTTACTGAGCTTAATACTAAGCTACTGTCTCATTTGCTCCTACATATTGTACATTTATGCGGTTCTGCTGATCAAACTCTGTGTTTCTTGTTGTTCTTCAATTGTTTCGGTCATGTCCAACTCCCATTGGGGGTTTTCTTGGCAAAGAGATTGGAGTGGTTTGCCATTTTCTTCCTTAGCTCAACTTAGAGATGAGGAAACTGAGGCAAACAGGGATCAGTGACTTGCCCAGGCTCACACAGCTAGTAAATGTCTGAGGCTCAGTTTGAACTTGGATTTTCCTGGCTTCAGGACAGGCTCTGTATCCATTGTGCCACCTAGCTGCCCATATGAATATTATAAATTAGGAAATGTGA